GCGTGGAAAACGCAAAAGTAGGAAACCACAAACTGATATGAATAGGATCTCTTTCCCTGCCAAATTTTCAGCTGACAAAAATACAATCAATCTAAACGATTATCCCGTACAATGAATAGATTAATAATAAAGAGTTAAGTTTCATTTTTTTGGTTATTTTTTTCCTACTTGTGCGAATTCTTGCCGAAGACTACTTGGTAGGTACTTGACAAGCGAGAAAGCTAGTTTTTCAGTTGGAAAGTTCAAAAGTTTACTTCGCGTGATCTCTATGTTCAGAAGTTTGAAATTTTGACTTTTATACATATTTCTCCATCTTGGCACATGAAATTTTATGAATACATGCCAATTTGTATTATATATGTTGTGAACACATTGCTTCCTGATGTCTGAATGCTTTTTATAGCAAAATACTGCTCTTTCAGTTTTCATTCATGGATGATTTCCCTTCAGTTTATTTGTGCAGTAGTGTTTCTAGTGGGACATTACATCTTTCAGTACTCTAGCAGAATGTTTCTCGTACTGTCCATCTTTTGAGCTTTGAGTTCTCCTCAGACACAGCACTGTATTGTGCAGAAACCTTTGCACGTCGATAGACTCTGGTGGAGTAGCCAAGTCTTCGTGACTGAACTGAAATGCTCTTTGTTCATTGTTGATGTGCACTGGAGTACTGGTTCCTCCCTACTACACACTTAGTTCTCCCACCACTATTGAAACGACAGTTGATTTTCTCGATTTATACAATACCTCTGCTGCTCCTAAGCTTATCCTACTGATGCATTTGTTCATTGTTGATGTGCTGTAGAGGACCAATTTTTCCCGACTGCACACTTGGTTCTCCCATCACTGTTGAAACGACAGCTGATTTCTTGACTTATACTATCCCTCTGTTGCTCCTAAGCTTATCCTACTGATGCATTTGTTTATTGGTGATGTGCACTGAGGACCGAATCATCCCTACGGCACACTTAGTTCTCCCACCATTGTCAAAAAGACAGCTGATCTCCTCGACTTATACCATCCTTCTGCCGCTCTGAAGCTTATCGTACTGATGCATTTATTCATCTTTCATAGTTATTCAGCTTTGGTTCATGCATGAGACGTTCCAGTTTTAATTTCATATGCATCGGGCTTTCCAAAGATTAGATGTTGGCTGATTTTTTTATTTTTTTTAATTAACGTTGTAGGATATCTGTTTTAGCTTTTTCAGTAATTCCACAGCAAAGTTGAAGAAGTGTGGAAGTCTGAATAATAGTTTCTACTGTGGTGTGCAGCATTCAAAGTGCCCGTCCAATTTAGTATACCTGAAATTGATCAGAAAGTAACAGCCAAAAAAGCCGAGGAATCCAAGATTATTCTTTCTTCCGGACCAAAGGTACGTGACAACTTGGCTTCATGTGTATTGGACAAAGATTTGTAGGAACTTGAGTTAAATTTCCTCTTTCTATCTCTTTGTCCTAAATAACTACCGTTACGTTTTACTAACGTCTGCACAACTGATTTACGCATGCATGTTTTTGTCATTGAACTCAAATTTTAAAAGGTAAAATCACACGAAGTTGGAGAACTACCATCATTTACGCATGCATGTTTTTGTCATTGAACTCAAATTTTAAAAGGTAAAATCACAGTGACGAAGTTGGAAAACTACCATGGAAGTGCATGGCTTATTTGCAATTGTATCCTTGCAGCGAGGCACTAAAAGTAAGTCTTAATTGTGTCTCATGGCTCAGGTGGCAAGCTTCTTCAAGATCTTTCCTGGGATGGTACATGGCTGGGCAATTAGGTACGATGTAAATAGTCCTGAGCAGGTGAAAAATCTGCCCATGAAGACATGATAAGCTAGTTCAAGTAGCACCTAAAGGTGTCAAAGTCCTAAATACATCGGTGGAAGTTATGTTCATCATTTCACATCTGTGGAGATGTATCACAAATTCGCAAATTTATACTTACGTATATCAAAAAAATCTGAGAATGTCTATTTCCAGCAGATAGTGAGGCAAACAGGCCAGTACTGAGGCCTGAATGATAAACACAAAAAAAAAGTTAGGAAATAAAAAAATTTGTTCACTACATAACAAATTTTGGAAGTGATCTTGTTTTTCTTCAAATGAATGCACTTCTTGCAGTTGAGGTTAGTAGCAGAAGGCATGGAAGTCCTAACAACTTTGTCTAAACAGATGACTGCACTGACCTCATTAGCACGTTGAACTTGTTGCAAGCGGGGATAGCAACTGAAGATATTCAAGTTCTGACAACTCTGTATAATGTTGTTGTTATGACCTTGTTCTTGTTGTATTTGTTCTTCATAAAATTGACATTGTTCCCATCTGGGGAACCTACCTGCTGTGAGTGTGGCCTGCTTCTTCTACCTGTACACATTTGCTGTCTTGAAATGGGAATATAGAAATTGAGGTCACTAAATTGTTGTTGTCTCACTCTAAAAAAGCTTCTAATGGACATGTTGCATTGTTTCCAAATGCATAATTCATATTCAGTACGTAACCCTGAGAATGTAGCGTTCATGGTAGTTTTACAGATATGGATCTCAGCCACACTGACCATTGACATTGTCATTGATGAAAAGATTGTAAACTACGTGTCAAAAGCTAGCTGGTATCTCAGTATGATAGAAAACATCATAGTGAGTACAACATAATCGTTCGCAGGTTCCATAGATGCGGTGCAAATGAGAAGTGTTGTGATTTAATGCCCCTATAAGGTTGTTTGAGCTGACAGCTTGACGACTATTTTCAAAAGAATTGATTTTCTTTTTATATGTATGACTCACAAGTTTTTCCGCTTGTGCCCAGCGCGGCTTGCTTGATTGTAATATATTGCTGGTCAGACAAACAAAGAGATGTATAGACACACACAAATCGCTACTCACAAAGGCTAGTTTGTAACAAAGTAAACTAATCATTCCTCGTCAACTTGTTTCTATGTGTAATTGTACAGCTGTACTGAATAGAACTCCGTACTGTAGACTGTAAAGTCTCGATTTTATAATTAATAATGGAACGCAAGATGCATTTTGAATCACACAACCATGAGCTTCACGATCATCTTCATTGTGCGGGAAGCACAAATCAATGCTTCTTTGTTCCACGAGCATTTTCATGGAACTCTAAGTCAACAGTCATGGTCGGACTAGACTGTGTAACAAAATCCATGAAAACTTAGCAACACATTAGTATTCAGACACTCGATTCCCTTCATGTAGAGTTTTTGATCTTTAAGTTTATCTCAGAAGAAACCTTTATCTTTAAGAAACCTGACAGCTCTGGTTCACGAGCTCAGATGCAACCCTTTGGCCTAGTGCTGCTCATGATGACACAACTTAGTAACATTTTCAACCTTCAATTTTCCTTACACCACTGTCCTTTTACTGTGCATCATTCACACACAGGGCTGAACGAAAACCATAACTTTTGTAGGGCCCAACATGAGTTACTCAACAAGGAATGTTGTATTCTTCGAGACAAACAACAGAAGCATGCAACGGTGGGAAACACACAGGAGCTGCTCAAAGCCCTTCTGTCTGGTGGCATAGTACGTCTTGCCGGCGACCACAATTTTGCAGCGTTGTAGCAACATGGATACATTCGTAGGTGCACGCAGAAGCCCGAGGATGTTGTGAAAGTGCGTGCCTTTCCAGTAAACCAAATTTTTCGGGCCTTGCCTTGCTTAATTGACCAACCTGGAACCCCAAATGCAAACAGACAAACCAATACAGTGGTGGCAAATCTTGAACAGGAGAAGCAATACAATACAGGTAGCCATAAAAGTGAGTTTCACACACGAGCGCCGCATGCCTGCCCCGCTCACTCTCTGAAAGAATCTGAAGTGTTTTTATTGAGATATTGCAAGATAAGTTCGCTCGTATTGCAATAGAGATAATATGCACATGGCCGACTTACTGCCGGCCTCAATCAAACTTCGTCTTCACATTTTAAAATTCTCCTAAGCTTTCATGTAGAGTCTTTGATCTTTAAGTTTATCGTGATCATACGGGGAGCACAAATCAATGCTTCTTTTTTCCACGAGCATTTTCATGGAACTCTGAGTCAACACTCATGGTCGGACCAGACTGCGTAGCAAAATCCAGGTCAAAGAGCAACAAAAGATTGGGGGAAGCTCTGTGTATCAGAGCGAGGTTTCGATCCCGCTATGGGACCATGTTCTCCGTTTCTGCACGGGAACAATTGAATAATGTGATAATCACCGTTCGGGTCATGCAAGCGGCGTGTGCAAGTGCACTCAGACAGCGTGGCTTTTACTTTTCTACGAGTGCAAGTGCATTCAGACAGCGCGAGGTCGAGTCGCAGACAAACGAATCACGAGTGGCCTGCTGTGGGCAGATGTTCTGATGCAAACGGACTATGAAGCCAGAGCAGGAGTGGGATAAATGTGATTATCTGATAGTCGACATGGGTTCACATAACCAGGGTGCATTGACTACAGGTTAAGCGCTGGACTGCTGAACGGTGACACCGTCACGACGGTCATCGTATGCCGTCGACCCCCGAGCATACTGTCGGGATTGTTCTAGCCTGCAGTGTTATTAACAGGAGGAACGCAATACTAGGAGCTACGCGTTCAAGTATTCACAAGCAAGCGGAGTTCCCACCGATTGAGTTCAACATAAAAGTAATTCAGCTGAAAGTTAATAACAGTTTCTTCTCGAACATAGGACAGATATAAAAATAGTTCTGCACGACTTTGGGCAACAGGAAATAGTTCACATGTGGAGAAAGTACAAAGTGCTCATCAACTTCAGTGGGTTGCAAAGTGCTCACCAACTTGATGAGCACTTTGCAACCCACTTAAGTAACCAAAGTTGCGGAACGTTCTCATGACGTCGACATAGAGCAGATTGAGCACAGGCATAGTTTTTACACAACTGCAGTAACCATGACCCCTCAGGGTGACCTCTACTAATCCCACACTGTAACTCGCAGATAGGTGCACTGAAGAAAGTTTGAGGACTAAATGTGGTGGCATCAAAATCTTCAGATGTTAGATTGCTTCAACAAATTTAACTGCTTTAATACATTACTTTCACACAGTTTCAAAATAGACCTTTCACTGATTCGAAGCCTCAAAGCGTGAAACTTTTGAGGTTCCTGTGAACTATCTGATTCACTCAGTATAATTTCATCATCCTCTATTGAGTCACTAGGATAAAGACCATCTCGTGATCGCAGAGCTTCTAGCATAGTGTTACAGACCGAAGTTGATAGAAGCCGAGCTTCCGAGTCTACTTCCTGCTTGACCTTGTTTACTAGCTCTTGCTTACGACCTTGTTTAGCTTTTTTATTCCTCTTGGCTACAGGGAGGTCTTTTGAAGGGCCTCGGCATTCTAGAATCTTCGCTGTGGCTTCAATCCAATTATCACTATCAAAACATGCTGCAGCAATTGAAGCACTTTCAACCCAATTGACGCTATCACAACCAGCTGATGCATTTGAAAGAGTTTCAAAAGCATCCTCCGAGAGGTGCACCATGTAGAGCAGCATAATAAATTCTTCTTGAGGTCTGCCTGTGGCTGTTATTTCGAAGTACTCATCATCTTGTGACACGAGAGGAGCGCAGCCCACCTTCCTCCAATTCGTCAAACGTCTCCTTATGTGGCGCGAAGTGAAAGCCTTCTTTAAACTATCAACCACAAAGGAGAGGTCGATATTGACAATGTCGAAAGGATTGTTGAGTTCCGTAAAGCCATATCTATGCAGCAGACCGGCGTTGCTTAAAGTGCCATAGGTGTTGAATACCTGCAATAAAAGAACATTGTTAAACTCGCAACACGACAAAATCCCATTCAGAAGTTAACTAGGAGCCGAAGAAGAAGATGCCATGTGCACTCTAATACACTTCAATATTGATTACTTTGACACTAACAAAAAACTCAGACATAAACCACAATATCATAGGTTGTGGTCAAGTTTCGGAAACATTGCCCTACGCAAAGCTAATCAGCACCATGTATTGAATGTTTCTATATGAAAGAAGCAGAAAATGCTAGTGTAGAGTCAATTTCAAGCTCCAAACTCTCTACAGGCGAGGGAGCCAACAATAATGACAGTTGATGAATATACTCATGAATTACAGCAGCCGCTTAAATTGAGAATCAAGTGTTGAAAATCAGTTGAAAGTTGACAGTTGAAAATCAAATGTCGTTACTATTGCATGTCTTCAGAGAAGCACTGCACTGTCACATGAACCGGTCACATCTATCGACATAACGTGAAGAGACATTGCATATATACAGAGACAACACCTACAATGAACTCCATATTCAATATCCAATCTTGACTAAGTGACACTAAATAGAGTGAATGACTGCTAACGGAGGGTGTATCACATACCTCAGAGCCTCCTGCGACATCTTTGACAAGAATCATCTCCAGAAGTTCGCTTGTACCCTCCCACGCTTGAGATGATACTTCACTAGAAACTTCAACTTCGTTCACCACTTCAGTCCCAGCTTTTGTTTTCTTCTTTTTCCCCGACCTTTCCTCTTCGATCTCTTGGCGTTTAATTGAATAATTCTCTTCACTATGCACATCGTTTTGGTGCACATTCACGTGCTTTAACTTAGATCTACTTCTACTGTTCTGAGAAACTTTGCAGTCAGATTCCGACTTGACATGTTTCTCTTCAACCTTTGTCTTCTTGTCTCTTTTCCTCGCAATCTGCTGAGCCTCAGATGCCTCTTGAACCTCTAAATCCATCTTTTTCCGGTGAGTTCCCCTCCTTCTATCACCCGCCTCAACTATTTTTATATCCTTGGCATCAATTGTTGACTCATACTCCTCCACTGTACTATGGGGATCCTTGCCTTTCCTGTTGGCCTTTCGCAAAGGTTTCTCTACAGTTCCAATGTCTGCCTCATCCTTCACAATCTGAGCTTGCTTCTTTCTGCGCTTACGACCAACCTCTAATGTGGTGGATTCGTCTGCTTCGTGGACCAAAAGAGTTTGATCGTTTTCCTCGAGACTTCTATTTATTCTTCGACTACTTCGTCGAGTTTTCACTGAGCCTTCCTGTTTCATATCAACATCAAGTTGGCGGCCTTCTATATCAAGATATCTGGACCCCTTCCTCTCTGTCGACTTCCTAGCCTCCAAGTTCGTTCCTTGTGCCTGCATCTTTCCTTTCTGAAGAGATTCCACATGCGGGAGTTCCTCAACCTCTGATTCCGCATCATCAGCTTCTGATTCCATATCGCTGTCGACTGAAGTGAAATGGACATCCTCATCTGCCGTCTTGTGATTAAATCTGCAAAGAAAAGAACGAAATCATGATACATGATAAACATACCTAAAGTGAACTTCCAAGCCTTTGCATGCAGTAGACTCTCGTTCGAGACTCTTCACAGATACGTGACATAAATCTGAAGGAACCGGGAGAGAGCTCTTACAAGTCAGCCAGAGGAACCATGCCATAACCGTGGTATTCATCCACCTCAAATGCCCGGGACGACACGAGAGCCTTGGCAGCAAGAAAGCGGTCAAGAGTGAACCATTCCGCCGGAAATTCCGCAGGATTGCTCTCTGTTAAAGGAACAATGGACTCCATCCAATCCTCTTCAATAAGCAACCTGTCCTCTTTGATCACCTGCCTACATTGTGAGCCCACGGGCACAGGGGCAAGCAGTCTATTAGAGGTGGAAATCATCTCCTCGAACAAAGCCATAACGAGATGCCTGAGAAGAAGAAAAAAATATTCACCAGGTTAAGAAAGTATCAAGCTTTCTGCAACTGCGTTAAGCCAACTACACTTAAGTCCCGTCCACGAATTAAAACTTTTATGCGCCCACTAGACTGATTCAAGTACATTAGTGTATGAAACGTTTCAACTTCTGAATCTTCGATGTCATTCTACTTCATAAGAACCTCACGAACCATCCTACTAAAGAAGCTGATCATCAACTGCAATCTGAAATAGAATTGCCAGACATCACTGTAATACTTGTGAAAGCAGCGGGAAAATTGAAAAAACAGCAAGCTTAAGACCTCAGGATTCCCACCTTATGCAGCTCGGTCCCAACAAGAAGCTCGTCAACTTCCTCTGACGACCATAGGAACGGCAGCTTTTGTTCGTTTGGCAGCAGCTGCAAGTAACCATACCATTTGGATCGCTCTTGAAGACTCATCTCGTACATGAGCGCAACAGCAAGACCCAATCCTCCTCCAATTTCGACCTGTTCCAATATTTCAGATGCTGCCGTGGTCTGTACGGTGAGACACGCCTGTTTTGGGATCGTAGCGATCAAATCATTCTCTTCCATGTCGAAAAGAGCTCTCACTCCTATGTCTGCAACAGACCCACTTCCTCCTAGTACAAACTCCAGGCCGTCGCTATATTCAATTCCATTTTCGCGCATCCACCTCAAAAAGGTCCGGAATTTCCTGCAAGAAAGAAACCTTCTCGTGTCAACTGGTGTAAGGAATTCTTTGTTCTTTAGCTACATCGTGCTATGTGAGAAGCACGATGTAGTTCATCGTCCTACTCTCATCTGATAGCGTCTCGTCACTCCACTTCTCCTGTGCGTAAATCACTGGGTTAGATCAAGGATTGACGCCAGTTGGCGCTCTTCGCAGCTTCAATTTCTACTCGGGGTGCACGCGTTAGATGCGTAGGTCCATCCTACGCAGAATATACAATTTTCTGAGCGATCCAATGTCAGATAGATGAGAGAAAGAGCAAGAACCTTGTGAGCACTGTGTTTTTGGGCTTGGAAGCCAATGCTGCACGGGGATGCTTAGCCATCTGCCCCAGTCAAAGGCAGGCGCACGTTCCTCAGCAATCTGTGCTTTGAGGTAGCTTATTTATAAGAACCGTGCTCTTTTAAACGTCTTACTGTGACAGAATCCGAGAGGCCTCAGCGCATGCTCCCTAGCTCAGCTGAGCCCTAAACCCCAGCATTACCGGTTCAGCATCAAACTGGCCCGTGGGTTTTGAAGCCTGGAGCATTGTCTTACCGAGCTAGGGTTAGGGTTGACTTCAATTACACTTGCAGACATTCGAAGCTGTCAATCTTCGCGAAGATGAGTGGAATGGGGTCGGAGACGCGAACGATGCGACTTCTCATGCTTTGTGCCATAGGTACACTTGGAGGTAAGATCTATAATTCATCCTGAGACAAGAATTCAATTTCCCAAGGGAGATCTATGGAGAGTTGATGCTTCTCCTTCTGTAATCTGTAGAGTTCTCTGTGCTCTAATTTATGGTTCCTGGTCATCTCTGGATGTAAAGACCTGGATTTTCCCCGGGAAACTGTTATCAGGTCATTCGAATCGAAATGGATCAGAGCACAGGGTAAGAAAGGTACTTTGGGATCGAAAATTGATCCAAATACGATTAGATCCAAATTGAGACAGGGCATGTCCTACAGTGGTGGTCGGTTTTCACTCTCATGTCCCTGAAGGAGAGAATTGTGAGAAAGTTAGGTTTTTAGAAAGACATAGATGATCGTTTCGAAATGAGATCTGCAAAAGCTTAAGAAACTTCTGGAGTTTAGAGGATTTCGGATCACTGGAGTTTAGCCGACCATCACGCGGACTGTTGCCATTCCGTGTGCAGCAAGAGCCAAGATTCTCGGTAGACACCGTGAGTGACTTTAATCCCTGAGCTTAAACTTTTTGAACAAATAGATGAAATATGAGTTTGCAACCGAAAATCAAAGCGACGACCGGAGCTACGTCCGCACTACCAGCAGCTCGACCATCCTTGTCGTACCAATCTCTTTCTGCTCTGATATTGCAACTGTTTCGCCCGTCCCACTCAAAGTCTTGGAGCACTTTCTCTAATTTAAATACCCATTGCCTATTTCAGGGATTTTGATGGCGTCAGCTGATAAGAAGGCTCGTCGACTGCACGAAGAGCAGGTTTCGATGGATGAGAAGCTGAAGCAGCTCGATCAGAAGGCGTAGGACTGAGATCTGGTCCACTACATTTGTTAACTCGTTGAGATAACAACCATCGCTTGGTGGCAAGGCGTTGTTCAGTGTAACCCAATCCCACTACATGTCACAGAAAGGAAGCTAGCTCTCTCAATGAGCAGGGGTTGTTTACCGACACCTTTATGTCACGAATACTACTCCCTCAGTCTTTAGATTAGGTTCAAATGGTTATTGCTGAGAATGACGTCGAGGTCGGTGTAATTTTGTCTCTGACAGAAATATGCAGTGAATCAGAAACTTGGCCTTCCGTTATAACTTTGAACGAAGTTCGAATGAAATAGAATTGTTGGGAATACCAAGGATCAAGAGGAGCATGCAGCTGCACTGTCATTAGATGGAGTGTTGCTGCTCTCAGGAACACTGAATGCATCACTGTGATCCAAATAATGATCATTGTCACCCGTAGCATAATCATCAATCCATTCCATGGTTTCCTCTTCAGGGTTGTGACTTCCTTGTTCCGACTGCACATCCCACCGCTGTGTAACCTGTTCAGCAGCATGGGATACTTCCTGCAAGTTATCGCCAGCTTCTGGAGCAATCCTTGGAGTGCCCGAATATTCTGGTGTATTTCTCACTGCTGGAGCTCTCACTTTCGGATTGCTGCAACTTTCCTCGGAATCTGCTCCTTCCCCTTGTTCCGTCTTTTGTGTGGATCCTTTTGGAGAGACAACCTTCACCGGAAGATCTTGGCCTCTGGAGTGACTAGGAGCAAAAGATCGAAGTTCTGCAACATTCTCTCTCTGATCTGCTGGAACAACCGGATCGTACTTTGGATTCACACGATCCCGCAAAGTTCTTTCACCAAGGACCTGTTTGATAGTCGAAAATTCCGGTTCTGTATCGTTGTTTACTCTGGAATGTTGCTGCATACTGCTACCTGATATGCCTATCCTTGGTTCTATGACGTCAGTGTCGTTGTGCTTGTTTATCGCCATCAAATTCCTATTGAACTCTAATTGCTGACTAAACCTTTTCAAATCTTCAACAACCGAGGGAGACAGTCCATAAGGATTTGACTCCCTGCCCAGATTTTGTGACGATTCGCCACGAGAAGATTCAGGGAGTCTACTTTGCTCGAAACTTGCAACACCTTTTTGAGTGTCCGCATCAGAAAACGGACTTACTTTCTGCTGCTCCGAGAAGGCTTGTCTAGTTTTGTCGCGGTGACTTTGACCAGATGATTCCATTGTCCCGTTATATGCCATCAGTCTTTCCTTCTCTGCAGTTCTCATATTATTTACCTCTCTTTGCTCTCCAAACTCTGCTCCTCTTAAGTTCTCCCGCCCAGCAACTGAAATTTCTCCACTGAATGTGGCCTCAGAAAATTGATCGCCTTCAGACACGAATTGATCTTTCGTTTGGAGTTCTTGAATCCTCAGTAAACGAAGAGATCGGTCTTGAAACTCCGGAGCTTCTTTGGTCCATTTTTCCGGATCCCTGTCAGCTTCTGCACTTTTCTTCTGAATGTTTTGCTGGAACTTGGTCTCGTATACTTCTGTGTGCCTTCTCTCATTGTGATCGGAATCGACAGACGTTGATAACTTTACTGCCTTCCCTATCATCTTAAACTCCAAAGAAGAAGTACTGCTCTTTAAGGACGTGGCACCCATCAAGAAGTAGTTGGTACTGATCTGGTTTGTCTCCCAAGGTGTCGAACTTGGAGTCTGCTGATTTGCCTCATGTGCTTTCTTTGAATTATGTGGTGGAAGTAGACTCTTCTGTGCTCCTTTAGATTTTCTCGATGTCAAAGAATCACTTTCAGATGTGTTTGAATCGAGGTAATCCTTGTCAGCTCTCTCTTTGCAAGATTTACTTGTTTTTTCCACTTTTTGGGCGCCTGGCATCCTCATCTGCTTTTTGTCGGAAGATGATGAACAGATGTTTGTACCACTTGAATCTCCTCCCTCGCCACGTGGATAATTTAAACTAGTCTTTTTTCCAGCAATCTCGCGATTGTCTTCTTGATGCATTCGAACTTTCTCAGTATTCCTCTCACAGGGAGAAAGGTTGCTTGTAATGTTAGCTTCTTGGGTCAGGACAGTTTTATCTGAGTCGGGCCAAGTCTGAGTTAGGGAACAAACTTTGGCTCGGATGGTGTTTTCACACGGACTGAGGTGTCGCGCTACCATTTCAGCAAAACTCTTCTTTAATTTCTCGCTTGGTTCCTGGCAAAGTGAAAGAAATCCTTAGAGATTCTACTGGAGTCAAACTGTACTGCAGAGCCCAGCCCAGCCGTTTTGTACAAAACGATAGCAGATCACAAATAACATCAGATTGATACGAGGCGTGCATAAATGTGTCTGAAGGCTATAACGACGACGTACCCCTTCTAAAGAGCTCACTGACTGTGAAATTCTCAAACCACCTCCAGGATTACAGGAGTTCAACGCGACTGCTCCAGATATATCCACACCTTGAGGGTTCGTCAGGCTGGTAACTATTTGATTTTCTTGCAACTTATCCTGGCTGTCAGCACAGAACCACATCGAGGAGCATTCTCACAAAGCGTTTCTTTCGAGTTTAACATCAGAGAGGCCATAACTGATGAGGTTCAGGTTATTAATTTCTCATTCTACCTGGGCTAGCAGGTCAAATCCAGGAGCCCGGGAGTGGTGAATTTGTGTCAACTTTTGTAGCATGACCACTTCAATCAATCGATATGTTTTCTGTCAATGAACATTGTTGCGTGTACACATACGTAAATGTCCACTTCGTTTGATTTTGGCATAGGGAGAATACCTGGAACACATGTGGGTCGCAATCTGTGAGCGCAGCGAATAGTGGTGGAGCCGTTCCAATTCCAAGGCTGAACACATGAAAAAAATCAGTGGAGTTCGATTAGCTTCCGTCCAATCCTGTAGAAGAGGCAATTCAATGGGAGATGGTTGTACAGGACGGCCAAGGTGGAAAATGTTATGAATCGCCAATATTACAACTCAAGCATCTGCATCGATATATTTTCAGCTTTGATCAAATTAAAAACTACCTGACTTTTTCCGACTTCATATATTGCTATCGTTTAACAATCTTTCAAATCAGATTTTGATAAAAATAATCTTTTGTGGCCTTAATGAAAGGCCACAAATTATCGTTACCGTGTTGAGTCTTCTTCAGCAGAGTCACCGTATCCAGCAGCTCACTTTCGCTAAGCCTAAGCTCTACCTGGAGTGCTTTCCGACTTCGAATTGCTACTTCTTTTTCTTCCAGCTGGGCACATTTGTTCAATACTGAGTATTTCAATAGCAAGTTCAAGACAACTTTTCCTAGCTCACCCTACCATTTGCAGTAAATGTTACTGAAAGCATTGAGGAGCAGCCGAGTTTATCTGCATAAGAATCAATTGGTCTTTTTGTTCCCAGTTACACACTAGTACCATCTCTGATGAGTGGTCTCGTCACGATCATTGGAGGAGACCATCCAAGCAGTGAATCCGCTGCCATCTAGCTAAACTTGGTACAAGTTAAAAATGCATTGTATGCAAGTATACCATAGTGGTAGTCAAAATACAAGAAAGTACATCACTTATACAACTTTGTCATGATTCTGTATAGTCTTTGCTTTCAAAATGTTAAGTAGCTTACTGCATTTTTTATCTCCGCCTCAAGTTTCTTGATGGTCTTCTGCATCTTTTTCTGTTCCAGATTCCACTTCCGACTTTGCTCCTGACAGATCTGATGTACATCTTCGACACAGAACTTAAGTGTATCAGTTCCGACACCTCGCGCGAGAAAACTCTTGCAGAACTATTATCTCAGACACGTCATCAGAAAACCAGAATCAAGAACTAGCCATTGTTGCAGTTACTGAATGACCATAATATAAGCCCTCGACAATACTTTCACTCATCTCCAGGCTATGGCTTGTCTTGGGATATGCCTTATTCAAGTTCGTAGGGAAAAACTTAGAATAAGTCATGTCCCAAGACACACAAAAAACTGCTCGGATATGGTGCCTGAATATAAAAGAATAGCGGTGCACTGTCGCTTCGGATGGGTTTGTGACTGCTTCCTCCCAGTCCAGTTATTCCCGGAGGTCAGTATCTGCCAGCATCACAGAGTCAAGGAGCCCTGATTTGATCTCCCATCTAGACCCGCAAGGACAACTCTCAACTTCCCCTCTCACTGTGTTTAGATAGTCTCCCTCGCCTTCTCAGAGTCCATTCAGCATCCAAGACGGGATAGTTCACACTGGATATAATTGTCTGTACGACGTAGATTTGGCGATAAAACTACCAACGTGACGAGGGCTCTCTGATATCGGTCCTACAGCCTGCCTACTGCAAATGTTCGTGTGAGTGCTGATAACATGTACGAAAGGCTTTGAGCTGCAATTCTTCCAGCCCGTCATGGATATATGTATGCACGTAAAGACATTCATTCTGAAAGTACGCCTGTTGCATGCATGCTCTTTCTCTCTTTCTCAAATATAGGAACAGGTGGAGATGTTTTCAAAAGAATCTCACGTTCTCGATTTTTTCCAGTAGGAACTGTCGTTCTTCACCTTCCCGTGCGAGGCGCTCGTGCAAGGAAATCACGAGCTCTTTGTCAATCTTTGCTGCTCTCAACTCATTCGCCATCCTCGCTTTCTCTTCAGCGAATTCCGCCCATTTTGCTGATGAGAATGTTCACCATAAGGCTCAGATATATAACAAAATAACCAAGCTACTGAATGCACAATATATGTACGTGGAAAAGCAAATCATTCTCCTTCTACTCCGCTGATAATTGCTTCAGCAGCCAAGCGCAAAACTTGCTTCAACCGCACTAGCACTGGAATGCTACAACTCTATCTCCATGAACTTAGTTCCGTTACCTTCCATGTGACCCCGATCCGTCTGCAGCAGCTCGTTTTTGCTCCGATATTGATCCTCTAACTCCTTCAATCTCCTGTCTCGATCAAAACCAGCCATCATGAAGCGTGCACGCCAAGATTTGAATAGCAAATCAGGAAGGCACTAAGCACACTGCTGAACTTGAAGTTTGAAGATTTGGCAGGACAAATTTTAAGTATCGTCGAGTACTTAGCATATACAGTATGTCTGGAAGCGCTTAAAGTAGACTAGTACAAGATCATCTCATTACGAGAGGATGAAATATTTGGGTGAACCGCGTGAACGAGTGCTCTGATCACTCATCACTGAGCCTGGTCAGGACGCACATTTGGGCACTTTCATCAACCCGGGCGTAGAGAGTTTCTCGCAAGTGATTGATGTCCTCCTCCCTCATCTTCAGATACTTTTCATGTTCGTCAAGCTTCTCCTCTCGCCGTAACTGGATTCAACAAGCGCAACGTCGTCTTTATAAGCCTATACTGTTGTTGGCATCACGTAGTTCAGGCTTGAGTTCAATTCAAATATGGACAACAGTTTATTCGTACTTTTTGTCGTATATTGTTTTGATGTTTTGAACTCTTTTGAAGTATTTGATTGGGATATATTCTCCAAATACCTCCAGCATTGTCTAATGCTACCATTTACTCTCATTGACTCTGATGGATTAATTATAGCTTGATACCACTCCTTTAACCCTCAAGAGGACTAATGGAACACTTGGCTTGGCTCTAACTTGATATTCAGCCAAAGTGCTACTTTTCAACCTCATTTTCATCATTCCATCCCTCAAAGTTGTGATCAATACCAGAGTGATTGACTTTGCAAGTTTCATATTTTGAATTATGTGCAAGCAATATAAACAAGTTCATAGCTGATTTCATACATAGTTCATGACTAAATAAAACTTACCTGAAGTTGGCTTATGGCTTCCAAACCCTACTCAAGAATAAAGTACAATAGTACTCGAATATGGTCGAAATCTTTACTAGCATTTACTCTTAATGCTACATAACTCGGTTCTCATAAAATGTTAGTATCATCAATTACTAATTTGGTGCTAAAACCATAAAGAAATGGGAGATCAATATTATGTTCAAATAATATTTACAAATTACTAAGACTAAGATTACATTAAGATTTGTATAACTATTTCAATTTGTAATTCGCTTATCATATTCTTCATGTATATTTCATTTTACTCATTTATCAACCAATGGCTACGTAATATTTGTTCAAAATAGCTTATCATTTTCTTAATGTATATTTCATTGGTCTGGTAATCTATCAATTACTGGGTGTAACTTCGTAATGGCTTAACATTTCCAATAGATAGTTCTGATTCCACAAGGAGGAAATAGAAGCATGAATCAAAGTGAGGAAATACATTACTTGCAACTCTTCTCTTCCTTGGAGCTTCTCTGCTCTGTCTCGGAAGTTCGTGATATCCGCTAGCAGTTTCTGACGCTGCTCATATGCTGAAGCTTCGATTGCCTGCACTGAAAGGATCACGGATGTTGGATGCATCTAAGTGCCGATCAGATTCTCTGCATGTGTAGGAACCGGAAATCCAGCAGAATGAAGAAACCATGAGTTTGTCATGATCAAAACCACGAGGAAAACATGGTTTACTTCTCCTGGTCCGACAACAGATTACTCGAAGCGAACATTCCAACTCTTTAGTGAGTCGATTGGTGAACTTAGTGGATCGCTCTTAGAGACCTTTTCCTTGACGAGCAATCGCTCCATCAACGACTCTTCCCTCTCACGAATTCGCTCCAATCTAGCCTTATGGAGCTCCTCTAACTCCTCCCGATCTCTGGATAGCTGCCTGCACGCCCTAAGGTGTTGAGTGAAGTTTCATTCGGCTAAGATGCAGAGGATGCTAAAAAATCTGTCAGGTTAGACATTACAATACGGCCAGGTAGAATATGTCTGCGCGCTTCTGGGCTTTTTTGGTGTATTTTGGTATGTCCATCTGTTGTCTTACATTCATTCCTACCTGTCGTTCATGATCAGGACGTAGAAAGATAGTCCTCTAAAAGTTGTGTACATTATGTGCACTGATGTTCATGATTATGAAAGAGAGTACCTGCGGTAACGGCATGCCTCCTCCATTCGCAAAGCATTGGTTTCATACTCTCGGACGCGATTGACCTGTACAGTGAGTATTCTCCAAGACTTTAAGAAGCGTCCTCATATACTGAATAAAAGCAGAACTCATCTTGACAAGCTTTCAAAGAAGTCCTTCAATAATGTCCATGGTCCGCAGTATCTGTGGTTTGCAGGTTTAACAGTACGCAATGTAAGTAAATTATGTTGATGGAACAGTTTTAGAAAGGTTCAAGGCACGCAGTGCGAGAACCATCGGGAGAAGTTCTTCCTTTTTCTCGTAATTAGATTCAAATAGATAATTTCTTTGCTATGAGATTCAAGCATGTCAAATAATTAGTGACTGCAGAGCTTCACGAACGCTTCGTTATACTTGTCCTTGAAATATTCGAGAACTACGGGTCCAAACCTAGACCTGGAAGGCGACTTCAGAGTTCACACGAGTTTCGAATTCCTTGCGAAAAGCATTGAATCGATCCTCAAGGGAGCAGAGAGCAAGCTGTCTTTCTGCTTCTTGCTTTGTGTAGCATTCATCATCGATTTGTCGTAAGCAGCTGTCTGCATGAAGGCAAAAGATATTCAACATTACAAGGAATCAAGAAGCAGATTCAAGAATAGAAGCAAAGAGTTGGAACATCTTTACATCTGAGCCTTACTGTCACAGTTTATGAATCACTTCCCACTTACATTATCATGCAAGTTCACTTTATGTGAATCTGACTGTATAGAGCTTCACTTACAGTCGCTTTTGACAATTTATGTGATTCTTTTTACAGTACTGGACAATTCAACGGGATTATTGATCTTGCTTTGAAAATAAGGGATGAAAAAGTACCAAGATCTTGAGTTTGTATGGAAGCATCATTCGTCTTGATACGGAACGAGTACTTTTGGAGCACCATGACCAACTGCTGCACTAAACATCCTTTTCCATCAGGAGCCTGGAAGCAAACGTCAGTTCGTATTAGTTATCCTTGAAAGGGCGAACTTCTCAAAACTACAGGAAAAATATTGTTTCGATGGATGTCAACACGAAGTAGGTCCGGTAGCTATTAGTCGTTCATCTTCGTAGCATCAGGACGTTCAAAAATTTTCGCTTCTCAGGTTTTGGGAATTCCTTCTTGTTTCACGTAAACTCACAAATTTCAGCCGAGGACTGAAAGTTGATGACGAGTCCAAATGCAGCAGCTGTAAAATCTCCTGGTTGGAATACGGAGGCCAAGATACCATCCGGCTCTCCGGAAGGAAAACGGACTGTGTAAAAGCATAGCCGTAAGAATTGAGATAGTCCAGGAACAAACTACCGAGAAGCCTCTCGGTTACGGAGGGTTTTCTATTCTTATCCTTATTCTGCAGCAAAGTTCCGTCCTGCTCACGTAAATGGTCCAACAAGCGAACCCGCAATTGACTCTGCTCATGCAAGATCGAACCGGGAAATAGTCAGTGCATCGCGTTGGAGATGCAAAGTAACACAGCTTATTGTATTCAGTATAGTGGGAAGCACTGTTTGACGCTTGGGATTCATCTGCATTCAGATTTGGTTAGAATTAATGACCTACGAATTTGCCAGAGTCAGGAACTCTGACGGATAAGCGTCTACTTGATGCAAGTTCGAGTGAGATCACAGAGTCGAACCTTAAGTGAGTCCAGTATGCCCGTACACTGTAGTGAGGTAAACAGCTGTTTCTTCAATTCTTGAACTGACAGTTCCGGATCGGCCATTTCAACTTCGTTCAAATGCATTGAGTCTTCAATTTGAGTCTCTGTTGAATCGTAAGCTTCGACGATTTTGAACGTAAGCTTCAATATCTTATAGAAGCAACCATTCTTCCTTATCCTGCTGTTACTAGAGAGGAGCGAAAAGCTCAATATTGTATGCATGGACAATATGAGTTTGAATAGGAGTCTCGTGCATTGACAGATCAGTTACAGATGATGTGGTTGTAATTGCTGGTCGACACGACTTGCGGTCTTCTAACGCCCCACGTGTGCACCTTCATTTCCAATCTGAGGGGACATGTATTCCACCATCCTTAGGCGCCAGGGAAACGGATCGAACTGCGAAACGTGTGACTCCTTCCAATTTCTCTCCACAAAATCGCTCGCTATTCACGAGAAGAAACTTGGCCAAGACTTTCCTACCTCATTCCAAAGTAGACTATCTGACTTCCCTCTAGACTGACGAAATATCCGAGAGTTCTTCACATCCTGATTACAGTCCTGCTGTCTGTGAGGCATAGGTAAGCAAACTTTCAAAATTCCAGCACCATATCTACCTCTCTCTACAGCTTTCGCAATCTCGACTTAACTCAGTCCTAACACCCAGATACGGAAAGGTTGGCTTCAGGGAGTGAAAATTAATCACTTACCTCTTCATCAGAGGTCAACGGCAACAAGAGAGGAAGAACGCTGCAACCAAGATAGTATGTAAGGCAAGACTCACGTTCGAAAATTACTCGAAAAAATTCAGGAAGCTCGTGTAGCTGTCAGAATGAGAAGGAAAACAATGTTAGGTTTAATTATTCCCAACTTGTACCAAATTAAGCTCCGCAACTTCTACTTCAGTTATAATTTATTTTCGGTGTTACATCCATCAAGCACGACATCATCTAACCGCTCTCATGAAGACTCGACTATTAGTGATTCTCACTCGCACGTTTTCTTCGATGTAAACCCAGAATCGTGGTTGGTGCGGAAAACACGGAAGCGTTCCGACTCTCTTCCCTTTCGGTGACTGCCAATTTGAACTGCAGAGCAAAATCAAATATCTTCCTGTTTCACATCCTGTCTGTTAGAAGATGAAGGCGGTATCTAAATAGTAGCCGATAGCAGTGGATCAGTAATCGTGTTCATTCTGCAGGAGGTGTGATTTGTTCTAAGGGCCAGACAACGCTCAAGGAGAGGCAAGAAGTATAATCGGCCCGGCCCCGAAGATCGATGAGCCCGACTTCTGGTCAGTCAACACGTCATCAGATGTCACACAACCCGTGATCGTCTTTTAATGCGATCTTCCTTCGCAAAAGATTGCATCCCCACCGTCTACAGTTTCATACCATATAACTTTGGAATTACTGTACTGATCTCGTATTGAAACCTCTGTTAACTGTCGAGTTTCCAATCGTGATTATCCAGATTAAGGTTCTGATCACAATTATGTTAAATTGTTGCGGCATCGGATGCTCTCACGTACTGTCTTAGGTGTTGTAGGATATTGTGATATCATTGGAGATTAGGTTATAGTTACTATACACATTTGGCTTCATCCTTATTCAGCTTGATAAAATACTCTCACCTTATGTTTTGTTATACTTGGCCTTTTTGTCTAGATGATATAAGTATGATACTTTGGTAATCTATCTGGAATGAAGTTTGGTCTTGATTTCGTTCAAAATGTAAAATAATTGATCTCCAAGCCTTTTTCTTGTATTACATGTTGTCCCTTTATACACTATCAACGTTAGTAGATACCTATGTTTTATATTTGTGATTTAAATCTACTTCATAGTCATTTTCAATGAAATCTCATTTTTATCTTCATTAAAAAATTGAAAAAATCTTTGCTTAAATTCATCATGGATGGCTTTGAACAATGCATGAAATGTAAAGTATGTTGGATTAACAAAATTATGTAGACTAATCATTGCAATATATATGTATATAAGAAAGAAAATCCTGGATTTTGATGTCTTTGTAGAGTTGCTACGGATTGATGCAGTGTAACCAAATGTAGATATATCTTTGAACTGAGGAAAGTTTTGTGAGGACAACTATAATATGTAATGTCAAAGTTTTGTGTATTTAAAAGGGAATAGTATTGACTACATCACACAAATATACGTTAAGGTGAAGAAAGAGACTTCTAAAGGAAAGTTTGTAATGAAATATCATCTTCTTTCTTTAGATACGCATCTCCAAGGACAAATCTCATGTTAAATTTGTCTTGTATAAATAAATGAAGATAAGGCAGTGTGATTAACAATGGTTACATTCATCATTCGGAGTCAAAAGAAGAGAAAACATAACTGTCATCGCAAGACTGGTTCTTAGGTTCAATTTTCTGCTGTGCATATCTCCATGTGTGAAAAACAATCTACTTGGTGCATTGATTCATTCCACCAGTCAAGGGTGCACTCCTCATGAACGTATTACGAGGTGACGCCCAATCTTCCATAATAGGAACAAATTCTACATTTTGAAATGAAATAAGTATATTTTCCCTCAAAATAGCAAAACAAGAGAAAGAAAAAAAAATTAACCGTTTTGTAGCTGAAAAGTGAAAATAATTTTACATATAATTTTTCTCGGTTTGAATAAAAACCTGCAATTACATCCATGAATTCAAAAGTCAATACCCAGTTTCATAGTGTATGTAATGCAGCCTGAAAATTAGTCACTATCAGTGGATAGATATGGATATTTAATTTTTAATTATATATTTTTTATATATAAAATTTTCATTAAGATTTGAGTATTTCATCATATGAACAACCCTCATTGGATTTGACGTAAATAATTTATATATAATATATACAAACTTGTTTATAGTGTCGTCAAATCAGTCAGGATGGCCGAGTGGTCTAAGGCGCCCGACTCAAGTTCGGGTCTCGTGAGAGGCGTGGGTTCAAATCCCACTTCTGACATTGAAAGGAATTAATTCGGTGTAGCTTTAATCTCTGTCACGACTCATACTATTGTAGGGTTGTGAGCTATTGCAGTACAATCCATAGACCTACATGGCGGAACTACCACTACCCACATGTATGTAATGTAGCTCGTCTCTCTGCTTCCTGTACGGCAAATTTTAAATCAGTTTGTTACGTATTACGATAATCGACTGGATACTACTCAAAACTATTTACTTCCAAAGAACGAGCAAGGACAATTGTATAGTGATTTATAAGTATAATATTGGATCTTACATCACGATAATTTATTCAAAAGCTACTGTAGTTTAAATTTTTTATGACTGACAGTAGTTCAGAGTTGTCTTTGGCGTATAGCTTTCTCTAGATGAGTCTATATCCTTCACTGAACCATCGTTGACACTTATAATTAACTTATAGAAAGAAGCACGGTCTACAGTAATAGATAATAAGAACTGCAATGAATCTTTTTTCAAATTTGAAATAAAAGATTCAAGAATAACCTTCTTCGTATCTAAATTGAAAATATTTTAGATCACTAACATTGAATTTGATTTACATTGCATTAATAAAGTTATAAAAGAAAACTTTTATAGAAATACACGCTTTCTAACTTCGGTTAATCAAATGCAACATGACATATATTTAATCAATGTGAAACACATTATCAAACCGAAAAAGTAAATGTGAAATAAAAGAAAAAATGCAGTTAGACGCATAAACATGAAGACAAGTAACATGTTACGTACAAAAATTGTGTTGAAGCTTTGGAATGAAGAAAACATTTCACTCATGCAACATCTAATGAATACATATATTCCTTAAACTCAAACAGAAAAGTAACATAAAACATTGAAACTATATAAGTCAACAGCAAAGAGTTTGGAATCAAATATCTTGTCAACTATCAATTGAATAGACATTTTTAATCATTTTTTTCTGAGTAAAAAATGTAAACTCTTACAATTATGGAACAAGTCCATCTGATTTATCTTACATTGTCGCTTTTTTAATTGATCTTGGTTTTTTTTTTCATTAATATATATAACAATCAACAACATAACATTTGATTCATTGAAAATCTATAAACTTTAATTTGTTTTTGAACTGAAGATGTGATTATATATTTAAATATTTTATATTATTTCACTCAAATTATAATTTCATGCAATATAAAATTTTGCATGTTATTATAAATATTTCAATTAAAAATTTAAATCTTGACATAAAAATTTTAAAAAAATTTATAAATATAAATAATTAAAAAATAATAATATTTATGAATAAATTTTAAGCCTAGACAGTTTATTAAAAAACTTAAAATTCACATACAATATTATGTGGTTTAAATTTAGAAAAAAAAATAACAAATTGATTGAACAGAATTTTATCTATTTTGTTTTGTTAAAAATTACCTTGAGTTTTTTTAACATATGATAATTTCAATAGGAATATAAATTATAAAAGAGTACATGAATGACAAATAAAACGACCAATTTTTTTGAAAAAACCAACTAATATAAAAATAAAAATTATAATTAATATATGGATTAATAGCACACTATATTGGACTATTCATATTATCTACGTTAACGATATGTGTGCTTGATAGGTACATATTAATTATGTTACTTAGTGACAAAAATTCATATGCTTGTTAGGTAGAGATTAATCATGTTAATTAGTAACAACAATTCGTATGCATGTTAAGTAAGGATTGAATATGCTAGTTATTTAGTTAGTTTTCATTAGGTATATTTGACATGTTATCATTTCACTATGAGTGGATGAGATGATGAAAATATATAATTTATATTTTTTTATGTGTTTATAATAATTATAGATATCTTTTATTTTCAAATTTATAGTCTATTTTCAATTGAACTACTCTCTTGATTTTTAATGTTACACAATCCACTAATTTGCTTATTTGTTAGTTAAAGATTGAGTGTGTTAGTAAAAAATAACAAGTCAACAATCCGTTTGCTTATTAGAATTATCCGCCATGTCATCAATAAATTAGGAATGAAATACATAATAAATGTTAGAGATAATTTTTTTGTACTTGTTAATAATATCTATATAAATAAGAAAAAAATCATTACATAATATACAAACTGAACATGTTATTTCAACGCATTGTCATAAAACATATGTTGATTATTATCTATTATAGTTTTTTATTAACATTTTGTTTTAATATTTTGGTGTAATTTTTTTATCATCTAAAACAATTAATCAAATATTTTGCTTAACTTTATTATGTATTTCTTACTTAAAGTTTTATGAATACCAAAAATATATAGAGATATTTGATAAATACTTGTGATATCATTATTGAGATTAAAGTCATCTCATTCATTTTTAAAAATAATATCTTATTCTTGTCAAAATTGGAGTGATGGCTTCAATGTATGAAAAAATTTCAAAAAATTACACCTAATAAATACAGTAAACATACAAATTGGATTGTACACAATTGTGTATGGAAATTTAATTCGAGTTTCACATATAATAGCTCAATCTTGCTATTAATTTTTTTTTAAGTTATTTGTTACAAAAGAAAGATCTATAAACACAACAGATTTGAGACTTTTTTTTGAAGCACAATAATGTATATTTTGAATCAATTATTTTTGATTGAGCAAATAATATATGCACAATATGAGAATTGTTGATATTTTTCTACAACATAGAAGCTATCAAATAAATAGAATATCAAATAAACTTAACAATAAAGTTAAAATTATAAATATTTTGATTTTTATAAGCATAAGTGAGTTCGCATGAACTTTCTGTCACTAGAGTGAAAGAGATCATAACTTTGATTTTTACAAAAGTTATCTCAAAATAATCAAAATTGCAAAGTCTACAACATCAATCAACTGAAATGTACAAAAAAAACACTTCATCATGTGCAAACTCCTTGTCACAAAATCATCTACATTTCACAAGAAATTTCTCAGATCTACTCAATAACCCCAAGGTTTGTTCGATACTAGTTGTCAGCAAGTTTTCATTATTGTCACTAGTTAAATCATGCCTTGATCTAATTTAATCATACCACAAACTAAGTTTACCTAATCCATCATATTGACAAGTCTATCTCACATCTTCTTCAAGAGAAAAATGCTTAATCAGTGACTAATACTATTAGGATAGTGATCAAAGCGAATGAAGCTTGAAGCCTCGTAACAATATGATAACAAAGTTCAAATTTGAAGTAAAATATATTTTCATAAACATATTTTATGAAACTATAAGTTTTTTTGAAGATGCATAAATCAAATAAAAGAGATAGATCTCACGTTTGAAACAAAAATTTTGCAACTCCTCAGCTAGATAAATTTGAAGCTTTTGCAAACGAGTATATTTAGTATATACTCGTCATATATGATGAGCTAGAGTGAAAGTTGGTAGAGTGTATCCATAGATGATAAACATATACGTGAATTCAAATAAATAACAAAAAAAGGTGAGCAAAGTCTTGTAACTCAAGTACAAATAATAGACGAAGATTTATCATTGATAGATTGTAGAATAATTAGTTCAGCTTTTAGATGTTTGCTTCAAAGGGTAAACATACACTAAAGGAAGTAGATGCAAAGGTATAGTCCAAAAAGTTTGATTTTTCTAGTTGATATTGGGAAGAAATTGCTAGCACTTTAACATGGAGTAGATATAATTTATAACAGATTTATAATATCTCTTGCTAAATTATCATTTTTTGACTCTCAATCGTAAGAGAAAACACAATCTGGAAAAGCTGATCATACAGATTTATTGAACCTAGACTAGAGCCAATGCAAATTTAACCAAGTAATTGTACACAAGATGTATAAATGTATTGTCTCCATTCCATCTGCTAATCATTTGTATACAAAATTAATGAACTAGAAAATTACACAAAATTCGACTCATCTTATTGTGTACGGAAGATATCTAGATTGATTGATGCATATTCTGTTATTTTGTTCATTGTGTGAAACAATTTAGGTAAACTCTTTCATACGTTTCTGTTTAGATTATAAAATAAAAACATAATTCTATTTTTCTAATCTTTTAATCCCTTTATAACCACAATTCCTATTTACTTGTTGCAAATAATGAGTTTTTTTACTACAACTATATATTATTCCAATATCCTAAAATAAACTTCTTGAAATCAATTAAATCAATCCATGAAAAAAGAGGAATATAAAATCCAATCCATTTTCCAAAATTCCGAAAGAATCAATATCAAAAACATGTTTATTTCCATGTAATTCACTATCTAATGCTCCGTGAAATTGATATCTGATATAACTATCACATGGAAGCAATTTGAAATGATTACAATTATTGTCCCTTCGCTTTCAACTTTAGGTAAAATATAACCTCTAGATATCAGAAAATATAGTCAGGCTAATCTAACTTACTCTCCGCTCCCCCCATGCTAAGCTATTGTTATAATGGACAATTGAGAATTTGCAGATCCATGTGATCTACAAAATTATACGAAATCAAGTCTACATTAGATATCATACTAGAAGAAAAGGTCTGCCAAGCATGATCCGTAAAACCTCTGGTTTGACCCGGGAACCGATGCCATTCTATTGGAGAATGATCCAAAGAAGAAAACTTCTGCTTATTTCTATGTAGGTAACCGATAGTTATATCTCTCTAAAGTCTGGATTCCTCCTCTCCTGTGTAACAATATCGAGAATAGGATTTTTCAAACACTTTGTAAGTATGGTCTTTGTATATACCCAGAGACTAGAGCAAAGTGCAGTAGATGCAAGCCTTTGCACGGTCTTCTCTCGATCTACATACATGTAAGCTTTACGATAAGTTAAACTTCAGTGCAATGACATGCACATCTCAGATACCACGTTCTATGACCTTACAGATTTGCCTTAATCGTCCTCATAGGTACGCATCAAATTGGAACCTTATATGGAACAACATAAATGCTTTGTTTCGAGTTTCATTTTCATATGATCTGTTTATTTGCAGTGTCTACAGGGTTGGATTGTATACCGTTAAATCAGCCTTTTAATATTCTAGCAGAAGTGTCTTGTTGAAGATTTGCATCTAGCTACAGTATTCCGTCATCGTCATTGGAGACGTCGCAGCCCCACGGGTAAGAGCATACCTTCATCTCTCTTTGGTCGAGAAGTAAAGCTTCAAAGATGACACTGTAAAATATGAAACATAAAATAGTTCTCAGCTTTTCACTTACTTCATGCCTTTGGAATGACCACACATTTCGATCACAAAAAATCAAAAGCACCAACACGGCTTGATGGATCTTCCCTTCCTTTTTGATAATATTGCTTGGTGTTCCCTGTAAGATAGAGAGTACACATATATACCCCATATTTACGAACTTTGGCTAAACTTAGTGCAGAGTTAGATTCCAAAATTCTAACCAAACTGCAATAATAAGCCAAAAAGTAGAAAACGCCTACAGAATACGCCTAAATGTGCAAGAAAAAGTTTAGAAGTTTTCCATTAGAATAAATATAAGCCGCCCTAGCTCAGTTGGTAGAGCGCAAGGCTCTTAACCTTGTGGTCGGGGGTTCGAGCCCCCCGGGCGGCGCTACAGATGGTTTTGATCTTTCTAGCAAAACTCCTTTGAGTGCTTCATCGCTTCTTTTGCACGAAGATTTTTTGACTGGGTGGGGAAAACCAAGTTGGTTTTCCCCACCCAGGTGCGCCGTATTAAGGTTTTCTTCCTTGTGCTACATACGACAGAAAGTTTGAACGTGAAGTTCTAGGGTGTTGAATCGAAGGAACTACAGACTACCATGAAAAATACACGAGAAAATCAAAACACACCCTCCAAAATTTTGAAAAAAAAATGTCGTTCGCCCACAGTCAACGAAAGTTGTCATTCAAGTTAGTTGGATATTTGCTTCACTCTTAGATTGTATTGGACAATAATCATATTGCTAAGAAAAGATATCATACCAGTGAGTTGAGATTAATGAATCATCTCTGTTGTTGCCAAGTTTACTATAATTACTTTGAAGAATATTTGACTGCTGTTTCCACATGAGGTATATCTTGTTCATCAAAAAAATTTTGTTTATAGATTTGCATTGGGAGTAGAGAGGAGAATAATATCATATACAAATCAACCCCATACTAACTTGAAACATTTGTCATTTGAACTATGACCTAATGGTAGAGAGTTAACAAATATAACCCTATGTCAGGTCAGGTGATATATTCGTTATTCCAAGAGCCATGTTGGTGGAGTTTAATACTCAATAAGGTAATGAGCCCAATGAACCAATCTAATAAATTAAACATGCGCGCATGAGTGATTCAAGGAGGCTGCTGAGGATACAATTTGGTCTGCGAAAACCAACATGATCTAATAGGAAATAGGGGAGAGATTTTGGAGACTTATATAGTCAATAAATACTGCAAATTCAGAGCACGTAGGTGTTTACGCTGGCACACGGATGGAAATGCTCAATAACGAAGATGTAGGTCCTAATAACGAGGGCTGGTCCTCCTACAATGTAGGAGGACCAGCCCTCGTTACAAGAACAGGCTGCATCACCAAGTGGCAAGGCGTTATCATGTCCCGCCCAGAATGTCCGGCTTTTGAAATCAAACGAGGGAAAGGGAGACCTCAGCGACTGTTCGAACGAATCGCAAGTTCCTGACAGCCGTCCCCCTCGCGCCAGAGCTTCAAATGTACGCCAAATTGCCTCTTGCTTCCGCGACCTCGTCGCCTGAGGATTCATGCTCGACTCGTGGGTCTCAGTGCCCGCAATCTCGACATCTCGACGGCGAGCGTCATGTCGGTGACGAGCTTTTGCGTGTAATCGAGGTGGCCACCAGAAATCGTCCGCTCTTGACAGTTGAGGTGAAGAACGCTTGAGTGGGCCATGTTTCGCAGGTTGAGATTTGTGGAGTGTAAGCGCAAAAGTTCATGTTATGGATCGCAATGTTCGTAATTTGAGAAGTGTGAGCCGGCGCAGTACGTGAAGGGATTGGGACTGACACCAGGACAATGCAACATGAGGCCTCAGGGTATAAGCATAGTAATTTCCAAACATTCGCGAACATAGCGGGACTATCGAGAACGGCCCCGCCGGACGTTTTTAAGCAATGTAGGCCTTCGGCGATGAATTGACGGATGGATTTGGGATTTAGGATTTAGGATCTTTTCCTCAGGATAGGCAGGTTTCTACCCTGCGTCGGCTTGAGCTCTGGAGCGGTCCCTCGGACACGGGCTTGCGATGCACAAATGAAGAAAAAGTTCTGGGGTGCGGAGCTGAAGGAAGTAGTTTCAGAACTGGAAAAGGAGTACGATCAGTGTCATACTTGCTGGCCGACGACAATTTTCTCACAGGGGAGTCTCACGGAGCGGAAGTTTTTCTGTTGTTCGAAAGTTGTGAGAGCCGACAGTGATACGAAGATGACCAGTACGGAAGAAGACAGCGGCGTTTTTTCGGGTGTCCGATTCTTGCTAGCCGGGTTTGAGCCATCATACGAGAAACAGGTGTTGTCTTGATGTCCTGTTATCTTTAACTCCGAGACATGAAATCTCTCGGAGTTGCCTGGGAGAAAACTTAATTTTCGCACATCTGTGCATAATGCATGGCTCGAGTCGTACATGCATTTGTTTGTGACTGAATGCAGTTGCTCAATTATAAAATCATTGCCAAATTGCTTTGTCTTGTTACTCACATTGAGATCCGGCGCCGGTAGCGCTAGAGATTAATCAGAATTTTGCAACCTGTTCGCATGCATTTCTAATGAATACGTTCGATGCTACGAAACCAGTATATTGAAGAATTGGAGGAGAACGGTGGCGAAAATGCTGTTGATTACCAGTCGAATCCAACTCATGTTATTGTATCGAATTTGGCTTTCGTATGTCCTCGTTACCTTACACCCACTATATTAGTAATTTCTCCACTTAGTGACTTCTAAATTTTCCATTTACAGCTTGCTGAAGCAAAGAAATTTCACCCGTTTTTGAAAAACACACAGGTCGCGTTTTTCTTTAGTTTACTGATGTGATTCGGATCAGAAACTCTTGTGAAGACCATTACTCATTTCAGATTATTTCTGGGCATAGGAACTACGTAGGTAGTGCCCGTGCCAGTGTGACGGCTCAGTCATTACGGCTTCTGATCAACATTCACGTTGACATTGAATTACAGGACGATCCCATATGTGCAGCTGCAAGGAAAGATGGTATTGCTCTGGTTACAGATTCTTGGGTTCCAGACTGTCTGGATAACGGTGCACTGGTTGACGTCAACAGCGTAAGCTTTTCTGATCATCTATTCTTGATGCTTTCACATTTAACATCCCAACATAATATTATCATTTTATCCTCACCCCGTTCAACTTCAGCATAGTGTAGTGATTAGATTTGACTCATGGTCTGGATTCGACCATCGCATCACACACTTGGGGGCCAGCTTAAAAACTTGCGTCATCCTGAACTGTAAGTCTTGAATTTTGCAGGTTTTGTACAGACCGCTCAAGGATCTCGATGGCATTCCTGGTAGTGAGGATCTATGCATATGTCTTACAGGATATCAAGGCCAACAACGACAAAAAATCATGGTTAGTATCGAACATGACTAAGCACTGCCTTGCGACTTGAGAAAAACTTATAATTAACGAAGATGTTGTGAATCTCAGTGAATTCTGCTTTACTATTGAGGCTGCTTATGAAGAAGGGCCTTTGATCTGACATTCGATGCCTCCTGCAGAGGATGGTGGAACTGATCGGTGCGAGATTTACCAAGCCACTTCTTGGGAACCTAGTTACTCACCTCATCTGCTACAAGTTTGAAGGTACAGTCGCACATGAGAAGTTTGAGATGGTTTGAACCGATAGCTTGAACCAAAAGAAGATGTGTCCTGCTAGCTTTCTGTGTGACATGGGGTCCGATGACGTTTTCCAGATGCTAAACCTCACCCGAGGAAAACGAGGTATTCCGTCTGCAGGAGCTCATTGGGTGATGGTTTGTTTGTCTGTCTCTCTGCTTTGAATCCATCGCAGGTGAAAAATATGATCTGGCCAAAAAGACAGGACTGAAGTTGATCAACCACTATTGGCTTGAAGACTGGTAGGTTCCTACTGGTTTGAACGACTGTAAAACTCTTACATGAATAAATTATATCGCACGCGAGCTTCTTTTCTTCTTGTTCTGGAAGAGTTTTTTTAAGCTGCCTTGTTTGCAGACTTCTGTATCATTGTAACAACGTCCAACTTACGTGCATTTTCTGTTTCAGCTTGAAAGCGTGGTCATTGCTTCCGGAGGCAGACTATTCACGCAGGTAAGGAAATGTGTTGCACTAGGCTCTGGTGTGGGAATGAAAATATTAACAGTATCTCGAATTTTGACACTCTTGTGGTAGATCAGAACTTGTTTTATTCTTTAACGACGAAAAGATGACAAATCAAATTACTCGTTCCTCAAGTCTTTGCAATATGCCGGAGATTGACATTTCCTTCACCTCATTAAGCTATGTACAAATTTACATGCAGTTGCTTCTGTAGGTGTTCCACCTGTCGGTATCTACAAGACTGTGTACTTTCCCCGTTTTTTTAACACTTCATTTCAAACAACCGAATTCACTCCGTTCCGACTTGTGTAGTGGTTGGGAGGTGGAGACAGATGCCAAGCAGCAGAAGATCATTGTGGAGAAGGACGAAGTGGTTCCCACCCTTGTGCCACAGAAGATAAACCAACAAAGGGCGACGGACGAGGTTCTCTCCCCCGACCGAGTTGAGTTGTCAACTAACAGAAGAAGTAGCGGCATTCTTGACAGCTCTAGCGCTAAATCTTCATCAATGAATGGCACTCCTTGCCGCAATTCTCCTACTCCTAAGCCATCCAGCTCACCGGACAAAGTGGGAGAGCAGGAGCGGCAAGACATTGCTCAAGCTGAAGCTACTGTCAAACAAGCGGCTGAGCTACAGGTGTCCGCGTCAGATATGACGGAGACCATGGACGGTATAGAGCGCAGCAATGCGCTTGAAGATCCAGATATCTTCCACGAAGCTCTTATGATCGCTGACGGACGAGGCCAGACGAGCCCGGTGCACGCGAAAAAGACTAATACTAGCCATTCAAGACGAAGATCTTCAGGTGGTGTGGCGAACCCTGTGTCTCCAGCAAGTCCAGGGATTTGTGAAGCTGCTGTTGCAGCGGATCAGAGTGCCAGCATTGACTGTGCCATAGAACGAATGAGTATCAGCCCGGACCTTCCTGCCAAGAGAAGGTTAAGCGGAATACAGGGGCCTGAACCGTCAGCAGAAACCAGCAGAAACGCAGTGGACTTAGAAAGTCCTGAAAACAAGCGCAGAAAGGGCTCAAGATTGAGTAGGATGGGACTTTCTCCTCCGATTAAAAACGATTGTTCGACCAAGGTGCAGGAGAGTCCTAAGAGTGCACTGGTTACAAAGCAGATCGCTTCACCCAGTGTTACTCCTCTACCCGACAAGCGGAAAGCTAACCATGAGCGTTCGTCAAATGAGGAGGAAACACAAAATGGTGCTACTTCTAACTCCACTTCTCCTGAAGGCATAAATCGCGAAGATGATGTGGATATGGAAGTCGCCGAACCGTCTCGTCATTCCACTCCAGGAAACAAGCGCATCAATGGAGGCTCCAAACTTCGGGCAGTAGATGCGAGGAAGGTGCGTGATTCTTCGGATGGTCTTTTAAGCCCTCCCAAATCTACCACGGAAGACCCTGTCGAACACGAAGTTGATGATGCATTCAAGCACGCAGATACAACGCTTAGTGCAGTTAAGACAGGGGGTATCCAGCCGAGCTCACCTACAACCTCATCTGCAGTCGAGAAGGAAGTTGACATGGAGGATGTCGATCGAAGTCCCCGTTCTACACGCAACAGCAAAACGGCGGGTTTGAAGAAGAAGAGTAATATTCCCAAAGTTCGTAAGTCAGCTGACAAAAGCCCTGGTTTCATACCATCTGGTTCTACTACGGGGGAAACTGTCAATAACTCTGCTAATGGTACAACGCACGCAGATGCAGTGCAGAATGAGGGCTCTAGAAGAACTATGGAACCAAGCCCTCCGAAGTCTTCTTCGGCAGCCGAAAGCAAAGATGACATGGACCTCGATCGAAGTCCCTGTCCAACTCTCAAAACGAAAAAGGTGTCGGGGCAGAAGAAGGGTCCGGATTCTAAAATTCGCAAGTCGGTCGATAGAAGCCATGGCGTCGTGCCCCTTGAGGAGCAAGTCGAGGTGAGCCTGGCTAGCAGCTCGCCCAACGAAGGGACTCTAGTGAAGGATTATCGTGCCAGGAAGTCGTCCAAGAAAGCGCCCCAGGAAACAGGCTTACTAACCGCGTCCTCTGCGATGGCGGGGGACAGCGGAGGCCTGGTCGAGCACAACGTGGACACAGGAGCGATCGAACATGAGATCACACTCGAAGCGACTGCCGTGAAACAGTCGGCCAAGAAACAGAAGGGCTCTTCCAAAAAGGTACTCAAGGCGGCTTCATTCGTCTTGCCTGATGAAGGCAATCAGGAGTCCCCGAAGGCTGTCCAGCAAGGGGCTGCCCTCGAGACTGCTTCCGCAGAAGAAGCCACCACGTCAGCGATGAAGATCCCTCTTTCCCGACCGAAGAAGCATCAGAAATCATCTCCGAAGAGCATTGCTGCCATCTCCGCTGGGGATAAGGGAGAAGGGATCGCGAACGACGCACCACTGAAACTGAGTTCCCGGGAAAAGTCCACCAAGATCCCAGCCCTGGGCTCCGTCTCCAAACAGGACGCACGTCGCGGGAAGAAACCCAAGGAGAAATGTAAGATGCCCTCTAACGAGCAAGAAAAGGAGAACATCGAGCTCCAAGAGGGTAATCACGAACTTGTACTCAAGGAAGTAGCAGCAAAAGAGTCGTCAAAGAAAGGAGCTCGTATTTCTCTTTTAGGGGGCGCTTTACCCGGAACGAAGAAACATTTTGCTGTTGGAGGTTCGACAGATGAGAGGAAGAACTTGCACTATATCATCAAACTCTTAGGGGCTAAGGTCTGTACGAATCGGTATCAGTGGAAAGATGACATAACACATGTAGTTCTTCCAGTTCCACTTCGCCGCACCGAGAAATTTTTGGCAGGAGCTGCCGCAGGAAGGTAAGTCAGCAGTCAATCTTATGTACTCTACCCGAACTTGTCTTCCTGTAACACAGAAAACTCACATTAGGTCCAAAGGGTGACGTAGCTTCCAGATAATCCTCGCGCTGTGCATGATTTACACATCCTTTCGAACACAAGTTTTACATGGTGAGATAGAATTGGTTATCGTATGATATCATACTGACATCGTCGCAGAGTTCAGAGGGAAAACCGGATTCAACGGCCTGACAGCTATGAGCGTGGTTGTGATCGACAATTGCAGATGGATCCTCCAGCCTGAGTATGTGGAGGCGAGTAGAAAAGCAGGAATGTTCGTAGACGAGCAAAAGTATGAGTGGTTCGGAGAGGGAATGAATGAGAAAGGCACAATAAGTCTCCAGGCTCCAAGGAAGTGGAGGATTCAGTTTGCCAGAACCGGATGTGGTGCCTTTTACGGCCTACGTGTAGTGGTGTACGGTGGATGCATCTCTCCTCCTCTGGTAAGCAGCTATTAAGTATACATTCTTTTCTTCAGCCGAATATCTCATAATGCTCATAACAGGTGAGAGTCGTACATGTTGTCTTCTGATAATCGTCTGTTGTATTCTGTCTACCCCAGGAAACCCTGAAGCGAGCAATAAGAGCTGGTGGAGGTGCTGTCTTGGCAACGAGCCCACCTTATTCTCAACACCTCATGGACGGAGTGGACTTCGCCATTATTAACCCGGAATGTAACGATCAGGATGAGCACGTTCAGGAATTTCTGAGCCATGAAGTTGCCTGCGTGACTTCTGACTATATTGTTGACTACATCTGCCATCCAGCTTCCTCTCGAGCGAATCATGTCCTCTATGATACCCACCTAGCCGTTTCAAGCGCCGAGCAACGACTAGAGAGCAACATTGCACGGGGCCCTACTGAAGCCGACAAGTCTACAAAGCCCACCTCAAAAGTGCCCTCACGCCTCTCGAAGGAGGTCCGTGTCACAGACGACTTCGCCTGTGTTGTGTGCGGGAGAACAGATGATGAAAAGGTGATGCTGTTGTGTGGAGACGGCAAGGGTAACGGTTGTGGCTTGGCCACTCACATTCATTGCTGCTCTCCGCCGCTTTTCGAGGTTCCTGAGGAGGATTGGTTTTGTAGGAACTGTGAAGACTTGTAGAAGCCATATGTAGTTACAATATTTGCGGTTTAGACTTCATAGAGCCTCTACCCCGGCTGCGATTTACATAGCCCTGCAGGAACCTTGAACACGTGAGAATCTAGCTTGCATAGATTAGCTTCAGACCTGCGTTGTATTGCCTCGCATAGTTCGATGTAAACTATTGTCATCAACATCTAGTGGTAGGAATATAACCAGACTGTTAGGAATTCTTCCAGTACGCATTTTAGCTCTGGATATCTTTACTTTTCTGAGATAGAGAAATTGTACAGAACGAAGATCGGCCTTCCTGTTCCAGTGATCACCTGTACCTCCCGTGATCTGGAAGTTTTCATAGGACACATATAGATTAAATTCCCGACAGACTCGCAAGCTTCTTACATGGTAACTATCTTGCAATCCAGGAGAAATTTATCCACACACCATTCGATGTGATGTTCCGGTTGAGTTTGAAAAGGATTGTCGTAAAAGGTAATCGTAAAAAACAACGCTCGCACAAGACACCTGACTCTTGAAGAATGTCACACAACTATTGGATTTCCCCGGGCCAAACGAGTAGTAAACTACCATTAACCTTCGATGCGGTATCAGCAAGGTTTAAAGCCCTGTCTAAAGAACTGGGTCTTGTGGAAGCACCAATTATATGCCCTGCAAGTTTCGTTGCCATGGTCAGGTAATGAAATCAACCGAAAGATGAGGCCACAGATGCTACCTATCACTGACAGCAGAGCGAGTCCTTGACATAGCGCACGTAAAAAGGATCAGAAAAGGTACTTAAAGCCAGTCAGACGTCGAAAGAGAGAAAACCACGGTGGAACTTGAGTGTAAATGATGACGGACGGAAAATTGTGACAATTTAGTGTCTTTTCAGAAATATGACAGATTGGTAGATTGGTGTCAATCCACCGCACGGCGAGGGTTGAAATCTAAAAACATGTGGAAATTTCCCTCAGACGTACATCCCTATCAGATGGACCTCAAGTCGTCTTACGACGTATTTTCGGAAAGGTTCATCCTGTTCTATGAACGATAGACTGACAGTACTGCCGTCAATTCGAGGGAATTCGACGTCCGAGGAACGAATCGCGGAGACTCGTCTAAATGCTCTCATGCGACATTCCTCCGCATCGCCTTTACTGGTACATGCATACTTCAGCTGGGCTGCCAAAAATGGATTGGGTTCGATGATGGAGCGGCTTCAAGACCCACGAGAAAGAGAGCCAGATGATCTAATCACGAACTCACTACAGTCATCACAAATTGCTGCCGCAAAATGTTGGCGTCAATTCCAAAGCGAAGGCCGACGCTCCTCCTCCTCCATTGCAGACTCCAGCGACGCCATATCGGCCGTTCTTGGCCTTCAGAACACCTAGAAGAGTAACGAGGATTCGAGCTCCACTGCAGCCGAGGGGATGACCGAGTGATACAGCTCCTCCGTGGACATTCACTTTTCCCATATCCAAGCCCAGAATCTTTTGGTTGGCCACGGCAACAACTGAGAATGCCTCGTTGATCTCGTAAAAGTCCACCTGAGATGCGTCGATGCCAGCCCTGGCAATCGCCTTGGGGATGGCCAGAGCCGGGGCAGTGGTGAAAAGCTCGGGTGCCTGAGCGGCATCCGCGTAGCCTCGCACCTTGGCAATGACGGTGAGGCCCTTCTCGAGAGCGAATTTCCCGCTCACCAAAACCAACGCTGCAGCGCCATCGCTGATACTGGAAGCGTTTCCGGCGGTGACACTTCCTCCCTCCTTGAAAGCTGGTCTGAGCTTCCTCAATTTGGCCGCATCGAGCTTGTCCACGCCATCGTCCTTCGTTACGACGACATTCGGCTTGCCCCTGCCGCCGGGGACCTCCACAGGGACAATCTCCCACTGAAAAGCACCGGCATTGGTTGCTGCGATAGCCCTCTCGTAGCTCTGGATCGAGTAGTCGTCCTGCTCCTCGCGGGTCACGCTGTGATTATCGGCGCAAAGCTCTGCGCACACCCCCATGCCCTTGTCACTGTAAACATCCCACAAACCGTCCTTGATCATGCCATCCAAAACCTCGCCGTGTCCCAATCTGTACCCGGTTCTGGCTTTCGGCAGATAATAGGGAGTGTTCGACATGCTCTCCATGCCTCCCGCGACGACGACATCGTTCTGACCCAGCTCGATGCTCTGAGCGGCGAGCATTGTCGCCTTCATGCCCGAGGCGCAAACCTTGTTCACGGTCGTGCACACGACGGAGTGCGGCAGGCCTGCGCCCAGAGCCGCTTGCCGAGCCGGCGCCTGGCCAAGATTGGCGCTCAGGACATTCCCGAAGATGACCTCCTCCACGAGCGCCGGGTCCACTCCCGCTCGGCTCAGGGCGGCCTGGATGGCGATGGATCCCAATTTGGTGGCCGCCAGGCTCGACAGCGAGCCGCTCTGCCCTCCCATGGGCGTCCTCGCCACGCCCACGATGCACACATCGCGGGGAGCGATGGAAGCCTCGTCCATCGCGGGGGCCATCGTCGCAAGACAAGAAAGAAGCACTCGCTCTGCCGCCTGGACGGATCGACAATTCTCCCAAGAACAGGCTCGATCTCCCGACGCTCTGGCTTCTGCTCGAGACCAGCTCGCCCTCTTATAGCTCAATGCTAATGGTAAATAGCAACGCGCAGCCTACGATGCGGTCGTCGCGTGTTTCTCCAGTCGGTGGACGCAGGACGACGCAATCATTCGATCGCTCGTACGGGCCCGGACGCCTCCTGCACGAGCACAGCAAGAATCAGCACCCAAATCAGCACCGAAGAAGCAAGTCGACCCAACGGCATCGGCCCCTCGACGCGATTCTACCACCTCGACATTGCAATCAAACCGCGCAGTGGCACGCCGATCTCGAATCTCGACGAGTATTCGGACAAAATTCGAAATGGGCCCAAAAAGGTGATTACCCCAAGCGCACGAGGTCGCCAGAGCGCTGCGAGTCGGAGAGAGAGAAAGGGCGAAGCGCGAGAAGCGTCGGCACGGGAGCGATCGCGAGACTAGTTGGTGTGAGCATCCGGCCCCGTTTTTTAATCCGTCGCGACCTGCTCTTGACTTCTCGGCGAAACGTGCGTTTTGTCCACCCGTCTCTTCCGGCTCCGCAGTGCCTCGCTCTGCTCCGCAGAGTTCTCAGATTGTCTTCCTTCGAGGGAGGACTTCTTCGTCTCTCCGTGGGGGGATCATCATCAATGCCGTCAATGATGGCGAGCATGAATATGGGAAGGATCGACGGCATGTTGTGTTGTGATTGTGTAGCGCCGGGTGGCCGATCCTCGATCACCTCTGCCCATGTCTCGTGTGCACTCGGAGACATGTGACACGGAAAATTGTTGGAGGAATTCAAGTGAGCGAAGGAGTCAGAAGTTCGTATGGGATAGAATTGGTTTGGGCTATGGATGCTAAGATTTCGACTGTTTTGCATGCTTAAGAATCCCTTGCATCCATGTCCCAGAAATCTTTGACTCAAGTTCTCAATCTAACGAGCAACATCCCACCCTTAATTTGATGGGGCATCCATCAAAATCATAAATTAATGATTTTGCTGCATACTGAATCAGGTCGAGAAGCAATAGAGCACTCTTGCATTCCGTCTATAAAATAAATGGGAAAATCTCGGAGAGGAGATAATATTGTAAACGCTGTTCACATTAATGATTGAATCTTTCAAGAAAGTGTTTGATAAACTTAAAGACTGAATGTACGAAAAGGCCCAAAACATCCGGGCTAATTAATGCATAGAAGGGATTAAGTTAAGAAAATGTCTTTGGGTTAATCACGGTTAAGAAGGGAGATCGTTTCTTAAACCCTTCGAAGCTGTGTAGTTTTCATAGTAGATTAGTATCTTCGGTGTACTAAGATAGTTCAAACTTTACCTCCTATATACCAGTGCTTATAGCAGTGCTGGGGATCCGAAATTTTGTGTCCTTGTTACAAGGGACAATTTTACGAATGAACAACTCTTTTTATGATCAAGTTTTCCTCTTGAGGGAAGTAAACCGTTGCTTTGCTTTTTGTCATGCCACATGTCTTATACTTAGAAATGAGTAGCGAGTTTGTAAAGTGTGTTAATATTTTTATACATTTTAAAAGTTTTCCAGTTCTCAAGGAAAAAGGTATCGTTCGGCGGAATGTTAAAAAGATGCACCAGACAGAAAAACTTGAGATGAAGGCAATCCAAACAGTAAGATCCCTTTATGACAGAGACCTCGTACTGAATCATATTTCTGCTTTGTGTGTTGGAGGCCCAACACACAAAGCAGACAACTTCAGAAAGTACTCAACAGCATAGTATGGAACTCAAGAATGACACATCGGATTTTAGTGAAGGGGCTGCAAGTTTTTACTTCTTAAAATTATTGAAGCTGTTATATATTTTCGTAGTTCGATTTTTTTTTTATAGGCAATACATTCAAAAATTCAGACGCATAGAAATGAAATTTTTTATTTTCCCTTACAACTTCATTACAGCAAATTCTTCTGAAAGAATTCACCAACCTGATCAAAATTTCTACTAATTGCTACTTTGGGCTGAAGACAAAAAAATTTCAGCAATTCATAAAAACATATTCTCAAAATCATGTGGAAATCAACAGAAGTTATCTTACACATTTTATAGATAATATGAAAGAAAACAAGAAAATTTTCATTTTGATAAAAAGAAGTCAAATGTTTCGTATGGGCAGGTCTCCTTCTAACAGATGGTGCCGTGGGAATCCCAAGTCCAACTCATAGCTTGCTAAGAACGAGGTTGCGTGGCACGAGCTGCCCCCGGAAGCAGCGGCCGCACAGTTTGGCTCTGCTCGTCGTCTGAGCAGGATGCGTTCTCGGTCTTATCTCGTCTCAGAGGACACGTGGCTCAGTCAGGCGGCCAGATATAGCGGCTGCCCACCCGACACCAGGCCCTGAAATGGCGGCCTTCTAATCGCTGCTGGGACTGGACTAATTCTCTCATAGACGAATATACGCAGGGATGAATGAAGTTTCGACCTTCATTCAATTAGAAGTCCCACCTGTTGGCCCAGACAGCATGAAAAATAATGACAGTGATCAAAACATCGCCTCAATGATCAAACTAAGACATGAGAAAGTTTAAGAAAAATGTCCGAGTGCAGCTTTGTTCAGCACATGATCTGCAATCTATAATTTCCTTAGTCCGACTTTTTAGGCCAAAATTTTGACTAAATTATTTTTTTCAAGCCAGCTTCTCATTCTAGCCAATCAATCTCTTTGGGTCTTATATATTGCATTCATGTCTGGCTCACTGTCTGTCGACGCCTGACTTCTTGCTTCTCAAGCTGGGGGTTTGACTTACATCGTGCGCCTGAGGGAAATTCCTCATTTCGATTTCTACGTGTGGTATCATTTGCATATGATTTGTGCATTTGTTGTCATTTCACGTGGGGCAAAGTCAATAACAAAACAACGGAAGATCCCACCCACATCAAGTCTTACAAGCATGAAACCAAAGTGTCACATGGCTTTTGTAAATAGCTTTGGTGGAATCCGAGTCGTCCAGTTCTTGTTTTGGTAGCAACTTTGAAGTTTTAGATTCGACTAAGTTTTTTAATGGATGGATGGTGGAAAAGCCTGCTGAGGTTATTATGAACCTGGTCTGTTCAAGATCATACCGTTTTATAAGTTCAGTTTAAACATTAGACGTCCGACAGCACAAAACCCTTGTCCATGTCCCTACAGGACTAGGATTCTTTTGCTCTCAGCACAGAGCGAAGGTTTGCAAAACAATCGGAGCATGAAGATGCATTGAAGGGAAGCTTATGGTGTAAGACACATTCATACTGCTATAGATCACTTTTGGTAACAGAATTATAGAGATTTTTTGTTGAACAATTCTTAACAATGCATATTACTATATTTTTACTTCTATAAAAATATATGAATATGCATCAGAAATATTTCTTTAGAAATTTGGATATATTGTCAATGAAGGATAATGATTGATTGAGATTTGATTTTCATAAAAAACCCAAAAAGGGCCAAGAAATTGAGAACATGAAGCACTATGACGGAAGGCAAACAACGCTCAAGCTTTTACTACTTACCTTATGACGTATCTATTTCCGACTAATTGATAATGGGTTAGAGTACAACCTTTATAAAATAAGCGAGAATCTAAATACCAGGATCTTCATGTATGTAATAATTGTCTATGAAAAGTCATGATGTCCAACGTTAGTATAATGTCAAAATCATGGCAAAAATGTTAATGAATATGTAGAGATTATAAATTTATATATATATGAAAGAAGAGATTTAACTGCTAGTCTAGAGTTTCCCATACTCACTTTGATACATTTTAAGCATGGAAAGTATTCAAAAAATCATTCATTATCCTCTCAGGATTGCATGGAATTGTTTCCGACTGTGGATACCGCCGAGATGAAGGTGTGTGCTCTAATAAGATACATTTTGGTACATTTCCAAAGATACTGATGACAAAAGGCTAAATCACCAAGCAACCTTTCTGAAAAACCCTTTGAGTTGTATTTTTTAAACTCTTACACAAATCACATCCAAATCATAAAAATTCCATTTGGATTTAGGAGTAAATAAAAAATCCCGAGAATAATTTCTATACATAAATCCTCATGCAAAATTATTCTCCTTGTTCTTAAAAAGTGAGACATCGTAAATTTATATATGTCTCCATCAACTTGTAAATAACAAGACTTTTAAGCATGTTCAATATCAATATAGTAGTGATATCAAAATATAAAGTTATAAACAGAGAAAGGAGGATAGGAGGAAACAGTACTCACGTCCTAAAAATTTATCAAGGTAAATTTCTAGGACATGACTAGTGTTTTAATCATTATGAGTTCATAATTTGTCAAAATTTATTTGAATCAAAACATCACTTTGATTTTTATTTTTTTCAATTATATATACAAGTAAAAATATTTTATTATAAGGTTTTATTGAATCATTTTCAAATCCAAACAAATTTTCTTATGTTATCCTATACCCATACATAACTGGTTGAAATATTATAAAGTTATAGATTTCTAAACATTTCAATGAATGGAAATGTATGTTGAGATTATGCTTCCAGTACATTGTGATTATCCTTATGCACATGATTTGAAGTGATTACTAATTGGACAATTATGATTTGATGAATGTTATGAAAACAAAAAATTAAATTTCTACATTAATTACATGGATACATGAATGTAAACATCCATGTAACGAGTCACATGGATCTATAAACTCTCATTGCGAATCTTTTCTGGAAAAGTTCTGAACTATTTTTTTTCTCTCAAGTTGTTATGTAGAGCTATCGATTATTTTGAGTTTTCAGTGCAAGGGGTTCTACCAGAATGGTAGCTTTGTAGCATCATTTAGACTACTACATATGTATTACTATATGATGATTCTTAGATTTTCCCAAAATATATGCTTTCTACAGAATCTTTCGATGTTTTCAAGTATTATATAGTTGGCGCTAGAGAAATTCGCGTTGTGATATTATCTGAAGTAGTCTCAGTCCATAGCCCTTAGTTTCATCCAATGAGGACTCGATCTTCGCATCCCGTTTACTGTATACTCCTAAGTTCGAACAAAATTCTCACAGCAGACAAAATGCACGACTTAGGAATGAGGTCTTCCCATTTGCCTGGACTTGCAGTCTTTTGCTCACTACGTATATCAAGGTTGCCCATAACTGGAGGTCTTTCTCTGCGGACATTGATCTGTCCGCAAAGTAGTGAATCTAGACTCGTGGAACTGTGCAGACGTGCGGTTTACTTTTGTAGTCCCAGTACAGCTTCCCTGTATACGCGTTGTGAACGAAGTGCATGCTTCTTCAGGGGTATACGTGATGTTATCCAGCATTCATGGAAGAGATCTTGCGCTCTATATGGTGTACATAGCACTATCCGCATGACCGACAGATGCTCCGAAGTACCTAAATGCTGAAATGGTGGAACGCTTTGGCATCCTAGGATTCATACAAAAAGAAGATATCACGTACAGAGACAGACTTCTTAAGTTCTGGCTGGCATCAAGCCAGAGAATCTGCAAGAGTTCAGGTAGACCTTCTACTCATAAACAATGAGGTTCACATAACGACATCTTCCCGTACCTGACGACTACCAGGTAAGCAGATAGTGCTCGTGCAAGCATGGAATTCTTTAAACATTACAGCACATCAGTTCCACCGAGAACACGATCATCGGCACAGAGACGTAAGTCGTGTTTCTCAATCCATTGGTCGTGAATAGAAATTACAGCTCGACTGAAATTCCTTATTTACACAAGACTTGTAAGATCCCCGTAGAGTATGTACTGTGGTAGTTCCAAACTAGTCAACAATGCAATGCGGTTCTTTACACAATACTCAACTGGCCCATGAATAACAAAAAAAAGTGCTGCCTACTCAAAACTCCCAGCCACCACGTGTACATCCTCAATGGAAACGCTTGTACACAAAGCAAAAAAAACAAAATAACCTCCTATGATTGTTGAATTTATTTCTTCTTCTTTGGGCGGGTACGCTTCCGCTTCTTGGGTTGTTGAGCATCATCGACGCTGTGGCTGGATGTGACTGAACTTCTCCCTTTTGTATTCTCATCACTAACACTGGAGTGACGTGCCGGTCTCATTACTGGCTTATTGAGTTGTTTCCTACTATTCACTGCGGAAGATGATGGCCTGCTGTTAGCGGCAAACGACGATGGTCTACTGTATCCAGCAAAAGATGGTGATTTACTGTTTCCAGCAAGAGAGGGTTGTCTGCTATTCCCGGCAGAAGAGGATGGTCGACTGTTCCCTGTAGAAGAAGATGGTCGGCTGTTTCCACCACCGGAAGAGGACGTCCATGGTTTGACAGCAGTCTGTTTGGTTGGGGTACGAGACTTCAATCGAGAGGGTCCTCCTTGCGAAAAGGATTTCGCTGATTTTTGTCTCTGCAAGGGCGAAAACACGAAGTGAGTGATTCAAAGGGAGCAGAAATTTTGCAAAAACCACGCAAAATCGTCATTACCAGGAAGCAACATGTCCTTCCGAGAGGAACTGCGGATGTATAACAGGCGAACTAAAACAGAAGTTCCTAACGCCAGGCTATATCACACCCTGAATGTATATATAGGCTGAAAGATAAGTGCGATTGTTCGCAAGGGTGAACACGAGAAATGAAAATAGCGCACAAAATCGGAAGAGTATAACTCCGGTCTCGATAAGCACACATACCTCATCTTTGTTACCATCTTTAGACGGGAAAGGAGGGCGCTTAGATGATCTGTCAGAACTTTTGGATGGTCTCTTACTTAATGCAATTCTAGGAGTTGGAAGCACTTGTTTAGGAACATCGTCTCCATCTCCAAGCCTGTACAACAAGGTAAAACAAGTTGAGAAACCTATATGGGAATGCAGCATGGGATAAGCACCACCTCGAAGTACCTTCGTTAGAATACAATAGCATGTCGTTTGATCTTGTTCAGCAGTGCTGACTTGGGACTGACAACAACCTTCAACGTAAATGATAATCTACAGATGGCTCGATGGACGTTGCATGTCATCGTAGCGGAAGCTAGCAGTCTAGTTTCAAACCTTGGGCTTTTATCGGTGAGCTCATCATCGGCATCTGCATCATCACTTGAGGAACCAGCCATGAAAAAGTCGTCTTCGCTCAAATCCATTGCCTCATCTTCACTTCCAGTTTCTGCATTCAACGCGCGAGAATCGAAATCAATAAGATACTGAAGAAGAGATTGAATACCTAAAAAAAGGTCAAAAGACGAAAGAAGGAAAATTATTCAGAGAAGTCTTCCACGACATACCCTCAAGATCCACCCCAGCAGCTGCTGCAGCGGCTATGTTCGCTTTGATACGTTCTCGCAGTTCGTTTCGTACAGCTACCAGCTCATCATCGCTTCCAGCAAACAACGCCACATACTTTTCTGTCTTCGGGAAAAACTGCGAGGAGAAGAGAAGGTCAACGTATTGCTTACAACTACTAGCTACTGGATCCGAAATCAAACTGTAAGCTCTAGTTCTTACAAACAAGTTCCGAACCAGAGAATGCGAACGTCAGAGACTGGCAAAGAGGAACGGCTGCTTGACATACTTTTACATACTCAAGATCTTCTTTCAGTTGTTGAAGCTGTTGAGCCAGTTCCAGACCCTCCGCTGAATTTTGATCGCCCAATGTACGAAGTTGTTTCTCAGCTCTCCGAATTCTTCTTTCAATCTTCCTTCTTTCTGATTTGATAAGCAGAGGAAAATTTGTAAATTGTCATCAACTGGCACTTGCTCAAACGTCAGAAACTGTGATAAGTTGAACATATTGAGATTGAAATTGACATCCGCATCGACGTGTGTCGTCCCCACGAAATTCAAGGCTGGAGTGCGCTCCTACCAAAGAACTTGACTTTCCGATATCGCAAGGACATTTTTCGCTCCAATTCACTCCGAGCATGTTGCTCTGCTTGCTTCTTCAAATCTTCGAGTCGCTTTTCCTGTGCATCCTTCACTTCTTCTAATAGAAGTGGCTGATTAAAGCACAAAAACACTTGCTTAGGTCACGTAAATACTGAAAAAGGATTCACTTTGTCGAGACACCAGTGGTGCTTCTAACCTGGTGATATACGTAGCGTATAAATAAGAAAACACATGCAATCTTCAAATCGCTTCTATCGAGGTTCTTCAAAGAAAATGAAGGAGCGAGGTTCTGCTGCACGATGCTATCACAGTGAGATCCTAAACAGAAACTTTCACGACTTCGCCTCTCACGGACACAAATAGTCGATGGATGAAAGAAAGGAAATTCACTTGCAGTTCAGATAGTGACCCTGGACAAGCTCTACAATTAAGACCCGAGAAACTTCAGATGCCCTTGAATGTAGCACAACCAAAACTGAATACCTTCTTCAGAAGACGTTCTATTGAGCGAATCTGATTTTTTATAGACACAATCTTCGATTTTTTGTTCTCAGCATCCTTACGAACTCCATGTGCTCCCTTGACACGAGGGAGCCCTCGGCCCCCGCTGCTCTTATCACCAGAAGAGAAAGCTGGTCTCCCAGCGACCCTCCTCTTCCCATATCCACCATGCGCCATCACCTCTTGCGGCTAAGCCCGATGGCTTCCGCAAGAGCAAGGTGGAGCTGAGCGACTTTCAAAGTGAGTGCTCAGGTACCGAGAGCTGACCCTGAGGCTCCCAGCATGTTGCCTGAATTGAACAAAACAACACTTTCAGGGCCATGCCAAATCCAAGATACTGCAACACAAACAGCCGAGACAGTCGGTACCCAACTTACTTCCACTAATGTATCGCCATTGCTACGCTGTTTAAAAATTGTGATTTCGTGCGCACGGCACGCGCCTGAGCACATTCAAATTGTCCTTTCAATCCTTCAAATAAGACACATGTGGAGTCTTTGAACTTAGTGGGCCGAAACAGCGAAGTCAGCAGGAAGACAGACTCAAAGAACTGAAGGCCACCGACTTTCATTAAGAGTCCTGCGGCCTACAAGCTTCCCCGAGCTCAGCATCTCTTGACGTCAAGGACCCTCGACCAATTGCTCCAAACATCCGTACAGAGACTTGATCAAAGATTTCGCAATGCTTGTGAAGCTTGCTAGCACTTCGTGACTGATATTTCCCACGTCAAAACTAACGGAGATGTTTGAGAAAAATAAATTGTACTTGCGGCTCACCTCTATTCCTCTCAGTCCATAGAAAAAGAAAAAGAGGGGATCGCAGCTACACCTCGGTCCAAACTACGACGTTCAAAGTCTAACGACACTGTCTATGGTGCACGCATATTTCAAGCTCATTCCTCTACGCCTCTGTGTTGCAATCCGAGCAGGGCAGAGAGCAGGAGCAGCCCTGCTAGACCCAAGCTACTCCAGTCAATCCAAGGCTCCGGCAACTTTCCTCCTACCCCAACCAAACACAGCAGCGTGATAAAACGATTCCATCAAACTGCGAGCCGAAACGAACAAATTACTCACCTCGAGCAGAGCGAAAATACCGAAAGGACACCCGCGTTCACATCACGCAGCTCCAGAGAATCCCATTCGCAACAGCATCGCGCATCGCGAAAGGGCGATGCGCCGAAGCAAATTGGCAAATTGCGCAGGAAGGACTCGATCAGACGACGAGGAAACGAAAGCGCGGGGCTATGAATCGTAACGGAGGCTCGGTCGTGCCAAGACCCATTTGGCTGTCGACGATCGGGGCTGGCACCTCGTCGTCGCTGACCTATTTCCGTCCGTGGCGCTGACTGACTGACTGCCTGACCTATTATTCTGTACGCCACCGTTGCGGCCTTTTCTCGGGTTTTACCAGCAGCCAGGGTTTAAGCATTCTTTTTTCCATGGGTCCCGTCCGCTGCTGTCAAAATATCTGCTCTGCTCTGCTCTTGCTCCGATCCCTGTCATGAGTTCGCAGCCCCGGCAGTTCCTCCCGCGTCCTCTCTCTCACTCTGTACATGCTCATAACCGACCGGACCACGTACGATGCTATTCTTTATTTCAGTAGGTTACTTCAGCTTTTCCCCTTCATCCTCCGGTCCTTGCTTCGGGGCACACCAGAGAAGTGGTTTAGGCGGACCTCCACCTGATTCCAAAGGAGTCAACAAAAGCTCCCTGGAATTTGCGTAGAGCGAAGTGAAGAGCGTTTCGGAATATTCCCTGTTCCATACACGCTCTCTCTTTTCAAGAGTTAGGCACCAGTATTCAGAATCCGGGCCCCGCCCATTGCAAACTTCGCACTTTTGCATGGAGCTATCGAGAATCAGGTTTGGCATTTTTCGAAGTTCTTGCAATTCTGTTTTTGTATCCTGGTCATGCAATTTGTGGAATATGAAACCTTCTTCTTTTTAGTGATATAGTGAAGTGTGCTGCCGTCCGTGGTTGAGACTAAGTTCACTTCGCCGATTCGGCAAACTACATTAGATTACGATCGACGGATAAGAGCAAAATGCAGCAACTGCCGGAGTTCCTTCGAATTCTGGATGGATGTTCTACTACAACCAAAGCTGCTAAATAACGAAGAATTGAAGCTATAAAAATTAAGGGGGTAAAAACTGATATAAAAAACGATGGGAAGACAATAATTGTTGTGCTTCTAGATGCTCCAAATCGGACATAGAAATTTAGAAACAAATTTTGTATTTACACGTGTACACATGTAACTTTTAGACAGCGCAGACGGCAGATGGAATTCAGTGGTTGCAGAATAGCCCTTCATGATAAGTAATGGAATTTTTGCGCACAAGCTGCCGGGGCCAGTGATACGTCTTGGACATGGAAGGTCTCATGATTGAACAATCACAACGAGAAGAAGCACTAAACAAACTAGAAGAACACTAATTGTCTGAATGCACTTCCGTATTCAACAGCAAACACGTTACAGATTCCATGCAACTGATGACAGCCTTCAAATGAATTATTGCCTCCACTTTAGTTGGCTATTGAAAACGTCGTCCTCGGATCACACCAGAGTGACAACCCTCATGCACTCCGCATATATTTCAGCTTTGCCATAATTACGGCCACGAGGTCAACTGCCTCCGCATTTCACCCAGCCGTACTGTGGACCCCTGCTAAACTTCGATTTCACGTCACTTTATGCAAATCTATGTTCGTTTCGAATATTTTTATTTTTATCTCGAATACGTTATCAACAAGCAATATTATATATTATTATATATATATATTATTAATACTGATGGGGTGTTCCTCTAAGAATGACGTGGATGAAATCATAAACCTCACATGGTATTATCATTCCAGATGAAAATTATAATACCTAAGAATGATCACTTGAAGTAATTGATCTCTGTGCAGTATTGGGTTATGCTGTCTATATAACAACTGAAACATATTCTGTATAAAAATATATGTAGAAAGACAACTAGAATAAATTTTCTATCTTGTAATTTGATAATTTCTTACACAATTTTACCTAAACATATTGCATTTATTTTATATAGTTAGATTCCAAGGTTAGATGAACAAAAGACTTATATATATATATATAAATATATGATTATTGTTATTTACATTCATTGATATCTTATGATTTCTCAATGATTCTAAATTGTTGATTATAGCATGTACACCGACAATTACGTAAATTTCAAATCAAGTATAAGTATGCAAATACATGTCAAATGTGATTTACACATTTCAACCTTCCATATCAATTTTAACAAGCATAATTTAAATTAAATTAATTTTCTTCAAATAGTTTACAAATAAAAATCTAAAAAAAAACTATTTATTACAAGAAATAATTTTCATAAAGATTGAAAGTACTACCAAATCAATCAAAACATTGCTACACTGTTTACATAATAAATCAATCAAAAGCTTCACTTAGATCAAAATATATGTCTACAATCAACTAGATGTATTACAAATAGTGTCAGAGATGATTTTAAATGTACATGTACATTAAAAACTCAATGCTTCAAATTTTTCTTAAAATGTCAAAATTTATTAGTATAATGTCTTATCACAGTGATAAGAATTTTTTTTCTCAATTTTTAATCTTTTAGCTGAGTCTATTGCATCCTAACCCAAAAATTTTTGCAGAAAAACATGCTATCTTGAGATTAAAATAAAATATGAATAGAAATAGAGTGCATATATGTATATGTAGGAAGTGATATTTTTGTTCTCGCTCACTCCAATTTAGTGATCACTTCTAGCTTCAAACTAAATAGGACAGAGCTAACTCGTAATGATGACAACCCACGCAACAAGGTAGAATAACACATAAATGATGAAATTACTCCCTCTAGTCTCGACATTATTATTGGTCAAATATATGGTTTAGATGCATAATTGTTGATCCTTGATATAAGTAATGTAGACCACCCTAATTGGGCAATGTATATCGCGAAATATAATGTACATGGAGAGCACTTAAAGTCGATGTGCAACATTGGTAGTTGGGTAGGGTTCTATGGAAAATTGGGCTAGCTCTATGATTTGTAATTTTATGGACAATACAATCTTTCATTCTGGGAGGTTGATGACAGGAAAGAAACTTGTATCCCCCAGAAAAAGCCGGGAAAAAGAGGTAAATGTATCTGCTTAGACTGAGACGAAAATAAATTTATGTTAAGGGAGTCAGCAGTCGCCCATTATAGCATCTGGTGGCATTCTATGTATACAAAGCCCAAGACGAAGAGTGGAAGATAACAAATGGACTAGTGCGATTTACGATGTACATGTACTCTACTGTGGTCGGCTCGTATCAGGCGACGTACGTGGACAGCGCACGTAGTCGGCAGTGAGCGTCCACCATCCCCGGGGTACAGAGTACTGTAGCGGGCGAAGGAGGGGTACGTAGGTGACAGACACCGAGGAGTTGAATTTCCTTCCAGTCGAAGTGGAGGTGTGTTTTTCTTGAGGAAAGTGCGAGGTGAATGTTGAGGAGTTTGGGCAGGGCAGGGGAGCCCTAATGCAGTGAGGAAATTTGCACCTCGTGTGCCCACGTTTGTGGAGTAGGGGGTGGGTGGGTGGGTGTGGGAGTCGAATTGTGCGATGGAATCTCCAGCGGCGCGATCCGTGGCGCTCCATGCCGCGAGGAGCATTCGTCGCCAGCTGAATCCGGTGCTGAATTCCGGAGTGCTGGATCAGCAGGTTGTGGCGTCGGGATTTTGTGCGTTGGGAGCTAACCCGGGTGTGGTGGATTCGAGGCCCAGTGCGGTACCGACGAGGAGTGACGAGGTCGATGTGCTGAGTAATGCGAAGTATGTTGCTAGGGATCGTGCCATCTGGCAATTGGACGGGCCCATTGGCTCGGTCAGGTCCGGCGAGCTAGGCTGCCGTCCTGCCGGCTGGACTCATCTACACGTGATCAATGCGCTCCTTGGGAGCAAATGTCGCCCGGAATTTGTAAAGCATTCTGGCCTGTCCTTGGATGATTTAATGCTGAATCCTGCCCAGCGAGAACAAAAGAAACAATCCGCGCTGGTGAGGAGTGTTCTCGATCTGCCGAGAGTTTCAGGAGATTTGACCGAAAGTAGTCGTGAAGCTAGCCAGTTGGCGACCATTTTCGTAGATTGCTCTGTACAAGCGGTCAGACCTCGGACAGCAGGAGGGCACGGGTTAGCTTCGCTGCTTGGTTGCGTGGAAGGGGGCCAAGGATTGTCTGTGTTGCAGCGGGAAAACATTCGGCTTGAGTGCGACAGTGTAAAGCGAAAGAGGAAAAAGAAGATGAACAAGCACAAGCAGCGCAAGCTCAGAAGGCGCGATAGACATCGGAATTAGCTTTCAATTTTGTAATCCCTAGGGCTCAGTTTTCTTCTGGTGCTGAATGTGCATCCAGCTGGACTTGAACAGAGTATTTGTCTGTGAACTTCTTGTTTTTCGCGGGGCGATATCATTTTTCAAACTATACTCTCACCCCATGGATCGGGTGATTCAAACATGAGAATTTTGAGCTGAAGTTACGGTCTTGTACCCCGACTCTCTGCGTCAGTTGTACAGGTGAATTTTTTCAATGCCAATCGGCTACGAGAAAGAGATGAAATTGATGGCATCTTGGCAATTGCGGGCATCTACATCTTTTCGAGGAGTACCGTTTACCTTCGGCTGTGTACTATGTATGATAAGTATAAGGAATGTGCTATCTCGCTAGAAGTTTTGAATCTCTTAAGCTAGCGAAAGCTGTGGCCTGTAATATCTATTAGCAGGCGAAAAGTTGCTACGGTGGCAGCTCACATTAAGTCATTAGCTCCTGTCGTTCGTTGGTACACATTTTGGCTACTTGACTTTCTCTGTAGTTACTCAGGGTTCATGTTGAAGAACTGGTTCATACGTATTCTTGCATCTTGATCAAATCAGGACTGTATGTGAAGGATTCACTGGCGTAATTCTTCCTCGAACTCACGAAACACACTAGATACTTGTTAGTATGAGTGATCATCGGATATGCAGTGCAAGTTCAATATATATTTCTAGTGTAAACACAGATGAGTGAACATGTAAAGCTAGGATGACCGTCTTGTGCAAGCATGCAACTCGAAGTTGAGGTTTCGGCACAGTCATGGTGTATGCTGGATCCATAGTATCTAGCAGGTACCGTTGAACCTTGTTAGTCGTCTATAACCCTTGCAGATGTGGTTGTGAAGGCCTAGACAGGTTTTTATTGTTGTGCATGACTTTATAGACGCTTCGACTGGGAATAACAGTATCTACAGGTCCATTATCACGTTCTACTCTTCGTTGTTGATATTTGTCGACCTATGATTTGGATACTCACATCAACCTCCTCGGGGGTTCCACTTCTTGGACTGTCTCTGCTATTTCGAACTCACTGAACTATCTCATCTCAAATTTTCAACCTGGAGCTTGTGATGCAGGAGCAGCTGTGAGCTTGGACCAACAACTAAACCCTCCACTGCCTGAATAGTAAGGCAGTGGAGAAATCTGATCCTGACAGGAAGAAGGTGGCCTTTCCGGGCTCCACTCGTGAGCATGCTTTGAAGATATGGTAAGCACCTGTTTTTCTTGTTTGCCTATAACTTGTGAACTCCAAATGGAAATGGGAACCCTGTCATATTGAAGATCGTCTGGTGAGCAGGTAACTTGCACCCTGCGTTACCTGCTATCATCCATCATATGCAACAACCAACAGTCTGGGCTTGAAAGGGACTGATTGGAACGGAAGTCTAACTCTGAACGATGCAAAAAGATCAGTCAAAATTTTGATTTGTCGTCAAAGCTTATCTCCTATTCCTGTTCATTCGAGGGAGTCGGAACTGCAGTCGGATGCATACTAAGCTTCTCCCAGTTAACGTAAAGAGTACATCGACGCACTTCGGCATATGATGAAGAAACCCGCTCACTTTTGTTAAATCGTTTCAAATGTTCAAACTCCCTGACACTAACAATAACATTCCAACTGAATGGACTCTCCAAGCCGTTACCTTTTCGTAAAGCGAGAATAATGTCCTGGGGTATTGATGTGGTTTTCTAGGTCCTGGATGTTACCATGCGCTTGTTACGATGCATCACCTTGTGAATGCAACCTCGATCGATAAGTCTCTCCACACCATAATATTGAGCACTACAAAATGCGCAGACAGAGGGTTTACCTGGATGACAAAACTCTGTAATGAAAGTTTATAGATGCTTCTTTCTCTTGCCTAATACTTCAGTATACGCAGAGGCCTTGACGTAAATTTTACAAATGAGATACATTTCGATTTCGATGTTTTATATGACGATAGGACTCTCTGCGAGTCAACTAAAGTGCAACGAACTCTAGAGTAGTCTCACTCAACCTTAAAGTTGAAGCCCTGTGTTGGTTCGAATACCGTTCTGATCTCTCGGATCACACAAAAATAAAATCTTGAACATGGTCTGTGTTGAATTAGGGAAGAATCAGTCCTGAATGCTGCCTCTAATGACATCGCTTCACTGGCTCTTCAACGGCGGTATCACACTACATCACCATTCATGATCTCGGCAAGAAGTTAACTTGAATAGACTTTCGTGGTTTAAAAGAGATAGCACGCATCCACAACATCTTGTGTCCATATAGTACAGATGCAATGCCACTCCCAATTCAGCGTGCTTTCATCTCTATCGAAACCTTCCCCTCGATCCCAGGAGTTTAAATCCTTGGATAAATTACCGCACTATCTTCAGAACCTTACATCAAGTGCTCATTTCCATTAATGGTCAAGGGGTGAATTGATACGTGGAGAACCCGTGATTCCATCTCCATCATGACTCTTGTCTACCTCTTTAAACTCGTTCAGTACCTCTTGAATTAGTTCACTTACTGGAGTCTAACAGTGATCTGAACTTGATATCAAGTGGCATAGAAACCCTTTGATCTAAAACCTGATCACCTGCAACCTATACAAGGGACGCCTCGCCCAAAAAGAAAACCGTATGAGCTGTATAGCGTGCTTTTCTACGCTTCACTGAGAATTACTAAGTACTTCCGGGTATCGACTCTATCCGGTCTCTTACAGGGTCGTTACCTTACCTTCCTCACTAAGCAGAAAGTGGAAGGACACGCGATGAAGCGTATCTTCTATATTCAAGTAGATGGCCACACTACCAGTTCAGTACAGTACGTTAATACTATGTTTGAGACGACGTGTTGATAGGACGATCACGGCCGGATTGTATGCAGGTTGGACATACATCATTATGCAGCTGTCATACTGGTTTTCTGTGCTTGTTCTTGGATGCGATATGACGGAAAGCAAGTGTTTTCCATTAGATATTCGATGTTTAATCCTAGTAGATCGGGAGTGCTTAAATTCAATGTATTATAGATTTGTTTTGGGAGATAGTTCCTCCTGAAGGACAAAGTTGTACCTGCTCGAGTTGTGCAAGGCCTTGTCCGTGGCCTAACAGTCAATACATAGCCTCTAATTTAAAATTCGAGATTCGGGAGATCACTGTTCCAGTGGTACAGTGCACTACGAAGTGCTGTGTCCTATGAACAATACAGTCAATATATGTTTGGATTCGCGTTGATCAGTCTCGCGGCCACCGCAATGGTTTGTAAACCTCAGCATAGTCTGCTTGGCAGTTAATTAATGATTCAAACATGAAGGCGTCAATGATACACTGATGGACTGGTTCTCTCAAAGCTTTACATCACTGCCGAAGCAAAAGTGCCTATGAAAGCTGGTCGAACTGGAACTACACGATGTCAGGCTTGACTCGGAAAAAGAATACAACTACTTAATTTCTAACTTCTTTGACCTAAGATGTTGCTGCACAAGCTAAAACATTACATATTGTGATGATGGTACAACTCGGAAGACAGTCAAAGTAAAATTGGCCTGTTTGATTCTTCGAAGAGGATTCTCATGTTTCTTCACATCTGTAAGTAAAATCTGTCAATTCCTCACTCTGACTTAGCCTCCGTCTTCGCCACTTCTTCCGTCTTCTTCGCGGCTGCGCTTTCCCTCTCGATGGCCTTCTTCTTCTCTCTGCGTAACACGACCATTACAAGTAACCTAGAGATGAGACAGGCGGATCTAACGCAAAGCTGTTCTACAGAAAGTCGCATTCATCATTTACAAAGCTCACATTCACAATAGCTGTGGATCTTCTCGAGATGCTCTTTTCAGTCAGATCAGGAGTATGAGCAAGCCATTACGCAACTGAGAAGAAGAGTTTGAGACATTGTTATGTACCTGTCGATGTACTCCTTCAGGAGCTCCTTGGCTTGGGCCAATTTGGAAAGTAAGTTGCGGTACACGTCCAGATCCCTGTCGATGCTCAGCTTGTTCACGTTCAGGGCTTTGGAGAGCTGCAACAAAGATACCCTCGTTAGAAAACGGAGGTGCTGAACTCATCATTCAAACTCATCAAACGAGTGAGCCCTTCCAAAGTTTCGCATCCTTATCTATAAAGAACGCATTGATGTTCGGGATCAGAAAGGTCATTACCTGCTCCAATATAGCAGGGTCCGAGGCCTTCGCCACCTCAAGGAGGCGGAACAGACCAATGGCGAAGAATCTGCTGTAGTGGAACTTGTCCTTACTGCCTGCACGCTCGGAGATATCCTTGAGAATCGCTCCCACTTCTCCATCTCCAAAAGAAACGATAGAAGCAGAGTTCTGCTCCTTCGCCCATGCTTCCAACTTAATGGCATCAGATCTGCGCAGAAAGAAAGTGTAAGCCATTTACGACGCTGTGGATTGCATGAAATAGTACAAATATGGTCGCCACGCATTGAAAGCGATGGTCTGGGCTCCGATCGGACAGGTTTGATTCCCACCAAATTTGAAGATTCTATAATGACCTTGGTCCAGCCCGAAGTTGCGTCAAAACTGACATGCCGGGTCAGACTTCTCCTTGAGAAGAGTGGGTGTCCTGCTAGTCAGGTTGTACCCTTCAACTGAGAAAACTCCGAGCTCTGAATAAGTGCAGACCAAGTAGTACGTATATGTTCTGCACGATGAGGTCTCCATATGACGGATAAAGACATGCAGAACCATTTCGTTCGAAGTTTCCAGACATCTGACCTGTATTTCTCGGGGTCTTCCTTAAGAGCGCCGATGTAGGCCTTGAAAATTGCATCCCTATCCTCGGTGCTGGGGTAGCCGTCCATCAGTTGATCGTAGACTGTAACAAAGCCAAGGGCGAAGACAGCATCATACTTGTAGGTGGTATTGTATCGCATCAAGTGCTGCTGTACCAGCAACTCCTGGATGACATTGCTGTAAATGCTGGGAATTGGTCTTCTGTAGGCGTCCAAGAATGCTCGCTTGGTATCCGCCACCGTTGGAATTTCTACATTGAAACATCAAAACATTTTCGTAAGATTCTTGTATCAGACAAAGACCTTTCTGAGCGCTTCCTTCACTCGGTGCATCGACCCAAATTTGCAGTCAGTGTGGCGTAGAAGAGCTATAGCACTATCCTACTAATGTGGTTCAAAGAAACGGTGACCAACTTGTAGTCCCAATCTGTTGATGAAGGGAAAAATCAGAACTCTTTTGAACCAGTAGGTTCGCAGCCTGAAGCGTTGGCTCTTTGACTCCTGCGAGAGTTCAGACATTCGTCGAGGTAGATATCGTGTGAAAGACCTTGGAAGCCTACAAAATTGAGTTGCTGTGGCAAGAAGAAGATAAATGTTGTTGGATTTGAAGCTTGGTAGACACCGACCAGGGTAGACGCGAAGTGCGTAGATCTTTCAATCTCCCATTCTAACACCTGTCCTGCTTGGCTTTCTAAAGCTTGGACATGCATCTAAGTTCTCATCGAACATGGCACACCGAAGCCACGTTGCTTTCCCTTCTTTCCCTCGAGTCACTATCGTGGAGATTTTGCAGGAATCTGCTCTACGTCGCTAAAAACCCCAGCTCTGCCCCGAAGGTCAAATTTCCCATCTCCATTGTACGGATCCCTTTAAACAACCGTGTACCAAATTGGGTTCTGTATGTACGCAAAAAGTAGCTCCAATTATCATCCTCCGTACCGAGGGAGAGGTATTTCCCGGTTCCATTCCTTCGCGGTCCACAGAATTCCACGGAAGCCTCTACTCGCCTCGAGAATTCGGGATATGCGAGAGTAGTACCCACAGTCCAGCTCCTCGAACGACAAACTTTCGATCCTACCGAACGACGGACAGAAATGCTCCTCGAAATGTCCTGCAAACGTGCAGAGGAAAAGCATTGAAAATTTCAGAGAGCAAAGGCAGAAACTCACCGATGGCAGCAGCAGCCATGCAGGTGATGGCGGGCAGAGCGGCGGCAGCTGAGCGCAATCGAGGCGCAGGCGCGCGCGCAGCATTTCGTTGTGGGCTTCTCAATGAGAAGACTTGGGCAGTGCTGGAACCCTGGGCCACGGCCGCGTGCACGGACGACAACTGCTGGCGAGACGGGAGCTGGGCTATGGCGTGCAGGGACAGAGACGAGAGGGACGCCATGACTATCACTCACGAGCACCACCGCACCACCAACACCAACGACGACGACGACTACAGCAGCAGCGGCAGCAAGAGATAGAACGGGACACTCCTCTCCTCTCTCCTCTCCCCTCTCTCTGTCTCTCTCTCTGCCTCTTTGTCTCGTCGGAGGAGGTCGAAGTCGAGTGAGAGCGGGCCTTGTGTCGCCGTCGAAGGGGAGGCAGCATGGGGAGGGAGGGAGGGTGGGGCGGGGATGGGTGGTGCGTCATGCCATCGGGAAGTTATCCAAACTGCATGAGCAGCGAGCGAGCGAGCGGAGAAGCGCAGCGAAGCGAGTGTTGAGTGGAAAGGGCCACCAAAAGCCGCTGCCGGGGTGAAAACCGGCCATTTGGCATCACATGCTCCCACGTAAGCTCCGCGCAGAGTAACGTTTGTGTGGACCCCCTCCTCCTCCAGCCCCCGCGCAACGCCCTCTCTTCCCAAGCCTTCCCCTCTCCCCTCCCCTCGCGTCGCCAGATGGGGCTCTTCTGCCTGCCAGCCCCCTGCCAGCCCCCCGCCAGCCCCCCGCTCACCACCCGCGTCTATCCCCTCTCCACCCCCCGACCGGTCAAAGCCTCGTCTCGCTCCCGTCTTGGCTCTCTTTGCCTGAATACCGTTACTAACTCGGAAACTCCCGGCCTTGAGCTCGGCGACCGGTCAGGCCGGTCGCACGTTCGAGTCTGGCTGGCTGAAGTCTCATGTCGGTCTCTTTCTCATAAATTCTGAGAGTTTCGGAGGTGGGAATTTGGGGGACGGGGCGTGAGGATAAGTCGATGGGCGGTGCGGTCGACAGTGCGATGTCGCGGGTCACACGTTGTTTTGCGTTCACGTGAAATGCGCCCCCGTCTTTCGCGTTGGTCTTATCCACTTTCGACGTTTTGCTTTCTGCTCTTAGCGTCGCTTGCCGGCGACTGCTTGCTTCTCCCGGCGGGTGCTCCCGAAAGATGTTCCATATCCACGGCTGCCTTTCTTCGGCCGGGCGGGCTGTTCTCGTGAACTGGGAACTGATTTGCCCTCTGATGGATTTTCGTGATAGCGTGCTGAAGTGGATCCCATCATCGGACCTGCTTTTGGTGTTGATCGGACCAATGTTGGCTCTCTTGCTGCGAGATCCAGACGCTTCGTTCTCTGGTCACCGATGACACTTCTGGCTGCCGTTCTCAGCAGCCTGTAAGAGTTCAGTCTCCGGGTGCTTATGATTCGACCAGGATCGGATCATCAGCGCCAGATTCTACGTGCGTCTATTTGATGAGAGGCTGACCACTCTTGTGAATCTCATTCCATTTTGACCGAGTTCGAGGTCGAGAAAGGAGCTAAAAAAATCCAGCAAACTGGTGTTGGGAATATTTCAATGGCCTTCGCATGAATACTGCTATTTTGGAAAGATGGATGGGACTCTCCCACCTCCACAGAGAGGAACGGTGTCATTCACACAACATCTGCCTAGAGGCCAGATCCGGATCGGACCAACTGCTGCAGACACTGAGGAGTCTCCCTTTCACATTCACAACAGAATTCGAATCTTCTTCTGATTTTGGCTGGGCTCAAGGCAGTACCTGTTGTGCCCAGTTATAAGCTTTAGGCAACAAGGGCCTGTGGACCTTCCTGTAAGGCGATGGGCTGCAACCATTCGCCGTCTTGCTAATAGACGACGGTGTCTTACAGAATGAAGAATCTCTCCTTTATTAGGATGATGTCAGAAAAGCGCTTGCTTGCAAACGAGCATACATTGTAGATCACGCTGCCTTTCTGCAGATAAATTACCTTATGGATACAACTGAGTGATAATGTACAGCGGCTGCTACCTAGTCCGGAAGGATTGGTAGACGGACAACACTTTTGCCCCCATCGAGATTGGCCTCCTCATCCCAATCATCTCTCTTACCACCTTCATACATACCCCCTTCAGTTACCCTCGGCAGAATGCGCAGGCGTACATTGAATTCTGTGCCAGCTTTCTCCGTGGCTAGCTGATAACCTTCTACTAGTTTTATTTGCAGAGCAATGATATCAGGCGTCCTAGGGAGTAGCTCAACTGGCTGACCCTTCGGGATGACCAGCTGCTCGATTGCCAACCTTGCCTCCTGCAAAGAAATTAAAACTGCAACGTAAATCAGCAGTGGACAAATTGTGATCTATATCGTCTTGAATATGGTATCGACGCTGTGTCAGCAAAAGCGTCGATAAGCTTTGGCTTGTTGACATAAAAGAAGTGAACGAGAACTAAAGCCTTAAGAACACAAACAACGATGAAAAAACGTGGACCACAATGAGGTACCTCTAGAGCATCAATTTCATCCTCCGATGTAGCCTTGCGAGTTGCACTTTGCAGCCCTCCTTGCTCCTCAATTCTATTTCTAGCTTCCAGTCGGTTGGATGTTACCAGCGTATTTGCGGCCAAGGACTCCATTCCTAAAATTGCCCTCATGGCCCTTACCATTTGGGCCATTGTGTTTGCCTGGACACCGCACCCACGTTCCAGGTTAAGGGTTTGCAATCCACTTCACGTTTTCTCAGGTCTCACCATGAAGACAACAGTGTTTCTCGAATTTCTTCCGATGATCAAGGCCAAGTTACAGAAAAAAAAGGGAGGTGAATGATACTCACACACCTTAATAGCGAACACCGGAAGCTGTCGATACTTGGCCATACCTCGAACCCAAGCATTTTGTTTCAGCTTCGAACGCAAGGCCAGGACAACATCAGCAGCCCCAATGTCATTGGTGATTTGAACGGAGTTCTCCAGCCCCATCACTTCCATCACTTGCTCCAAAGAAGCCTCTGTGACCTGCTCAATAGTATCAATACCCACTGTCCAAATTTAGTCCCTCTAGTTCACATTTCCGATCAGGTCTACACAGCATTTTCAATTCCAAGACAACAAACCACCGAGTGATTACGTCTTCTGTCTTATTTGAACCAGGTCTGTGAAACCTTCTCCAAAAGCCGCTGCAACTGAGTCTAGTTGGAGCCAGCATGATTCAGGCTGAAATGCACCTGGTAAGTATAAAGATACAGGGGTGTATCTACACTGTCCCAAGCTTGCCGACCCTTGATAGGAGATTCTGCTTCGTCGTCATCAGAGTCATAGTCGTCTTCGTCACTTTCGTCGTCAGTTACACTCTCCGCTGCAAATTGCGAGCCCGGGCTTCTCACTCCTGATGTACTCTCCGCCTCTTTGTTTCCTATGATGAGCTTTCCTTCACTGTTCATCTTACGATACTCGACTTTAGGTGGCCGACCTGCGCAACAGAAACATCAAATCAGTGGTCCGTGTCTAGAAAAACAATGTTAGCCCATCATGGAATTGAGAAAATGCACAAACTTGCAGACCTGCCCTTCGGCTGAGGAGTCACCAGTTGATCACCTGCGAGAAGGTAATCGACAGTTGCAGCTAGGCTTTTGTGGACCTTCCACTCGTTACGAGACACCATCTCCACTGCAGCTGTGAAGGTTGGTGGGCCCTTGCGCTCCAGAACGCTCTTCTGTACGTTTCTCCTCCTGGCCTCTTCATCTCCAAGTGTCACACTCTTCACACCACATCCAACTCCACCACACATACAAATGAGCTTTTCTGAAGCTCACTTATGTGTGGAAGAAAATTGACATGATTATCCATCTTTTGAATTTTCTGTCATAATAAGTGCAGATGCTCACGAAACATCCTCAACCATACAACCAAGAAAACCTGGAACGTGTAGATGCACAAGTCCACAACCTCCGATAGTTCCACCCAGGAGAGAGACAGCCCCATTTAGTACCTGGATGCCTCCAGCTAGTATTTGCAGAGAAGGGTTCTTGACTAGGTTCTCCACAGTCATGCCATGTGCAGTTCCTACAAGCTGAACTCCCCTCTGTGCGATGGTTCCAGCGGCTAAGGCCTCCAGTTCCGTCCCGATCTCATCGATAACTATTGTCTGAGGCATATGATTCTCAACCGCTTCTATCATGACCTGCGAAACGGTACGTATTATATGTTAGAACATCATGGAGAAGGGAATAGACCAACTGGGAAGTAGATGACCAAGATACAGTTTCAGTGATCGAATGATGCTGCGCTGCCTCTCGAGATAATCCACCCTAGACAGGCTTTCCTTCCTTCAGCCCTCCAACCGTTTTGAAGAATTTCGTGCACGTAGCTTAACAATTCCACGGAAGTAGACTAACAAAGGTGCTTTTATATATGAGTGGGTTCGATGTTCAAGTGCTGGATGTTTCCGATACTACCGAGTTGAGTTTGAACCCATCAAGTTTAGACTGTCACGACTGTCCCCAGTGGGTAAAAGTAGACAAGTGCTTGTCGTTGGTTGGAACAAATTTTGGAAAATGAGACCTACACTTCGCTGTTGAGGATCCGTACTCAAACAGACGATGCTAGCAATATTTGATTTCCTTTTGTTGAGCCCTGCATGTATGAAGGACTGTAGGAATTCTGCACAGTAGCTTAAGATGCCCGGCTGTGACAGCAAAGCTACTTTGAACGTGCTCTCGGGCTCACATTTTAGACTCCACTTCTGACAATCGTTTGGTATTTGCGAGATTGACACGTTTCTAAATGATAAAGAAGCAGTCCTTTCTTGAGTTATTTTCTTATACATAACATGACAACGAGGATAGGCATGAAAAATCAAAGCATCGTCCACCGTCTATATCTCACCTTGTGCTGCAGTTCGACTCGAGGTACTTGCATTCTGCGAGCACGCCCAATTCCGACATGGGGAATGTCTCCATCTCCCGCTATTTCATTCGACGTGTCAACTATCACAACCCTCCTTTGATACTCATTGGCTAGCATCCTCGCAACCTCTCTGCAATCACATCATTTACTCATTTAAAATTCCACTGCCAGATACACGATGCTCAGCAAACTCCCGATGATACTCACAACGATGCTTTTGAATGCAAACAAAGAGATGCAAGAAATATCTGGATAGACCGACCTGATGGCAGTGGTCTTTCCAACTCCTGGTGGCCCCATCAGCAACAAGGATCCACCACCAGCTACCAAGTCACGAACCATCTCTGCACAGCCCGATATTGCACGCCCAACTCGGCAAGTCAAACCTACTATGCGCCCTGCTCGGTTTCTGATGGCACTGATTCGGTGGAGAGTTCTGTCCATTCCAGCTCGATTGTCATCTGCAAATTCTCCAACCTGCAGTATCCCCCATTCAGTTCTTACACGGAGGACGGCAGCATCAATCATGAGTACGTCTAGACCATCCACCAGTTTCCTCGAACGGCACATATGTTCCATGTCAATTCAGGTTTGATGGAATAAGCTTGAGATCAGCACATTCGAATACATGTTTCTGAAGATCTCCGATGTGCATGATGTTCGCCACAACAACTATTTTGCGTACACATGGTGAAGAAACATAGTTCTTAAAATAATATATTTTGCTTCTTCGCAGAATGCCACTGGTTTGCTCTGATGGTGCAGTCGGGCGAATAAGTGAGTACCAGTGAGACAGCATGCTCTAGGTCAGCTGAGGTGACAGTATCCTGTGATATGAACCAGTCTCCGGATGGAAATCGAGCCATGGGCTTCCTTCCCAGATCCAGAACAATCTCCACGAGCTGCTCAATCTCTTCATGGTCTTGTAGTCTATCTCGTAGATGATGGGGCACCAAGTCAAGAAGCATTCTGAGCTCTGCCCTCAATTCTGCAAATCATATCGATCGAATCTAAGTGAGAAAAACAGTCAAACAAAATCTGAGACATTCTGGATATCCGAGTGAATTTGCTGTCTCAGAATCTGTCTTCCTGTGCTTCACTTAGTAAGCCCTGGACAGATTTCAAATCTTTCTCGCTAAATTGTGAAAATTTAGATTCGCAACTCACCGTTAGATTCTGCCGTGGCAATGCCCTCTTCAGCTGATGTTGCGACCTCCATATTCGAGGCTTGGATAACATTTTTAAGTTTCGATCTCCTCGTGCAACTTCCTGGCCATTTTAGTGATCTGCTCGACTTACCAATCCACAGCGGGAGCACTTTCTCTGTGGATGGTCTGGGAGACACGGCTTGCAACCATGAAGTACTGAATGTAGAATAAGGTCTCTGGCATTTTTGGGCTCCTCGAGAACTTGACAACGCTTCCACTGAACTCCGTCCGCAAGATACGTGATGTAATTTCCGTGACCTTGATTTATGAAAAGAATGGGAGGGCCAAGAAAAATTTTCAGCTCCAACCGAGTATTTGTACAAACGTATTTTATCCCTGGGGTATTCTGTACACACTAAAATCTGTGAGTGGCGAATTGTTGTCATGGCCTCCATTGTGTTTATCAATTCGTTCTAATTCCAAACCTCCATGGCTCGGATCGAAATTACTGAACTCGACACTCAGCCAGCTCAAATTCCTGACATTGAATTGCGCAGCTGTAGATAGATGTTCGCTTCGTCAGCTCGACCAGCTCCGAACCACGACGACCCCCTCTACACTGGCAATCTGCACAATCGCAGTGCAGCCATCAGAATCTACGCCACGGTTCATACTCGCAGATCGTTTTCGTGCTCGATACATTTGCCCATCATCCACATTGCAATTAAGAGCCATGGCTTTTTCACTGAAAGACTGCCGCTTCGAAATTCAAAACCAGCTCGACATACTCTCAGTGGAACACGTCACAGCCAAAGGCGCATTGCTGTGGGCGATGGTTTGGGCACCACATTATCTGGAGGAGCGCAGCTGGAGGGGACGTCAGCTCCTCGGCTTCTTCGGAAGAAGCTTCGGACTTCTCGTAGCGCTGCTGGCAAAGCCGGGTCGGAATCGCGGTGCCTCAGTTCTGGATGAGCTGACTTGCTTCATCGTGTGCGGATATGGTTGTTCTACGGTTATGCATTATACAACGCGCACATCCATCCAACGAACTTGGATATTCATTAGCGAAAATGGAATATTCATTTGCCACAGTTCCGGGCTTATTTCACCGGCACAGTTCGGTCCACCGTCTGAACCTTGGACACGCTTGTTCCTTCACCCTTTTTCTTCCGTGTTCTTTTCGCCTCCTTCTGAAGGCTTCACTCTTCGTAACCGGCCAGATGATTTTCCAACCGCCTCAGGACCTGTCGTCCCCCGAATTTTGCGGCCGATTTTCTTTGCAAGATGTCAGAATCGTTGGCCACGTTCTGTAAGATCTTACTATTTGCACTGAAAGAGTCACGAAAATGTTTGTTTCGGGCGACAGATCCGTCGCAAGTATTAAAAAAATATTATTCGAACGCTTTTGTGGAGAAGGAAGCAAATATGATTGTAGCATTGAAGGAAACACCCAAAACGACAAAGGAAAATACCTATTGTAATCTCCTTTTGAATAATCTCGTAATTGTCGGGTTGCTCCGCTTTTTGAACGATTTCAGAGTTTACACTTATCGTCTTGCAGAGTTCGAGCACGATACCAGTACTCTCTGAGAGTGTTTGAGATCACTGTGGAGTTTTGTTTCATGAAGTGTCGAACAACAAAAACACACACACAGATACATATATTTTTTTCGATTAGAAAATATTTGAAACTTACATTATCCAGAAAATTATTTTTAGGTTTATATTTATACTGCACACCATCAGAAATTGAAGGAAATAAATAAAGCTGAAAAATCCTGAAGTAAGATATAAAAGCAAAATCCAGGTTTCTTGTCTCCCATTACTGGATCCCACAGACAAACATACTTGCTGTCCTTCTGAGGAGCGTAAGAAGAAATTCCTGAATGCATGTCTAAGCGGAAGACATCCAGGCCACGCAATATTTCTATACATAATATCATTTACAATCAACTTTGTACTTATTTTGGATGTTATCAGCGGATGGATGTAAACTTTGTCATTATGATGTATGTACATTATTATTAGTATAGTGTTTCATGCATTTTTCCAATAATAAATTTAAGATAGTAGTACTTTACAGCTAAAAATTTGTAAAAAAACATTTCATTGAGAATCTAAAATCATTCCGACTTTTCATAAATAATCACCTAAAGCTCAAAATCTACATCTTAAAGATTTTTTTAGCCAAAAATTCATGTGAGTATTATTTCAATATCATATCATATCACTTAAAATTTCTTTGTCTACGATTTTTTTGATTGATAATATAGGACAGGTAAATTCGGATATTTCATTTGTATTTTTCATGTTTCGGAATTAGAAGTTTTACTAGTTTTATGGATCTCTATTTTTTTTCCATGCAGATCCAATTATGACCATTGATGGTGCGATGGATTCCACACATATATATATATGCTGTGTGGAGGGAAACCGTAGAAAACAATGGGTGCAATATGGTTTCAAATCGTTCATGAGAAATGTATCAGATTTTATAAACACCCAATAAATGACATATTTATCAATTTGACATCAATCATCTCAGATGTTTTATGAACGGATACCAAGTGAACATGTGATCGACTAATTATTTGCGGCGAGGCAACATCGTAGGAAGCTTATCATCATAACCGTCAATATACACCAAGACTTTTTGAATTCATTCTTATAAATGTGTTGAATTAAATGAAAAAACAAACCCTCTATCTAGACAACACATATGAAAATCAAACGATAAAGCAATGGGAAAGAAAGAAAAGCAAAAAAAGCGTTTCATACAGGAAAGACAGGAAGAATAGTAAGTGAGAAAAAATAATGGATATAAACAAGTTATCTGGTTGGAGAAATGGGACCACATACAGGGATGATCCGCTAGCCTTTGCAAGCTTCTCCAGAAGATATGAAAGTCTGTGGGTGGAGTTAGAATGTAGCCAAAACTTTATCGATCGCAGAAAACTGCCCGTCGAATGCTGGAAAGAGAAAGAAAACGAGAGTCCAAATTTCAGCGTGGTATAAAATTCTCACTTTTGGGCACAGTTGGCAATAATTATATAAAATGCCGAGTGGATTCAGTGTGTCCTAGTTCCTGTATCAGATATTTGCGGACATCGGAAGAATGAGCCTTTGTAGCTGACATCCGATGTGTGGAAGATTACCGGAAATGATGGAAGCCTGGGGAAAAAGAGCCATAAATCGGATAAGCAAAAATGGGGAAATAGAGTAGAGACAGATATACTCTAGAGTCCTATATTCCAGAGGATAACTGTTTGCACTACCGCATTTTGGGCAGGTCCCGAAATCCGTCACCTGCAAACATTCCGTAATCGGATTCCAAGTACAGACGGACGAATCTTGAACGCAGCTTTCAACATGCAGTTTCGAGCAGTCATTCTGAAAGTATCTCCAAGTCGTTGACTTGTATTCAAAAAAAGTTAGAGCAAGCCTAGAAGTCTAGAAAAAATTCCCAATGAATATATTGCATTGGGAGGGTACGGAGGGTGGGTTAAGAGGGATGGTGGAGTAAATGCAAATGAGTGACGAAATATGCAAACAATGGACAGGGGAATTGTGAGCAACAGAGACAAGGGCTTCAAAGTTTGGGTAGATGAAAATAGTGCCGTGGGAGTACGTGAATAAAGATCTAAACCAAAAAGTTGCAATAGAACAGTTCTTGTGAGCGGAATTTAAAGTTTGAAGTACTGACTAGCGAGTAACAAGGATCACAATCCATGTGAGGAATTAGTTGTTGATACCGACTTGGATGTGTATTCGAGTTGATGAGGACATATAGTCTGCAATTGACTTGTGTCATGGTACACGGCTTTTAGAAGACCTACTGAATATAATTAAATTTTTTTAAAACCCTAGGTATCATAAAGTCCGACTTGGAGACCACCCCTGAAGTAAATAGTTTGCTGATTTTCATTTTAGATTTGATAGTAGATTGTCCCCCAGTGTTGTGTCCATTTGTATCATACTATGTATATTTTAATGCATCGATATATCTGTAAATACCAAAATCTCCATAATGACATTGATACACAATCAACAATCCAAAGTAAGTATATGACTAAAGTAAACTCTTTTCAGCTTCGACTTTTTGAATTTCATGAACTAGATATTAATTTCATGATTAACATATTGACACGTTTCACTTCCGCTAAACTTTGATTTTGAAAAAATAAAAAAAATAAAAAAATAAAATTTTAAGGATTGAAGGATTATTTTTTCAGACTCTACAACCATTCATTTTTTTCACAAAAACCATGAAAAAGAATTAAAATAGTAAAGTATTATCATATATATTTATATATCTACTAATTGATGTTATAAATGATATATATATTCCTAGTAGATCATGTAATACATTTTAACAATTCTCCTCCCTACTGATGTTCGCCACGGCAAAACTAGTACCTCAATCTAAAATGAGACAAGTCCTAACTAGCTAGCCCATCGTCAAAACAAATCGCGCTATTTAAAAAGCTTGAATATGATGAACATCGCTTAATGGTTAATACTTAAGTATAGTCAAGTTTATAAGCGTGTAATTACGACCGCCGAGGGTTCCAGAATTACTTCTCACCCAGCTGATGATACGACTAGCTGAGATCTTATACTGACCATCATGTCCTGAGGGATCCCGCCTCTTTGCTACTCAAGGCAGGAAATAAGCCTCCGGGCTTACCTATGCACCAAATGGAATGAACCGACACAATATTGCTGGAAATATTCCAAGCTAATCGTCAAATTGTTATAGTACTTCGAGGGGACATGTTACTTTGTTCATAAAATATCTAAATTCAGTCAGAGTCAAATGTTTCTTCGTTGGAGTAAACAACGTTCGACTCTAAAGCACTCATGAATTCGTGGAGTAGTGAAATTCTCCTACATCGAATCTGTGTATATTTACTCTATTTCTTTATAAATTATGAACAGATGTAAAATAGATTGATAACTAATTGAAACATGATTTATTACCACAACGAAAAAAACGTTCAGATTGATACAACGACAGTCAAGTTTAAAATATAGTTAATTCTTATAAATTACATATTACGATTTATATTGATAGAAGATTGCAAACACAAATAGCATCGTTAAACCTGCAAAATAGATAACATAATAGACATAATGATCCATATCAATAGTAGTTTTGTTCTACAATGTATACATAAATGCAAAACCTTCATAACATTAACATTGCCACTGTCAACGTTGATCAGTAGGCTTATCATTATCAGTACATATCGGCTGCCTTTTTACTTCATTACTTGTTTGACAGACATTGATATGACCTACTCGTGACGAACACAAAGAAATTTGAAATTGACACTTTCATATTTTCAACAGCTTGTAATATGACACTCAACACATACTCAAGCGTGAACTACTTTTAGGCTATAAAATCCATTGCATGAAGTTCATTCTTAATCAACAACATCACGTATAGCAAGTTTAGAACCTAACTCTTCATGCTCTTGTGTGCGACAAGCAGTCTTTCTAACAATAGATATTGAACTACTGTAAAATGTTTTCAAATGTGCTCTACATGTATTTGCACAAGGAACACCCTAAACCCTATCAAACGCATTCCAGAATATAGGTCAGATATTATATACACCTCGCTACATTGCAAATCCTTTCTTTATACTTCCGGTATGTGCATATGACACTTCGAATGATCCTCGTTCATTTTTCTCTATTCACCCACTTCATCCATCATCTAAAACTGGTAACTTCTTCATTTTATAAGTCATTGTCAGCATCTACTCACCGATAGATACACCTTAAATCTTGACTTTTCAGTCAGTCTGTATTCTGTCTTGGTTTTCATAGACTTGAAGCATTGTGCTTGTAATCGCTCTCGAGTCGTGGATTCTCTAACATTTATACAAATGGACGGTGGAAAGATACCAAGGACCCGTGTTCGAAGTTCGAAGTTAGATGCTTACCTCCTGCGTGAAGTGCCCGGAGATTGCTGGACTAAATGCTGGGTGTTCACAAGCTACTACACATGACCAGCCTCACTCAACAGGAGCGCTACACTTCGCATGAAACTAACCGACTGTCCTCTTAAGGCGAGGAATGTTGTTTAAGAATTGTCGTAACATTCCTATATTGCTAGTCATAGATAAAAAAGTTGAGGTTCTCTAAGTAGCAAAAGCTGAGGCAAAAAGGATGTCAAAAACACCCAGCATTCGATCGTGGAGAAGGAGTGAGGGAGAACAATGATTTATAAGGAAAGCCGGCACAGTTACAGATCAAACCACAATGCAGGCTAGAACATAAGTATGATGCATACCTTTATTGTCATATTGTCCTGTTAAAACAGCAATTATGAGTTAAACCTGCACTCAAAGTAATTAATTGCTCAAGGAATTTGGGCTACTGGGTTTGTAGCTTTTGCACTTTCTAACGTCCACTTCTTCCAGAATTTTCTCACTTCTTTCTTCTTAAAACCTGAGGGGTAATATTGAGACTGGAATTTCGAAAAGATTGTCATTCTCGGAGTCGAGCCGACTCAAATGTATGTAAGAACAAAGAGACTTGATTGGCAAACTTCTTTCCTCACTGCACTCAAAAAGTTCTTCTCAATCTCACGCAGATGACGCTCATCAGTCACGAACAATTCAGGCATGAACAGATTATCTGTTACTGCCCAAAACGGTAAGAATTTTGCTCGACTTGATTTCCAAAACCACATCGAGCAGATTCAAATTGGGCACACGTCAGACTCTCTTAAAGGTACATCAGAAGGCCCACTTCATGATCTTCATGTCGCATGTGCTTCGCGGAGGACTGATGCAATTTCCTCAAAGAATGTAGCTATTAATGCCGTGTGCACTTCAGCAGTTCGTTTCAAACATTCAATTCACAAAAGCAAAGAATTGCTGATACTGGAGGATCTGTATATATCTCAAGAAGAACAAAGACTAGGTCACCCAAGCACACCACAGATGAAACTAGTAAATCTGACTTCCGAACGAACGCTTGCTTTCGTCAAACCATTCACAATTTTGACCAAATTAGCCACCCCTTGGACTTGAACAATCCAATGCCTTCTCTAGACAACACTCACGATATGGAGGAGCCATCATCTTACCGAACGAAAACAGAGAGAACATCCTTGGCTTCAATATAAGCCTTCGCGGGATCCATTTGAATTTGCTTTCTCACCACAAGATAATACTATAAGGTCTTCAAACCTGAAGGCAAGCATCAAGACATGCCAGCCCTGAATTAGGATGCTGGAGATTTAGAAATCTTTGACTGAGGTGATGCTCTATGCATTGACACCAACACTCGCATTTAGGTGCTGCAATACAGACAGGAACATTCGGCGTACCAGTCGCACAAAATCTGTTTACTTCTCGTTACAGTTTGTCACCAAACGTCTGGTCCTGCATGGTGACGTAGAGTTAGCACGAAGTTACCTACGAGTTAAAGGGCTAAAGCTAAACCAAACATTCTTGATTTAGAGAAGAGACGCAGCAAGGATCAAATCAAAGCACATAAGATCCTGGTTGGGTTAAGAGATATATACCGACATCAACCATAACCCTGAAAGGTTAATCCCAAGGTACAGTAATGTATCCCTTGAAGCATTTTATTTTTGAATGACCCCTGAAGCCTTACAACAATAATACCTGACCACTAAGAAGATGGAGATAGATAACACAGCGGGAACACTTTCGTTTGAAGATTGTAATATTGTTGAGAATTCTGAATTTCCAAACAGAAGCAAGCAAATGTTTATTACTAGTCAATTTGTTTCTCCTAGTAACAAGTGCAGCATGAGGCAACTATTTTACAACCAACACTTGGTAATGAAGTGACGTCAACTCTGTTTGTGTGCACACGAACGTAAGTGTTTAATCCAACATGTGGCGAGCCAAATGACTAACATAATACAGCGAAAGCATACATATCAGCAACTGTGTAAATATCTTCGACTCAATTCTGTCTGTCAAACAAGATCAATGACTAAAACAGCACCTTTGAAGTGATACTTGATACAGTACAGACCTAGAAGCCTACCCTTCCAGTTACAGGCGCAATTCAACGGAGTGAGGTGATTGCGTCATATGAAGGAAAATCATGGAGGACGCTGGCCAAGGTTTGAATCCATTACACACAGAGCATGTTTTGTGGCTAGATGAGTACCGAATTTGAAGTCCATCTGTATGTTCGCTTCAGGGTGAAAAATTCACACTTTCAAACTCTGATCCAGTACAAACTCTTTCCGGACAACACAACAAAGCTCCCGGAGTTGTGTTTCTATTGCTCACAAAAAGTTTTAAAACGGAATTCCAGACCAAAAACGTTCTGTGAACAATCATTGACCATAGATAGAAAAGTTACGACGAGAAAGTAAAGCTTTCTTGCAGACATCTATCATAATTTGATGGTGGAACTCAGCAAGGAGGTGATGAATCCGGTAAATGATTGACAACAATAGAGACTGTAGTAGAATGATAGAATATGTTGAACTGTTATGAAATGGCTAGCTGCCTCATCGTCGACCTTCAGGCATTGATGCAGTTTACATCAAAGGCACATCAGCAACAGAGTTCAGTTATACAAACCCATAGCAAAGACGAGCAGGTATGAAAAGTCTCACAAGCAGCGATAGACTTTTCTAGGCATGTCCTGGACGCATCTATATAGAATTTTTGTGCCACTTCACAGCAATCGGGCACTGAAACATAAGGTCCACAGTTAATTCTTAGTTATGATCAGAAGTGGAACCGTGGAGAACAGCTTGAAAATGACAGAAACTGCAATGTTGATTGAGATTGACCAAATGCATATTGACACATATAGCATGCGAGGCATTTTTAGTTAACTTAGCCTGACTAATTGCTCTCTCGAAGGTCTATGAAGGAAAAATCTTCCAATCAACATAGTAGTGACGAATTTTGCACGAATGACTGGAGATTTGGAGATAAGCTTCCTGACTATGCAAGATGAACGCTTACGCACAGAGTAGTGGGTAATGATACAGCCACCTTGGTGCACTGCGTGAAAGTATTAGCTCGATCAGCCGAAGCTCAGAATAGAATGATGATCGGAGGTGATCGAATGCGCCAGCTTTGTCGAAAACCCTAATCACGGCCCCAGCACAATTTCGTTGATCAGTGCTGCGAAACGGTAAGTACCTCCTCCTCTTTCTTCGATCCGAGAGTGACAAATCCCCCATCCTCTTCGACTCTGGCCGAAATCCACTTTTCTACCACCATTCCAGCTCCGATCCCGGCCAAAATGATCGTCCCGTATATTCCCAACGAAACATGCAGCGGTCGCCGGGGTAGGAAGTAAACCTCCGGTGCTAAACGTGATTTGGGGGGCCTGCCTTTCGCGCTGGCAGCCTTCTCCATAATTTCAAATCCTCTCGATAAAACAATTCAGTACAGATTCAACTGTAAGAAACGATCCCCTTCAGTCCAATCCAGTCAGAAACGATTGAACGCCATCGATACAGTAGATCATCAAACCAGCGAGACAAAACTCAATTCAAAATTCCCAAATCTGCAGAACTCAACCCTTCTCTTCAATCTAGAACAAAACCCCTTCGAGACAGTAAAAAGTCCACGACAGCTTCTACCATTCCTGAGCTGCAAGGCTTCCTGTTCTGACCAAGTTACCCACCGATTCCAAATCACCAAAGTAAGCACAATCTAATACCGACGACCGGATGGAACCAGTCATGTGATCCAACGCCCCTTTCTTTCCCACTTGTACGCTCTTCAAGCACTGGCTTCTATAAGGGGTACTGACTGGCTGACAACCCACAGCCCGGTGGATGTCGGGAACATGCACTTCCAGACACTGTCAGGTGTTCACAGTTATTTGTAGATGCAGAGCTTCACTTTACAAATCAATATTTCTCTCAAAGCTAGAAGCTGAAAGGGATAGTAAAGTTTCCTTTTGTCAAAAGTGAGATCACTATTCGACGATAGTTATACTGCAGTCAACACCAGACTACAACCCCTTTAGGCTCGATGGGAGTGTGCAACCTTAGTGCTGTAGTTTTAAATTTAAGCTTCAATTTATTAATGTAGCGATACTTTACTTACGGAGAGAAAACATTACATGTGTATGTGATAACACCTTTGACAATAGTCGCAGTGCATCAACACCAAAATACAACCCGTGTAGGACTTTTTGGAAACCACAATTGCAATACTCTAATGAATCTAATATATATATATATATATATATATATATATATGTCTCAGATTTTACATATTGCATAATGGGATCTTGAGCCCTTACACTTATCCAAGGAGTAAAGCAGCTTTTTACCGACGTCGCAGTTATCTCGGGTTGACTGTGTACTGCGATACACACTGCTCCACGAAGAGTTCCTTGGAAACTACGTTGAATATGTCGATGGCGTTAGCATCAATCCAATTGTGGAATACTTGTACAGTTTCCTCGTGTTGAACACCCACAAATAAGGCAAACGTACTTTTGTACATACGTGGCTGTACACAACGGTGTAAAGAGGAATGAAATACGTTGTGCACATTCAGACCACGTCCGCAGTAGTCATTCACAAAGTGCGGATAGATTCAACTTGAGAAGAGAGCGAATTGCAGCGACGGAGTATTCCACGTAAGACTTGTAGGTATGCAATCTCCGGCCCCGAGAAGAAGACAATGCTGAGGAGATTCTAAATACAGTAGATTGTACCAAGTCAAATGCAAAGTGTTGAAGCAGATGAGTTTGAGTGTCTTGGGCAGTGTTCCTTTTTTATTGGCCTAGATGTGGCGAAAGACTTGGGCTCGTTGAGAGAAGAGTTATAAGGAGAGATTGAAGCCCTTCGTCTTCCATATCGGGTTTGGACGAGGACAACTTGGACAAGTTTCACAGGGATACGGTACTAAATTTTCCACATTCCTATTGGTAGTTGCGCTGAACGTTTCGTGAAAGTAAACATACTGCGTGTCAGACGAAGCAATCAACTGCTGGTACAATTCCCCCATTGGCTGAAGTTTAGAATGACGCTATTCTGGGAATCTATTGCACCATATTGTGAGACCAAAGATCGCAAACACCAACACTGAAGGTGCACTCAACCACTTTGCTATGTCATTCTTGAAGTAGTCGACCATGTCATCAGTGCATTTCATAGCCCGGGCAAGTAAGAATGTCCACGAGAGCAAGGAATTCCATTGGAGCAACGGTGTATTGAAGTGGCATTAATCAGGTGTTCCTTGCGAATGAATTTGATCATACTTCATGTGTTGTCCCTCTGCTTCCCTCTAGGCATGACCGCTATTTACTGCCTCCAGTTAGTTATACAAGGGAACTGCGGACAAGAGAGCTAGTCAATCATATCCCCCAAGCTGCTGGTGGCCAAGAGCATTCAGGCGGGATTCCCAAATGCAAATCTTCCTCTGCTGATCTGTGAAGCAAGTTAAGAGTGGTGAGATCTTCTTCGGCTAGAAGCGGTGCAGTCCTTCTGCTGGAGGAGGTTGTCATCCTCGAAAGAAGCAGTGGTGCCCGTGTAAAGAAGGGATTGCTTGCTTCCACTATTTTAGAGTACTTGCTTCCAGAATCAAACCGCCGGCACGAGAGGTATTCAAGTCAGCGTCGAAATGATTCGTGGCGTCCTTGAGAAACATTTCAGAATAGTGGAATCTCCATGTTTCTACTATTTTCGAGAAGCTGCCCAAAGCCAACGGCAGAGCAGACTACGAGAGGGGCAGTCATTCATTCAACAGTCTCCCTGCTGCTCTCTGTGGAGAATGTGCTTACAGCCGATGAAGGTAGCTCTCGCTGTCCTAGTCAGTTTACTGAGATCACAGCAGTCATGTGAATATTTACCCATTATCGTTGGAAGAGGTTTGCATGGCGTTACTTTTGTTCAAACGAGCCGCAAGGCAAGCCTCTGGACTAAAAACTGCCGATCGCTGTAAGAGTTACGGTGTTATATCCCTGCCGATCTGTACGCGTCTCTGAGAGGAGTCCATGTGTTTTTGACTGAAGAAGCTGCAAAAGTAGAAAATAAGAATGAGATCATGTTAAGCGGGAAGCTCGTGACCCTGACAAAGTGGACAAAACGGAGATCCCCCATTCATTGAATTGGACTCGAAGAACGCCCCATCACGTTTCCAGAGACCGGAAGAAACGTGCTGAATTCGGGATTTTTCTCTTCATGGACCCCACAGACCACAATTGCCTGTAAATGTTGTGGTACAGTGGCGACAGGTCATTAGACAAGTGAGAATCGACGAATTGGACGATTGTGATTTGTGAATGATAGCAGAGCAGAAGAAGGAAATTACTCAATAATTACAAATGATTCTAGACCAGACCCCGGCTTAGGGGCTGGTGAGCAGCGAACAACTGCAGCAGCACTTCTCATCTACAGCTCAGACACAGGTCCCAGCACTCTCGCTTTCCGTCTATGTTTTGTCTTCTGCTTTGGCAGTCAGAGCCGGCAGCAGGAACCTTTTCTCACTTGACCCTCTTTCTGCTGTTTCCAGAAGTTACTATTTTAAATATTTGATTTGTCGTGGCCTCCTTCTTTCTTCCTTGTCCAAAGTGCCTCTCTGGGCAAACCCAGACTCACAAATTACCGCCTCAATTGCCATGCTATGCGATTGCATGCTTCATCATGCACTAGGACAAAGTTCACTTTTTCTGCGCCCACTTTGCTTTGGTTTCTTCTCAGAAGATAATCTGATAAGAATTTTCTCAAAGTTTTTTTCAAAAGCGGGTCAGCGAGCAGGGCCAAAATGATTGGAGAATTCATGGACCTGTTGAGCCACCTCAACCTCTGGGACAATGACACTTGGTGAAATTTAGATTTCAGCTCGAGCCTCCTCACCTTTCTGACCGCTGAAATGATTTGAAGAGTGTGCAAGAGCTCATGTAGCAGCAGAGAATGTGGACAAGTAGTTAGAATGTATCACATACGGAGGGCGTACTCGTGAGTACTGGTGACAAGTTCAGAACATGACGAGGAAATGCGACATTCTGCCATCCAGAGGCTGAGGCTAGTGTGGAGAGGGGTGTTCTGTAGGCAATGGAAAAGGGGCGCGATCTTAAACCTTCTTCATCTCTTCCCGACAATTCTGTCCGCAGCTTTATGCACAAAAGAGGACGTACACTTTTTGGGCTCCAGAAGTCAAACCTCATCCACACGAATTCCGTTCCACAGTCAGTCAGTCGGTCACTGTGGCTGTGCTGCTTACAGGCCCCCCGCCTCTTCCCGTAACGGAGCGCCCCTTGAAGGAGCTTGACACAATTAGCGTGCGCAAGTTGCTGAAATATCTCCATCTCTGGGCAGTATGTGGATCATGAAGGGTTGGACAACTTAGTGCCTTCAGATTCTCGAACAGACAATAAGAATGTTGTCGTCTCGAAAGATAATATTGAAAAATCACCGGTCTAAGATACGCCGTGCAGATTCGGTGACAACTATCCCGGAGATCCAGGTCAGGCTGTTATCCATATATCCTCAATTCAGACGCAGACATTGTTTTGAGCTCGAGGTGATCTGAAGCTCCAAAATTTTCCGAAAAGCCCAAACCCGGAAAATGCACTCATGCTAGTTTGAAGACTTCCACGCGATCGATGCAAGCATACCTGCGAATTCAATTCTTCTTCTGTCCGCTGCTGATTGGGCTGTGAGAACGGTCTCCCGAGTCTTCTTCTCGACAGTGATCACCTGCAGCAGTCCACTTGACGCGCACTTTCCGTCGAAAGTCGTGATTACACCAGGCCATCGAAGCTCCTCCTCCCTACATGTGTCAGTGGACATCCCCCTGGCCTGACTGCTTAATGCTATTCCCACGGGACGAGGAAACTGTCGCTGGCTTCCAAATATTGCGTTTCGGGATAGTTCTCCCAACAGTCTCCATGGAAAGGTGGAATCGAAGCAAGGAAGGAAAGGAGGAAGGAAGGTAGGAAGGAGGGAGGGATGGAGACCTTAGCTGAGCTGAGCTGAGCTGAGCCGAGGTCCTCACTGCCTGCCTCCGATGTTGCTGGTGTTGACGTCAGACGGATGCTGCGTTTAGATCCTGTGAACAGGCGAAGAACCTTTCTTTGAGGTCACACAAAAGTCAGGAACGAGCTTTAGAATATTGTAATATATAGCCCGGGACCGCCTCCCGGCGGCTGCGACCGCAGCCTGCATGCCATTCTGAGACCATCGAAGCTGCCCGCGCAAGGTTTTGACGAGACGAGCTGCGAAAAGCGGAGGCGAGCATGAGTCCAGTCACGGTTCGAATGAGAACTCTCCAAACTGTGGAAGATCGTTTGAAGGTTTTTGCAGAGAAGGTAGAGGGCATTAACAACTCTCGTCCAACCTCCCCGAAAAGAGGAGGATGGAAAGAAAAAGGTGGCAAAGGATGGCCCCTTCGCTCGACCCATCGATCGATCGAGTACAGTACAAACAATTGATTCTCGGGCTTCATAAATCCACAACTTGTGGTGACCAGAAGCGCCACTGCATGCCGGGCCCCGTTCATTGCAGACCACGGACAGAAGCGCAGTATTTGCAGAAGGTGCTAGCGATGGGACTGGTCAAGTGGATTGTCTGGGTTGCGTGATTGGCTTTGTGGGCCTCGGTCTCTCTATGTATAGGAAATTCCTGGGATTTCGCAAGGCATGGCTGCGGGTCAATCCCCAGATAAGAATGCTGAGTCATCAAGCCCCAAAACGAAAAAGGGCTGGGCTGTTGTTGAGATGCTGCTCCACCTCCACCACCAGCAAACAACTCGATCTGCAATCGAAATCAGGTCGATAAAGCATCCCGAAGCTTTGCTGCTACGGCTTTGAAGTTTCGGACTCGCAGCAGCCGCAGAGCAAGGGTGAGGTAAATGTCGTTGGTAAGGTGCTCAGGAAACTACCTTTTGGGAAGGGCTGAGCTCAGAAGAGCATAGGTATTGGCATCATCATGGATCATCGATCAACAGACCATGCCATGAATTTGATGATCGCTGTGGGTCGGGTCTGCCCGCAGCTCGGGCAGGCGATTGAATGATTTTGCGTCAATCAAACTTTGCATCAGTGCCACCGGCACTGCTATCGTGTCGAGAGTCGAATGAACGAATGTGTCCACTAATCAGCATCCAGCTGAAAAAGATTCACATTCAAGAAATTGGCCCACGGGTTCTGCCTCAAGAGACTCAAACATCGCCCAGCAGCTGGTGATTACGGCTTCCAGATGGCAATTAGTCAAGTGATCTTCCGTTGACCTCAATTGTGTCTGGGAATCCACATTTCCTTGGACTGCAAAAAATCCCGAGTCTTCTCTCATGATCATTGGTCTGCCAGAAAGAAGACTGCCTCATCTGCTACCCGAGATCGTACCTACGAGCAGAAGCTATACGTTTGAGGTGTGGAAGCTCCAGACAACGAATGGGTTCCTCGAAGATATGGCGCTTGACGATAGATCAAGCCTCACACCAAACACCATGGCCGTGTCTTGTCTTGTGCCCTCCTCCTGCTAGGTGGATCGGGGGTGGGGGCAGAAGGGGGCACAGTCACAGTGGAGAGGAACGACGAATTACGGCTGCAGATCGGCGGATTACGTCCGCGACTCGTTCCGGTCTAGAAAACATCGAGCATGGTGAAGGAGATTCTTAAAGCACGAGACTATAACAATCGGCTACAGATGCTGATGCTCTGTAATTTGGGGTTATTGACAGCGAGGCAGGCAATGTTCATGCAACATGTTGACATTGCTTGGAGCTCGGACCTAACTAGACCCGCCGCAAGTGCTGCAGGACCTCTCGCCGTTTCTCATTGCTCTGCCAGGACCTATGTTGGACTCTTGACTGTAGAAGAGGAAACCATGGAGACATTTCGGTGAAGAAATTGTGAAGGACTTTGAAACAGAATCGTGAGCACGGACCCTTACCCTGCCCTGCACACCTGGTGCAGAGCTTATGTGGAGATACACTTGAGTGGTGACAAAAATGGGGACGATCCGGTGGGAGATTGTCGATTTTATAAACATATAATTATACGCAGCAGCACGAATTCCGAGAGGAATGTCATCAAAGATAGCGTCAACTGAGGGAAAGGAGGGCTGACGTCCGGCTCCATGACTCAGAGTGGATATTACAATTACGAGCAGCGAGAGATAGAGAGAGCCATTTCAATTGACTGACAGAGGCAACGAAGACGTGTTTGCTTGCTCGGTGCCTGATCCAGCACCTGAAGTCAAGCCAAGGCATGTGACGAAGCGCATTTTGCAATCACCGGTCAATCCTGCTGGATCGACCACCGAAATTGAATTCTATATGCCTCCGGTCGCGGCTCCGAGCCTACGATGCTCTCTGTCCGGTTCCGAGAGGGTGATAGAACTACTCATATCACTCGTCGGGAAACAAAGGAGTGTGAAACTTGTGCGGGTGATCACCATCCAGCTCATCATCCGGCGAGCTCTCTCAGCAGACAATTCTCATGTTTGAAACGCCATTTCTCCACCTACGGATCGATTTTGACCCGGACTACGAGCATCCAGCTCTGACAAATGCAAGTCTCTTTCGGTTAAACAGGACCCACGGGCAAGGGAAGGAGGAAATCGCAGCACTAGCTTCGGTGCCTACGTGAGATCAGAACGAGACAGAGCCTCCTACGCTGTCATTCATTGCAGGAGTAGACTCACACCCCTCACTCTTGGCTGGTCCTCCAAGGATTTTGCGTCCTGTGTAGACCGAAAGCTTGTGTCGTGAGCCGTGACCGACCAATATACTAAAAAATATACTCAAGGATAGAAAAATCGGACGAACGATTTTGTCCTCCAGTTGAGTCTACGGGGCTCGGGCTCGGACTGGGAGATTCCTCGAGATTGCACGCATCGTATCAATGGGCTTCGTTCTCTTGCCCGCCGCCCGTTCAAAAGGACTTCCGGAAGACAAAATCGGAGAGAACTTTGGTCGAGAAACGTGCTCAAGTTCGAGACCTGATGAGCCAAGGATCATGGCTTTAGGCAGGCCGGCCGGCAAGCAGGCAAGCAGGCACAGGAGGAGGGACGGGAGTTTGGGGGAGGGGGAGGTAAGGGAGGGAGGGCGGGACGCAGGCATGGAGGGCATGGAGGGTATGGAGGGCAATGCGCGAGCGGGACACGAGCGAGAGCAACGGGCGGCCCCGAGCAAAGGTGTCAGTTTTCTTTGTGGGAAAGTAGAAGCATAAGAAGGGGAAGATTCCCCATTGCTACCCAACACCACCACCGAGAAAATCCGCCTTTTCCCCTTCCCCATCCTTTTTGCTTTATTACTTGGTTTCCCCCTCGAGTGTATCCGTCTCGGACACAGATGCTAGGAGAAGGAGCAGGAGAAGGAGCAGGAGCAGGACGAAGGAAGATGCAGCAAAAGTTGTGAACCATCGTAGCATCGTGATGGCCACGCCAATGAAAATTCAATTGAAATGGGCTCATAAATCTCCATTATTGCCTCAGCTCCCGTTCGTTTCCTCCCTTGACCACATCATCAGGTTTCGACCATCAATTTCTATGTAGTCTGGGTGAAAACTTGGTGAAAGCGAGTGAATGGTTCAAAGTATTTTTCTGCTTTGTTACTCGCTATCGGTATGGGCACTAAGTCCAGTGAATATCGATGTATTATAATGCGGCAGGAAGAATAAGCTCCAAGGCTAGAGTGTGCCAAAGATGCTGTGTGCACAAGATGAGCATGAAAGCGGACTAATCACAGCTGCGCAAACGAGGTTAGCCAGGCCTGACTGACATTGCGACTTTTGCCGATGACGCTCGAACGTGTCGCGCCAAAGCTAATCGTACGTGTTCTGGGAGATACTTCCATGAGCCTTTAGAGAACATGGAAATATCCCGCACTTCTTCAAGAGTCCATGGTGAGATCGTAGACAGCAGAACATCATCCTATGGAGAGTGGACGTCTCTGCGTTCAAGATGCGTGGCCCTTGAAGCAGAAGGCAAACACCGTTCTGGATTTACTTGGAAACAGCAGAGGAATGGATGGTCATCCAGTTGCACTGGGGTTTGCCTGCCAAAATATACCACCTGTGGTCACGTCAGGATGGCATCAAGTAGCCTGGGCACTTATATTAATAATGTACCGCCCAGGCTCACACAATCTCCTGGCTATTAAATTAACAATAAGACAGAACCAGAGATGCCACTTGCTGCATTGCTAGAACATTGTGCAGTGTAGGAGAAGAGGGCTTTGTTTCAGAACGTGTGAGTTACTATAGGCTCTTAAGGCGCATCTCTCAAAGTGATGCCATCTGTTGCTTTTAGCGGAGCCTGAGTAAAAGTGTCATGCCTCCTCTTCCTCCTCGTCCTCAGCTTCTTAGAATCCCGCAATCCCGGCGTTTACAATGGGTGGCAAAACCGATAAAGGTGGGCTCTTCAGTCCCAGGACCGAGCAGAAGTAGTAGCAACGTGAAACTGTGGCTTGTCAGAGCATTATAAACAGGAGGTGAGACATTGAAGTACATAGCACACATCTCGGGTACACTTAATACTTTTGGTCTTTGGAGAATGCAAAATGCATCGGCCGGGTAAAGGGTTAGTGGTCAAAAGTGGAGGTTCTAGCTCAATAGTTCGTCGTACCCACCACTTCACTCGCCTTTGCAGTTGATGTTGTCTCTTTATGTACAATCAAAGTGTCATGACAAACTCTCTCGAAACTTTTATGGAGTTCATTGGGGGCGAGCTGGCGCGTGATTGGGGAGGCCGGGGATATGCTTTTCAACAGTTCTTGAGAGTTCTCAAGTAGTCGACGGACACTCCTGCACCGTTTCTTTGTCTTGAGGGATGGCACGTTTCGACGGGGGAGGGTACCATCTCTCGCCGGCTCATGAGCTTCCCGTTTCGATCGAGACGATTTGTGTCAGGGGTTAAATATCAAATGGCGAGCATCCATCGACACCTGCAGCTCGCTTTTGACTCGCGTGCCGTCCGATTATCGACCATAACCACCATTCCTTAAAGATCCCCGAACTTCCTCCAGAAAATATTATATTTTCTGAAAATCGCAGCGATTCCCTGGATTCCCATCGGGAGAACCTGGCGAGAGGCTCAAGGGATATGCTGTGGGATCTTTCGTGAGATGTCGCAGGAATCAGAACGAGATAATTCGCGATGAAGCGTTTGCGAGCGCTGCTGCTGCTGCTGCTCTGGGCCCCGATCGCTGGCTGCACCAGATGCTCTGAAATGCACCCACTCGCAACAACTCCAACTATCCCACTCTCTCTCCCACTCGCGGGGGCTCCAGCATGCCCCATCCCATGTCCTCCGTCGCACTCTGATGCGAGCTCTGTCGTCGCCGGACAGGTGCTCCCATCGATGTTCCTTCCTCCCGTCTTTTACTAACGACACATGTTCTCCACCAATTACCTACCGGCGCAGATTTTCTTGAGCAAAAGCGCTCGGCTCCAAAGGCTTTCGCTCCGTCTCTCCCTCCCCCTTCTCGCGCCCCGCGGACCTACGACACCCCCAACGAACAAAGCGCAGCCCCGCACCATTGGCTCTTCGGGCACCTACTGCTCCGGAGCGCCACGTGTCGCGCCCTCCTCGGCTCCGGCATATCTCTTGGTCAGGCTCGCGCAGAGCACCAGATCTATTTCTGTTCGTATTAGAGCCGACGCCGTCACCTGTTTCTTCTTGCCCAGTACGGTACTGCGTACTGTCTGGGACACAGTTGGTGGAAAGGTTATCCGGTTTCTCCCTAACTGTAAGTAATCCGAGCCCGCGCCCGAGGCCCTGACCCGGTCCCGGTCCGGTACGCACCCGCTCCCGGCCGGACTGCGACTCCCCGAGCGGAGCAGAGTGTTTTGCTATCTTGTCACACATTGCTCTCATTGCCCTCGACGGGACCGGACCCGGTACAGTTCGGGGGTTATGGTTCTCGAAAGGAAGGATTAAAGTTCTGTACGTGGGGCTTTTGCCAGACGGAAAATGCTCCGTGGATGGAACGGGAGGAGAATCCACCACAAGGTCGAGCCTAGTGCCTTCATTTCGTCCCCTGTAGGGCCTGTACCTGTGCGCGCGGAAAAGGGCTCGTCCTATTCCCGAACTCGATGAAGTTATCGTTCATCCATCTGCTGTCATAATGCCTTCAAATCGGTATCAGCTTTTTCTCAAATTTCCCTCTCTCGATGAGTTAAATAAATTTCAACTCCGAGCTTTGGCGATGTTACTCTTATGAAAAGTCCTGCTTTGGTCCGTGGCCGCAGGAATCCATCGGTTTTGAGTATGTAGTATGCTTAACTCAGTTTTCATTTGGTTTGAACTTCTTTGTCATAGCGCCGATAATAAACATATGCTCTCTACTGCACTGCACTCCAAGTAACTCTGGGACTAAGAATATGGAAATAAATCTTTTCAGAATTTTGCTATGGTGTATATTTATAGTGTATTGCAATAATTCAGCCTCTAATATTTTATGGAAGGTTTTGCTCTACCGTAATCCATCTATGTGGTTATGCGCTTAGTCTCATTGTGTCACATTGCCATGATAAAAAAAATTGTATGAAAACCTTGAGTTGTGAAACTGTTTTGGTAGTTTCGACAGAGACAACCTTTACTGTATTTGATAGGGAGTTTGTAGGGAATCGATTCGAGTGAAGATAATTAGGGGGATCTGTTTGAAACATGTGTTGATATTTTCCAAATACATGTAGCTAACACATGAAAACCTTCGGAAACTTCTATCCGATGAATGTTTCATCTTAAGCTGACAACAGAGCAGAAGTAAGACCAATTTGTTTGGTTTCCTGGATCCCTTGACCAAAGTAATCAATTCAAGTCAAAAAACTCACTTTGATTGTATGATGTGTCAAATTATGTTTAAAGAATGGATGTAGACTACGTGTATGATGTCTAAAGACTATGTTGACTAAGATTTATTTTAAAAAATTTCATCACTTTTGGATAAAATATCACAGGACATTAATCACTTAATTCTTCTCATGGATGGCACAGAAATCTATGACTTCAAAGAAAAATTCTAACAATGTGATGGAAATTTTCATCAACAAGTATTGGAGAAGATCAAAATAAAATTCTCAAAATTATGCATGAGCTATCACATCATCCCCTAGTTGAAAAGATAAAAGCTATCAAGGAGATAGAAACATCGAATATCCAGTAGTGATAGAGAAGAAGAAGGAGAACCAAAGCTTCGTTCACGCATGTCCATATCGAGTATACACGTGCACACGCGGCGGGACAGAGAAGGAAGGAAAGTCGGGACTCGGGAAGGTCGATCTCTCTCTCTCTCTCTCTGGACGACCGAAAGACGCTCATGAAAGAGCCAACGGGCGAATGAGTGAACGAACCTAACGTCTTCTGCTCGTCAACTTGACGGCGATCTGACGACAAACGGGATGAGAGATCGGCTGTCTGCCGGCCGTCTGCGGGCAGGGGGTCACACGACGACCTGACGTACATTCTCGCCACCGTTTTCCCTGTCTCCCTTGTGGACGCGGAATTCATGTCCTGTCATGACGAGCCGAAACGTTCGAGGATCTCGTCACATGCCCCCGGGCCAGCCCACGTGGCGCCAGCTCGGCTCCACGCGGCCGCGACTTTTCTCCCCGTCATTGTCATGTGTATTGTGTGCCCGAAGTCGGCACTCCGCAGGCTCGAGACTGGCATTCCGTCTCTGCATGTTCGCATGACTGCGAGCGCCCTTCGAGTTCCAGTCGAAGAACGATTTAGGGCCTCATGAATATAAAATCATGATTCTTCAGGTCCCTCTCTCGTACTGCAAAATTCCTCTGGGTTCGATCTTCAGCTGCGCATGATGAGAAGAAACATGTCGCAGAAGTATCACAAATTTACTATATTTGATGTATGCATGTATCTGTGAGAAGAATAAAATAATAGTTCTGACGTACTCGTTTTCTTGCAAATGACCTGTAGAACTTATATTCATATCAACATTTTATAAAATTTTGAACGTTTGGAAAGAGAAAGCTTGGACTCAGCAGTTTTCATTTAACCATTACAGTTATGTCATTTTCCGAATTGTGATTTCTTCTTGATAAAATTAATGCATTTCTGAAAAGCTTCAAAACTCCAATCTATACAGTAAATGAGATTCTGCCTTGAGGGTCTTCATATGTTAATAAAATATATGTGTGTTCCAGTTAACTAATTTTTTTGATACATTGGAAGTTTTTTAATAATTTTGTCATTAAAGTGATTAAAAAGTATCAAGGTAAATAGATCAAATTTGTTTTTCATTTCGGATATAAAATGTAATTTACATTTGATCCACCAAAGAAGTATATGAAATTCTTATACACACATTTGCATTCGTCCTTATAAATATAGGTGCCAAAATACTTTCTCTTTTTTTATTGATTATCAATGAAAATTTTGAAATTTATTATTCCTAATTTATTATCATTTTATAAAAATTTGATTTACCCATATATTGCAAAATGTATAATTGAATACGTCAAATGCAGTCATAGCATGAACAAAAATATGCATTCATTTTTTCACATGAAATTAAATCATTTTTTATCCACCTGTGTAACTTTTAATTTGATATTTTTGTTATCCTAAGATTAGAAAATAATAATCTGTTTAATATTTAATTACCATAAACCAGGTTACATTTTTTTTTAAAGATTATTGCAAATTTCATTTCACATGAAGACGTAATTTGAAAAAAAAAATGATTAAGATGAGAAGTTCATTATTCATATACTATGCATTTGCCAAAATTAGAAAAAATCCTATAATGATTTTTTATTATCTGAAATTTTCTTAATCATAATGCTGATGTTTCCAAGAATGGCGATTTATTACAGGTTTCCCTTGTAGTATTTTTCGTTTGTTACTGACCCTCAACGAAGGTATTTTTCACTATTTATTTTAACTATTTCTGATTATTTTTGTTTACACTCAAAAGGAAAGAAAGAGTGTTGAAAGCGATAAATTTTTTTTTTCGAATAATTGGGTCTTTCAATATTTAATTTCAGTGCAAATGTACTAGTGGTAAGTTGACGATGCAGCAAAAATGATGGATTTTATTTTATTTTTAGAATTTTGACTATACATAGTGAACAGGTACACCTGGTGTTTTATCCTTTAGTATGAGCTAATGCTCGGAATACCTCTGTTAATTAGATAACAGAGTCTTGTTTTTTCTCCTAAATATGCTAAAATGTTAATCGCGTCAACATATTGCAATACTAGTAGGTTAATCAAAACTTTGTGTAAACCTGTTCATACTTTCTGTAAATATAATCGGTTATGCAAACAGCTTTGAATGGGACTGCCTATAAGTTTCACGCTGCGTTTGAAAACAAACATATTTCTAAACTATGTTTGTGTAAGTATATAATTACCTAGATGTAAAATTGAGCCGGTGAGAACAAATGGATATTTATAAACTTAGAATTAGATATTTCTGAATAGTCAAAAGGATTGTGAAAGTTTGATTTACAAATTTCAGCCTGCCAGCTTAAAATAATCAAAGCAAATCATAAACCTCAGAGACAACAAAGTAAAATACTATAAAAGTGATGGAATACAATCAAACTTCTGATCATTTGGAGTAGGTAATAAATTTATGATCGTTCAGCTCAATTCGAAAGAAGTGTAATCAAAATGATTAGGTCTTCCGAAGACTAGATTGGACAATTATTTCAAATTTGAGATTCAAATTTCTCACAAAAAAGGTTAGATGGAGAAAGGTAAGTGCAGAGAAATATTGACAGCAGCCACACACCTTCACATATGATTGACTTTTACACTGCATATCTAAAAAATGATGACAAAAAATATTCTTTTCCAGAGATTTGTTTTATAAAAGAATCGATCGCAATATGAACGAATGCTGTAACTCCTTTGTGGTAAAAGCATATTGTAACCAAGAGAATAGTCATAGTGAGGAAATCCGGTACGGGTGCCATGACACATGATATCTGCTCTGAACTCTGATATAAACTATTCAAACTTTATTGCCTAGAATTAGCATGAGCTCTATTTCAGGTTGAGGTTTATCAATCTCCTACAATCACAACGTGATCTCGTCAAAGTAGCCTTGATACGATGATGAGATAACTGTTAGGAATGTCTGATTTGCATGGGTTGAACAAATCCATGAATTGGAAAATTGGGGGAAAAAGGAAGTAGGTTACAATTGAAGACTACTGCACATTGATTGTTTGTTTCGAATGCTCGTAAAGTGGGGTCATGACTTAGGGAGGGAAGGAAGGAAAATAAAGGCATAAAAAGGAATAGAATGATGGTTGTGTTAAAATTGCAGATACGGTTGCGTAGTTTCCTCCTTACGTATTCTCTAAACTTCGAATGGAGCATATCGAACCAACACTCTTGTTCCTCTCTTTCCAACCTTGGGTCGGAGTCGGTATCGAGAATGAATCTTTACATATACCAAAGCCACGTCCATAGCCAGAACCTGCAAGTTTAGAATCTCCATCAGGTTCCGTGTACACCTGCAAGAGAATCTAAAAACCTTTCTTCAAAAGTGGTTAGACCAAAGTGACATCATGAATCTGTATGTCATCTTGTGAGGGATATAATTCCCAGCTGCAAGGACTATTTTGTTCAGTCTGGTATTGGAAACTGGAATGATACCCTCCTTCTCTGATTGCTCTCTAGAAGCGAAGAAGAAGTTTTCTGTACTTACTGTAGAACCTTATTTCCACCATTTGTCGGCTGACAAGAAAGACTTTTCTCCGCCTTCTTCATTCATGCGCGATCGACTCGAACAGTCCAAAATCTCTCCGAGCTTTCTTTCGAAGAATCTGTGATCTGTGTTCCTGGTCTCCCTCCCTCCACAGCTGGGTAGTTGTACAGAGGAGCTACAACAGATTCGCTATGAAAAATATTGGGTTGATCTATGTCACATGAGGTCTAAGATAAATTGTAAACTATTCGAAACCGCCTAAATTGCTGCAATCATTGTTGCTAATTCGACCCTGTGAGAGTGTTCTCCAGTACTTCTGGCAGTGTAGTAATAAACGGACGCCTCCTGCAATGTGTGTCCTCGGGACCTAAAGCAGGCCAAGGACAAGCTAGGTACCAGGGTACAGTACGTTTAGGAATATAATAATTATATTATTTATGAAATTACTGATTGGGATTAAGAGGTGTGAGATGTATTACGAAAGTGCTTCAAAAGATGCTGTAACAGCATTATGGGAAAGGTTCATTGCACCAGAGAGTGGGAGCAATAGAGCATCTTCTCAGCATGTTAATTAACAAACGCCTTTCGTACGCACGGTATTGACACGCAATGGAGTGCACAAGCTTTGTGGAAATAAGAACAAAAACGAACCGAAGGCCAAGCGGCGATGCCAATGATGATAAGATTTGTTCGACTAGGAACAATTTAGTGTCTTTTACTGCTCAAGTCTCGTTATTACTTCCTGCACGTTCCTGTGATAGTTCTTTACACTTTTTCATCCCAAATTGGAAAATGAGATTGGAGCCAAGGTAGGTATATACATCGTCATGCATACATGTCATGTTTTTCTTGCTCTTGGGCTTTATATAAAATTTCGTTTTTAAAACAGTGCACGAAAGATTGAATTACTAGACGACATGTAGTATCATTGTTTGAAAAGATAGTCTGAAATATCTTAGGTAACTTATTTACATTTCTATATACAAGATATGATGGTTTGATCTCTGAGGAAATCAAGCATGCTACTTGATGAGTTTGGGATAAACTCTTTGTATAGACTTTTTGACATCATAGTTTAGATATCTTGGACGAAATAGAAAATATTTTACATTTTGATGACATAGGAGCTTAGACCCATGCCACTTGTTTTATGGCTAGTCTTATCCTTTTTTCTATATAAATCAGTATCTTTTAATCATATTACCTTCTATTTTTCCAAAGATAATAAAGTGCGAGTTGCCTATTCCATCAAACCAAAAACGCTTTATATCCCAAATTGCAAAAACAGGATCCTTAGCCATTAGGACATAGAAGTTCAGTACCGTGATGGAAAAGGTCCATGAAGAATAATATCTCTTCCATCTAATACCTCCCTCGACTGAGAACAATCCTCGAGCCAAGTTTGTCCATCATGCGTCTACTGTACTTTGTGGACGTGAACTATCTCGTGCAAATGTCAAAAGGGTCAGAACCGGATAACATTCTCGTAACCATTCCAAGTTTCCAACTCTTTCTCTCTTTGCATGTTACGTCCAAATCCAGGCCCACGTTCCCAAGAGTGCTCGAGACATGGTTGTCAAGATTTCAGCAGAGTCCTTTGCTTGTCTCGCAGAGACCTGTTTCATGTGTAATCAGGAAAAGAATCAAAATTAGCTCATCGGTGAGAGGTAGGCTAAAGAAACCCCGAGCCTAGTCAAAATCCCCGATTCTTCCCCCCCAACAGTCACCTCGTGGTTGGAACAGAAGTCCAAAAGTCCACGGTCCTCTCAGAAAATGGTGCTCTCGCCATCGACCATCGACCTTCGACAACATGAAGCGCAACCACCGAGCGTTCACTTTACCACGGGTAACCCTTTGGTATAGGTAACCTCGTGGTCGGCAACTGGGTACCTAACAGTAGGCCCTGTCTGCGTGTACAAAAACTGCTGCACAAGCGAAATTGGGAGGGTGGGAGGTTCGCCTTATGGTTGGCGGCTGCAGTCATGGTCATGGTCAAAAACACAGTCCAGAAACGTAACCTCAGATTGGACTGCCTCCTCGTGCTGGAATAAAATAGAGGGGAATAATGAAGAGAAAAGGCAGTGATGAGCTGCAGGAGTCCGGGAATGGTATCTGCACACTGACCTGAAAATAATGTCAACCGAGTGAGAATGTGGACGGAGCAAGTGCGAACCAAGTACAACCCCTCGTTGTCACTGACCGACCATGGGGCAACTTTACTTACGACGTCAGGTGTTACTACCACCGAGTAGCCAGCCGCCGATGGCTGACTGCGAACACGTAACACTTACCGGAAAGGAGACAGAACGTGCCGGGAAGGTGTTTCCTGACGTGGACGGACGCGGAGGGCAGAAGGACCCGGCCCTTAACCGAACCCCGCGGTTTAAGTGACGGTGGGGGATGGATAACCGGTCTGTATGAGAATGACCGACTGCATGAATCTCCTGCAGGGACGCGGTCCCGGCGATTTGTCCGGAAGGAAGTTGGACCGGTTTTACGGCTCCCGGTGAAGTCCAGGCGCCGCCGCTCGCCGACACCTATGATTTCCAGCGGCTCTTATCGAGCTCCAAGCCCCGCGCCTGACGAGTGACAATGATCGATCCCGTTGCCTACCTTCCCGAACCCTATCCCCTTCCCCATCCCCATCAGCAGAGCGCCCGCCGGGGGTTACAGGCCATGCACTTTCCCTCGTTCAGACTCCAGGGAGTCTAGCGAAGATCTCGCAGAAGGTTTACTCTCCGTCGGGTTCCTTGCCCCGACCCCAACCCCAACCCCCCGACCCCCAAGCCCACCCCCTGCCCCCGGATTCTCTCTCCGTAGCCCCAGGGCCCCAGCCAGGGTCGCCCGTAGGCGCCCTCGAACGATGCAAGGAAAACGAGGGCAGAGAGGGGAAGGGAATTAAAGGGAAGCGAGGGGACGACGAGAAGAGTTGCTCCTCCACCCGTCGATGGCTGTCAGACGAACGAATAGAACGAACGTCGCGTTGTTGTAGCTGACGAGATCACGACAAGCCTCAAAAGCGTCGAGGTGCCAAAGTAGCACGTACTGACTTTTGTCCGGCTGGCTGGGAGAGAGTTGCGCTTTGTTTCCGGGGCGCTATGGCTTTGGAAAGCAGTCATAATAACCAACTTAGTGGAGCGACGACACGCAGTCCACTGTTGTCTAACCCGGGTAGCATGATTCCGGAGGATCTGAAAGCCCGCGTCGACGGACATGTGCTCTTTCAATCTCACTCGGCGCAGAGTCGAGCACAGGCGCTGCGAGGTTCGCACAATCCACGATGATGTAAGACCAACACAAGGCACGAGTTTGGGCGGATGATCCAATCCGCATGTACAGTAAGGGCACGGCATGAACAAGAAGAACCAAAAGATTGGAGTGTGATGCATTGTGTAAAATCTGATGCTTTGTCTTAAGTAAAATGCGGGAGGTCCAATCGGATGCAGCACAACGACGGCCCCTGCTAGGATCACGTTCGGATGAAGACGCGGGTGCCATTGGCATGACGGCGCCGCGCATTGATGGCCGTTTAGCAAACTCTCGGCTCTAGAGAGTGCAGACGAGGTCCGATTTACGCGATCGATCGCCCGAAGGGAAGGGGGATGGCCCTGTAGGCGAGTGGCAGAGGCTTCGAGAACAGGAGCTCGGCCGACGACGCCAGGCTTTAGGCCGGGGCCTCTGGGAGTCAGGGGATGGATCGAGATGGAGCCGATAGATGACCAAACCCGATCGCTCGAAATCTTTCGGCCGAATTCCAGTGGTTGGTACACACGATGCGCTAACAGTGCGAGCCGGCTTACGGGTCGACGATATTGTGGAGCAGCAGCAGCATTAGGCCCGAGGTCAGCCAGAGGAGACGAGACGAGAGGCCTCGATCCCGAAGCACGATGTCATGGACCTGGGAGGCGAAAAGGAGCATGGCAGAGAAGTTGCATATCATGGGTAGTGACTTATCTCTGAGTCATATGGGCCTAGCAGTAGGAGCAGTAGCAGCAGTAGAGCAGTAGCAGCAGCAGGAGCAGCAGATTAGGAAGTTTTGGCTGAGAGAGCATGATGAGAAAAAGGAGGCATGTGCTGCTCTCTGGGACATTTGGGATGGATGGCTCATGCAACAGCGGCCGACGAGAAGCATGGTTAGGGGCCGTGCGGAGCATGGGTTGCATTGGGTACCCGACTGTGAACCGTGCAATGGCATGGCTCGGTTGTGCGAGTCAGAGTGAAATAGTGGTGTCCCCCCAAAACTTGCTTTGTCCCTTTTCGTTTGGACGGTTTGCAATGGACTGCCAAAGCTACAACTGGGATTTGTGGCCCCCTCCACCTCGGGATCGCTCACCCTAACCGCTGCTTCTGTACTGGTCGCCTTCTCTCTCTCTCTCTCTCTCTCTCTCCCCATCTCCCCCTCCCCACCTCCATCTCCAACTGCGGTCGAGTTGATATTTTTGATACCTCGCCACCTTTTCAAGTGCAGTCAGGACTCCACGTTCGAGCATATGCTCCTCATCGGCATCATGACACCAGAATCATCCATTCACCCGGATTCGCATTGCCCCGTTCCCACCTCGTTAGAGTGGCGTTGTGCATGTCGATTATGGGTAATTTTGGGTTGGGGGTGCTAACTCTTCAGCGCCATCGCGCGCAATCATAATAACAATGACAATAATGGCGATGTGCACGTTTTCAGGCATGCACAAGAGCTTTGTGTTGCGGGGTTGCCTTGTCTTCCGAAAGAGAAAAGGAACTAACAAGTATTATATTGAAAAGTAAGGCTAGACCCCATCAAGTGAGACATTGATGAAGGATTAAAGATGAAAGGAGAGTAGAGCCTCAAAGCTCTTCTGATGGAAATTGGAAAAGGCCTAGAGCCTTCGAGGCTGTCTGTATACCTCTGCTTTCTTGTTCCATTTTCGATGGGCTTACGTGTTCAGAAGTGCACTATGGGAGTCCGACATGTGAACCACGGCGTGAGGAAGCAAATTGCCTTTGTTCATGGACGAAGTTTCCTCACACAATCTTCCGGCTCTTATTCTATTTGCGTGTCATTCTAGTTCATAAGACCTAAACCCTACACTTGTCTTCAGCAGGTAACAGCTAGTCACAATATTGGAACCAACGAGACTATTTTTTAAACAAGTCAAAACCTTGTTGTTGTTGTTGTTGCTGCTAGAATTGGCGATGATTTCCCCATTGATAATATCACAAGTGTAGGAAATTATATCACCCACCAGCCAGCCCTTCCCATCAATCGATTTGTTAAATAATTAGCGTCTTACCTGCATCCATATTCGGAGAGAATGGACCTTTTTCAAACAGCATTCCTTCTGTATATTCCTATTTCTTTTCACATGCAGAAGTGATCTATCTAATTGCCATATTTTATTATACATCTTATATGTCTAATATCTTAATCTTTCCGAGTGTTTCTCTCATGAGCTCATGTTGAAAACTCTAAAAAATATCAGACATACCTTTGATTCTTTGACTAACCAGCACCACAAGTTTTGAAAGTCAACTTGTCTGTATGTAAGGCATTGTTTACTTCAGACATTTTTCCTCATCTCCAGCATCTAGAATAGTGTATAACATCACATCCCTTCCTAGAAGCTCGAGCTGGAGTGCATCTCATGTGGCTTAGAGTATGTATTGCATGTGAACTACCTTCATGAAATAGGAGATTCCAAGGATATTGCGATTGATTAATGTGGTGTTGGTATTTTACTTTACTAAATTCTAATCACTTTTTTCCCTTTATATGCATTCTCATCATGCTTGACAAGATTTGATAAGAGCATCAAGATGTCTGTAGTGATATCGTCCGATATAATAATATAGTTGTATTAGTAATGTGAGATTTAGCACTAATATCTGCATAAATCCTGATTTTGCAAAAAAAATAAACATGCTTCACACAATTGATATCAGGATAATGAAAACAAAATTAGTAAAATCATTGTGGCTAGGTGAGCACATGAAGATGATTATTTTCACGATTTGTGATTATAAATAAATGCGTTCTTGAGAAATAAGTAACGGACGTGGATAGCAACATATATGATATACATGTACCAACATACACTTTCTTGTCGAACGATACCTCAAGCAAACTTGAGGATCATTACTGAAGCATGCATTGAAGTTTTCAGACTTGCATTAGCTACCTTTAACACAAGAGTCTGATACCTCTGATCAAAAGAGTGTCGAGATGTTACTTAGTGGACGTACTTAAAACCTGGATTTTTTTGAGAGTATTAGGATACTGCAGAAATTGAGATTATTAAATCTACATTTGACACAATTTTAAAGTGGATGATCGTTCATCCTCATGCAAAGGCCGCAAGTGAAGCAACAGAAGCCAATGTCTTGAGAAAATATTTAAGAATGTACTCCAAATTTGTCACATTTGTGTGCGAAACTTCATCACACCAGGTTACAAGGAATATAACTTTCTTTAGTACATTGTGTCTGTTTTAGATATAAGGTGTATCCATTGATGTCCATACAATTTAGTCACCCAAGTTGATGCTTCTTAAAATGATCATGTAGGACATAGACCCTTGGACCTTGATAGCTCACACATACAAGGTCAGGGTTAATCATCCTGCATGATGCTATATATCATTAGGTAAACTCCCCATCTTTTCTGGATCTCCTCCTCTATATTATTTGGATTCCGAACCCGAATCCACGACCTATTGCTTGCTCATCAGCACGCAGGTGCAGAAGAAGAATTGCAATGTATAGCATGGTGATCGAATAAGACAGCAGATCAAATGGATCAATGCTCCGGGGCATCCAATTCTCCTAAGGATGGATGCACTGTTCGAGAACATATACACTCACCCTTACACTCCAACATTTAAAGCAAGGAATCCACATGCTCGCTGGCATGTTTCTTGTGGTGAGAGTGTGGTGGCTTAGCTGCACACCTTCCGCAGTTAGTGTGTAGTCGTATGTGTTGTTGATCATAAATTAGTTGCACTAGTGTGCATCACACTGCTCGGTGCATCCAACAAACCAATTATGGTATAATTCGTAATTTCATGCCCTTCAAATTTAAGTTTGCAGTTAGGAAGACACATGGTTTTTTTCAACCATGCATCACATGGGATTGCTTCACAGATAAACATGCGTACGGGAATTTTATGCTCGGAGAAGCCAAGTACAAATATAGCACAATAAAGAGTAAATCGAAGACAATCTCAGCACAAATTAGTTCCTCCATAATCTTCGCGAGATAAGATAGAAGATGTTAATACTCATATAACTCTCAAGTTTTATAATAGCCGAATGTCTATGTGGAAACCCTACTTTGGTGCACACTAATGAAACACTAGCTCGGATTATTCAGTGTGGTGCATACTTGTGACGAAAGAAGGTGTGGCGCATCTCCCACGATGGAGAGCTGGACTTCTCGCAAGGTCGTGCAGCAGCCAAAAACTAGCGAGAAGTGCTCCATGTTCGGATGAGCAAAGAGGGATCTGAGCATTTGGACCAGGCCTTCCTCCGCGTGCTCACCGAAGGGAACGGCTGAATGACGGATCAGCCTGCTAGAATAGCAACTCCAGTCTGTCGGATAGGCCCTCGCTGATCAGTGGAGCAGGTTAATGTCCTAATGCCAAGCTGGGAACCGAACCGTGGGAATCGATTCGAGGCCGTGGCTTCCAAAGAAGTGTTTGAAACTGGACGGTTGCATGCATGAGAACCGATTACAGAGCTGATGAGCTCAGACTCGAGCTTCGGCCACTTCGTGGAGAAATTACGTGCTGGAGGAATATGTGTCGCTCTCCTGAAATTCGGTACCCCACTCGCCGTAAGGATGAAGGATGAAGGGCGAAGGGTGCATATTATAAGGCATGCAGTGCCACAAATATCGGGCCGAGAGAGGGGCAAACGGCGGTTCGCCTCTAGTTGATCCGCATGCAGTTGATCGGCTGGAGAGGGCTCCGAAGGAAAAAAACACGGACAGCTTACGGGGGGTACGTTGAGTCGTCGAGGGCTTTTTCCCATGCTTTGACTATTTCGAACAGAATGCATGCAACCCAACAGTCGGAACGGGGGATGGAACCCATTGCCTCGGAGGGGCGACAGTGACCGCGGTTACCTGATCTTGCACAGTCAGGGAGAGGGAGAGGGAGAGGCGTTCGGATAGAAGAAGAAGAAGAATATCTGACATATCTTACCGGAGAAGTAATTTATAATTGCCGGAACTACTTCGGGGAGGGGGGGAATAATGCGAGCCCCTTCTTTGTTTGACCGACGAGTTGATTCTGGCAGCAGCGAGCGGTGGAGTAGCGACTCCAAGTCTTCGAATGCTACAGAGGCGAGAGAATTTTCGTCCCAATGATGCACGTAGATGGAAGAAGGCATTGATTTGTGAAGGTGCACCGATGATCGAATTCCCCCCAGGCAGTAAATCATTGATCGAATGGAACAAGGCGAGGTGGTCGGTCGCCATGGAACGCCCCGACACAAGACAAACGTGAGCTCCAAGTCCAGAACTGCATCCCCTCCCCTCCCCTCCCTTCCACACGCCCCACCCCGGCTTCCCCTTCCCCCCATCCAAGCCCCCCGCCATTCGCTTGATCTTTTGCCCCGTATCAACCCCATCATCATCATTCGCCCGACTGCAGTAACCCCAACGTCAACCCCCTCCCCACCCCCTTTAACTTTCTCTCCAACCCCAAGCGCTCTCTTCTACGGCATGCTGCCCTCTTCTGTCCGTCCGTCCCCCGGCCCTCCCCCTCCCCCTCCCACTGCCCCTCGGTGCTATCTGGAAGCCCCTCTCTCTCTCTCTCCCGTCCGCAGATTAGGTGTCGCGGTCCTGACCGACCCTCCTGCGTCGCCACAACCCCATCGCCGTGTTCCTTCCTCCATTTCCGCGGCGGGGGGCAGGCCAATCAACTGCGACGGCGACCGGATTACTGGAACCGCAGGTCGCTAATCAGTCGTCAGTAGAGAGCGCGAGTGAAAATCGCAGCAAATAATAGTGCGTGAAAGTTAACGCGGAGATGACTGTTGGAACCGAGGGTGAAAAGGGGGTGTCCGGCGGGGTAGTCGGGGCCAATTTCGGCTGACCGAGTGTTTGTATTTATCCCGTTGGATATCGGCACACGGCTCCTACCCCGAAAGCCAGCCCCCTCCCCTCCCCCGACTAATTCTGCCGCGAGGGTGGTTCATCGCCGGACGGGTGGCCGACTGACCGACCAACCGACTGCGAGGAAGCAAGCAACGGTTTTCGTTCATGTACGGCGGACATCCGTTCACCACATGGAAGCGAATACGCCATTTGCTATTTCGGAGGCAAATTCCGCCTCTCGGAGGCGCTTGGGGCTCGGTAAGGGAAATATATTTATCGCGAGGAGAGGGAGAGGGAGAGATATCGTACCGTTGACAGCGAACTGGCTGGTGACAACGGCCACCCAGGTGCGCAAACGGGGCGCCGTTGAGGATCTTCTAGCCCCCGTTGGCCCATTGCCCCCGAAACCTCCGGAAACCGGACCCGAGACCCGGACGCCCACGTCGATCCGCAGTTTTAATAAGCCCATTAGGCGCTAATCGTCGGCTACGCCTCCACGTAGGCGGCTAAATGCGCCGGGGGTTCGTGACCGGCTGCCTGCTTATCACCGGAAAGGGTAGTAGACGCCGCGCCCTTTCGTATGTGCGACCGCGACCGGGGCCAGCGAACGCAGGTGACGTAATTGGGCTCGTAGGGTAGGTGCCTCATTGCTGGGGACGTCAGGACATCTCTGTTCCCGGAGATTGGCAGCCCAAGTATAAGAAGAGGGCCGGGCTCTGGAAGAAGCAGCGTAAACATCTTCGTATTTGAGCTTCCTTTTAACATCACGCTCCGAGCAAAGTAACCTCACCTCCCCTGCAGCAACAGCTCCGAGCTCCGCCTCGAGTTTCTGTTCTGTTTTCTTCTCTCTCTCTCTCTGTCTCTCTCCGTCTGCCTTGCGCAGATTCCTCCTTCCTTCTTCTTCTTCACCGACCTCCTTCCATTCTCAATTTGACCGATCGACCATCCAGTCGATCTTTTCGTTTGCCCCACGACGTTCTCTCCTTAGCGCTCCCGTAGCGCTATTGTTGAAATTCGAGGTTCGTCGCCCGAGAAAATATAGCCATTGTGCCCTCTATCTGTTGACAGTCCTTTCCTGGAACTGATGTGTTGTTGTATCGTCCGAAGGAACCATAGATTTACTTATCTACCAATTGAGTGAGTGAGTGAGTAAGTGACAGACGCACCGACCGAGTCAGTGAATACCGTTTTTCGTTACGTGCTGTACATTGAGTGATATATGACAGCGAACGAAGTAGCAGCGACAGAGTGAGCGAGTGATAAGTCACAGGTCGCAGCCGAAGTGAGTAAGAAAAATCGAAGCGATTGAAGATAATCGCCAATCGAAGATAGAAATTTTAAGGAAAAGGCGCAGTTGCCGAGTGGAGTGGAGTTGAGTTGAGTCGAGTCGAGGTCGAAGAGGTGGCGTAACGACCGAAGCGAAGCAGAGAAGAAATGGACTCGAGGAGGATGGATTCTGGATCGTCGGCTTTCCGCTCTCTGGCACGGTCGTCGTCATACTCATCGAAGAATTCCGACGAGATGACCGCGATCTCTGGCGGCCACTTCGGAAGCAGCAGCAGAGGCTACGCATCGTCGTCGTCGTCGGCGGCAGGGGCAGGAGGCTCGAAGGGAAACATGCCGCAACGATGCGGCTCTCGAATTCAGACGAGAATCCCCGGCGTCTCCGTCCACAGCTGCGTGGTGCGGTTGCGGGCCGAGGACCAACACCTCGCGGAGGACATCATCGAAGGATTGGAATTCGCCAGAGACAGAGCGGTGATGAGCCAGCTCGCCTCGCATGTGAACGAGATTCTGCTCACGAGCCCCAAGAGATCCAACCCGTCGCCGCTCGGCTCCAGCTCCCGGGGGACCTCTCCCATGGTCATGCTCCAATGTTGATTTCCTTCCCTCCTTCGCCTCCGCCCTTCTCCCTGCCTCCCTGCCTCCACCACCGTGACCACCGCCCCTTGTTCAAATTCCAATCTTATGTGTGCAATAGACGAAGACACTTCGACGACGACGAGGAAGAGTGTTACGCGAAGCACCTTTTTCTTCTTAATCAGGCCGAGCACCGAGACAGACAGACGGGAAGCAGTCACCAGAACGGTACACGACCCTCCGTATCGTCGCTTTCATGTTGATTCTCACGACGACGATGATGATGACGACGATGAACAAGACGATTGAAGAAGAAGACGAGGATGATGATGATGATGACGATGGCGACGACGACGATGATGATGATTGACGATCTGCATCCGCAGCTTGATTTTCCCACTGAAAGCTGTAACACCGATGAATCTATTATTCTCGCTGAACCGAGTGAAGCGAGTTGTGAGTGCTCTGCCACAGCTGCGAGTTATAGTTAGTTTTTAGGTGCGAGTAAATATCATCTAACCCACCTGTCGATGAATAGATCAGCCAAGCCCCTGTCGATGAGAACTGTTTTCAAGGCTGTGGAGGGCAGGACCGATTCTGTTGAATCTGCGGACAGCCCAGCCAGGTTCCATTCGTGAGATCCGGGCGTCGAAGAAGAGCAAAGTACATACAAGGTCCAGTAGGAGGAGATGGAGGAGGAGAGAAGGAGAGTAGAGGAGGAGGAGTGAGTGTCTGCTGCGTTCGATCAGCACCGAGCGGCAGTTTTTGGCGAAAGCCGGTAGCCGCGACGGGAGGTCGGATCCCGTGACAGGCATACAGACTGACAGACGGACATGCATGGGCGAGAAAGCAGATCGTTTTCGAGCCCGTGCTGCGAAAAGTCATGCCCGCCCGAGAGCCAGTGGACTAGAGAGTGAGAGAGTGAGCGAGTGATCGAGTGAGTGAGTTAGCGTTTAGGCAACGAGCTGCTCGCGGGGACAGTCCCCTGACCAGTCATGGTTGGAGTGCCTCGCGAGCAGTTGGTTCTTGTGTCATTATGTAGGTTCGTCGTCCGTGTTGTATATACATCCCCCGAGTTCTCGCTGGTCGGGCTCTCCCTCGACAGGAGCCCGCCTTGTAATCTACTCAACTAGTAGTACGTTTGCTACCGGTATAGTTAGTGAATTACTCATACTCTGCTGCTTCAGTTTGTCACTGAAAGCTCCCTGTATAATATATCTTCTATTTGAGTTCACCTCTCTCGTTCGGGTTCCCTCCTGGCTCTTCGCTTTTCTCGACCTCTGTTTGGAATTTTCTCTTATTTCCCATCTGTATGATGAATTGGGTTTGACTTCAATTCGGGGTTTGAGAACTCCATCGCAACGGATTGGCCTGGGGTTGAATTGTGCTGTTAGGCCATTCTACTCGTACGATGGCAATTCGACAGTAGTTCAATTTCGCCGGTTTACGACCATCCTCGTTCTTACAGGAGCCAAGCCCCCTGCGCGATGTTGTCAGTCTCATGACGAGCCTATGGGATACTGGTCTGGAAGGATACATTGTGCACTTTTCCTTGTTCATTGCAATTTACGAGATGAGATTGGGCCGGGTGAAGGTAAGACTTGAATTTGGAGTGGAGACATCAATTTTCGGGGGAGAGCATAAGACTTGAATTTTCTTCTTGAGCATCAGGCGAGATATGTCACCCCGTGACCCTTTAAAAATGAATGGGAGAAGATGCGCATGTCACAGAGCAATTGGAGTGCATGTTGGATGTACATGTTTGTGACGCAAGCCTCTGTTCGCCGGAATGGAGACAGAAGGGGTCACTGATTGCGAAATCTATGGTCTCCCTGCCATTCTGCCTCTCTCCCTCTCTCCCTCTCTCTCTGCGCCAGATGTTCCCCGGTTCACCGAAGAGCGTAGCGTGCGTCGAATGCGACTCGCTGCAATCTGTCGGCACTCGATTTAATTGCACGAGGTTTGGCAATGTTCGAACGAGTGAAAAGTCGCCCGAGGAACACTCTGACGGGTCAATTCGCGAATAAAATCGGTCGTCTCCCTTCGTGGCCGAGTCAATCGGTCTCATGACCCGAGCTTCGAATTCATGCAATCCTAATAGCCACGTTTGCTCCCTGGGTCAGGCATGCTTGTCGCACGCGGCCAAATTAACAAGTCTCGCCCCCTCGTGGGTGCCGGGAAGGAGGTGAAATTGAAGTGCGGGCAGACCAGCAGGCCAGCCCAGGGAGCAGGCAGCCGTAGCGGGCATAGCCACAGTCATTCGAGGACGCTTTATGGGCCGTCTGTAGTCGGAAGATTTTTCGAGAAGTGTCGAGAGGACGGGTGTGTCCTTTGGCGTCGCGGCGGAGCAGGGGCAAGAGAGGTGAATGGGGAAAGAGAGGTGTGATAGAGCGAAGGAAGCGGGGCTGGCTGCTTAGCTTAGCGTCGGGTTCTACACCGAGCCGAGGGCCATTCCATGTCAGTGTTTATCCATTCGACCGCATGCACCGACCAGCACAATCGCAGATCTCTGTTCATGCGTCCAGATGCAGATATTCGCCCTTGGGTGTTCGAAGGAGTGGGGCTCAGCATCAGCAGAGCAGCAGTAGTAACAGGGCTCTGTATGTGATATCGACATCGCTGTAGCGAGCGCGAGACAAAAGCCTCCTCTGGAAATTCGGTCATCAGTTCTCCGCAAGGGGACCACTGCAGCGGCGATCTGGGCCGTGTGTCTGGATGTCAGGAATAAAGATTTAAAGGTCATGCCCGCTCGTGCGAGTCACGGAGCTCGGCCTGTCAGCCTGTACAGAGCCGCATGGCAGAGAGGGCGTTTGCAAGCATCGAGTATATCTCTCACTGCTGCTGCTGCCGCAACAGCGAGCAGCAGCTGCAGCAGCCGGCGAGAGCTTGGGCCTGATGATCTGACTTCCGGCTGATCGGGCAATCCCAGCCCAGCGCGCCAATCGTAGCTTCTCTCACCTCTACGCTGAGCGGTAGCACTCAGCGAGCTCGAGGAAGAATCTTTGACAGGCTTTCGTCCAAAGGTAGATCCACATTAGAGCTCGTGTCAGATTTTCCGTGTCCTTCCCAGGAATTGGAGCTAGTACACGAGGACTGGTTTTCCTCTTTTCACAATATCACCTTTTCTGCCTTTCGTTTGGCATGATACTCACAACTTTTAGCCTTTCCCCCCTTCCCTTACCCTTCCCTCCCCCTCTCTCCTCGGACCGATAGCGGCAGGCTATGTCGAGAAGCAAGATAGTAAAAATGGGTTGTAGGGCAGTAACTAACCACCAGGCCTGGCAAAAGCAATCCGTCCTTCAGACGCTTCAGACGTCTGCCATGGTTTTTCTTCCAGCCTGCTTGCCTGCCTGCCTGCCTGCATGCATGCATGCCTAGCGTCTCGCCTGGTGATCGGGTGAAATCTACATATTGAAATCTTTGCACCAAGTGTGCGGGTGAGTGAGTGTGTGTGCGCTTGCTTTCAATCTTTTGAGCAGTGACGGCTGATCTCTGTATGCGAGGGCGAGTGAGATCTTTTCTGTCCTCTTTTCTCGTCCCCTCTGGTCCCGTCCATATCATCTCATCTCACCTTATCTCCTCTCATCCATCCTCATCTGCTCTATTCTCGTCTCGTCAGCTCGTTATAAATGTTCGATGTGTACCTTATCTACATGGATGGGACGAAAGGGGACGGGGCGGTCATTCCCAAGTCTGGAGTTCTGTGGATCATCTTCTGTGGCTTCCCTCTGCCTCGCTTCGGTGTAAATAATTCAATACATGAAGGAACCTAAAAACGAGTAATAAATTGCACCTGACCTCAAGGCTTGCAGAGCAGCATCAGCATCAGCAGCTGCTGCAGAATGCGGCCCTGGAAACAGGTCGTGCTTCGAAGAAGAAGAAGCAGCAGCAGCATAACTTTTGGTACATGCAACGGGTATCTGATGCAGCAACCGAGTCATGGCCGAGTCATGAACTTTCGGATGTCATTTAAATTTAGCTCGGGTTTTTAAACTTCTGTGGCCCTCGGGTGCAACTAATCTTCAAGCTGTTCGGGTATTATATTTAGCCTGCGGTGGTGGGACTCATGCTGCTGCCGTAGTCGTTACTTTTGATGCAGTCTACGAGCTCTCCACTTTTCAACTGTCAGTGTGTCTTGGTAACTAATTTGAATAATCGGGCGGCATGATCCTCTTTAACCCATTCGGTCACGGAGTAGAGCAGTTCTCTTGTCGTCCCCGAACCCCGTCTCTCATTATATCGTCCTCGTTATTACCGTTGATGCTTTTGTCTTCCACTCCATTTAAAATCTGCGATCGAAGCTTGTTTTTCTCTCTTTCTCTCTATTAATGAATTTTGTTACAGTGGTAGACTCGTGCCTGACTTTCTTCTAAGGTGGAAACGGAAAACATCTATTCCATGAAGGAGAACGAGAACAAAATTTTTACTTACAGTAGAAAAAATGCTTCGAATCAGATTCGAGGTGAGCTTCATTTGCTTCATGTGGATCAGTCACCCTTTTCATCTGAGAAGGCTGGAAGAGAGGAGAGCCTCGTTGCACTGCACTGCACTGGAAGAATTACGTCTACTCGTGGGAGTTGGAATCAATACGATTTAGTTAAGTTTGCTTTTACGGGATTGCAACTCAATAATGCCGGTGTGAGAAAACTATGGCCCCACATTGTATCCAGCGCTCTACGGTGCAAGACTACTGAGGTTGTGTAAATATTCCAGTCGTAGTGCGCTGCTCGCTCTCACCGTTATCTACGACTGTCTGTCTGTGGAGTGCTTGTTTGCTGATGCAAGAAAAATGAAGTGCATGTGCAAACGAGGTTTCATTTCTGTGCATCTACCGTCTTACGTATTGGTCCGCACATAACGAAGCGAGGCGACGTGGTCCCTCCGTGCCCAGTCAAATAAGGCGTTCAATTATCTTCAATCGGTCTTTGCTTTAGCTTTCTCCTTTTTGCATTGCAAATTGATCAGAGAAGGAATACATCTGCATGTGATGTTGATTGAGTTGCTACTGCATGCCGCTGGACCGATTCCTTCGCGAGCCACCCGACGTATCAGCAATGTGGATGATGCACACAATATCATAATGTATTACGAGGATTGATGGATTCGAGCATCTGGGTCTCGCTAGGGCCTTTGTGTACTTCCGGGGCTACATCTCCTCGATGTCTGGAATGTCGAAATTTGTTGACTTCCACAGTCAAACCAGAACAGCTGTTCAGATGCAAAAGCTACGGGCTGCAGGGTTTGGATCCCAGATGATGAAGATGTAGAGCATTCGAAATCGGAGGCTTTTGAAACGGCTGACATGACTAATCGAACCAAATCATATATTATTCTTCTCCATAGTTTACATTTTCCGGGTCAATCGCACTCTGCGACTCGTAGCCAACCGCTTTTTCGCTGTACAATAATTCAGATTTCATCTTCTTCTCGTTTCTCGTAGGATTCGCTCACCAGGTCTGATGACAACCGGGGCTGCTCTCGTCCTTTCTTAGGTAACCTACGAGTTTCCTGGATACGTTCCAGCAAAAGAGATCTTCTGCATGTACTTTTCCTTCAGGTTCCTTTAAGTGTAACAAGCAAATGTACTGCTCGATGTAAGTTCCAATGAGATGAAATGTGGCTAAAAATCAAAAGCTCAAACTTGGCTTTTGCAGGCTACAAACACATATTCAAATGGCGAGTAGCAAGGTTAAAGAATTCACGATTTGCAAGACCGTAGCTTTCAGTGTATCTCCACTGCTTGCACGAGGTGATCTGCAATGCCTTCAACGTGTGCCCTCGTGCTAAATGCCCCTTATGCACGATGTCCAGGCGTGGAAGAAGGCAGAGATCGAAGCAAGAATTTCAATACAGATGTGTAATTCCACAAGTAAGGGTCTCCTCAGGACGGGCCTACAGACTTACTGTCTTCTGATATACTCCTTACGGAGTCTTCATTGCGATAGCATTTGGATTTGCATTTGCTCTTCCGACCGAGTATTTCGTTGTCTCAGGCCCCAAATTTGTTCCGGAGTTTCCTTCGTCGTCTTCGTCTTGCCTCAATAATTGTCACTTTGAACAATCAATGAGAAAATTCCCGCGACTGGATCGAATCATGGCATAGAAATGAACACGAGGGCGGGCAGCTTGGCAGCTCGTGCTCCACGGAGTGGCCACGAAGTTTGAAGCTGCGGGATGAAATGTTCTACCGCTACAGAACTGAGCCAGGACACCTAATGCAGCGCAAACAATGCCACACTCAGGGCGGCATGTG